TATCTTTCCATGTCATAATTTTCTCTTCCCTTAAAAATAAATTCAGTAAGGCTCTGTTTAGTTGCATTGAATTGGAACCAAGAATTGGAATTGGAGCTCTTTAATTCCAATTCTTGTGTTTGGTTGGTAAAAAAAGAAGTCCAAGAATTGGAATTATAATTCAAGATGGGGCTCAATTCTTTATTTTCAATTCTTTTGTGGGAGCAAATAATTGGAATCCAAATTCAAGAACTTAAAGAAAATACGCGGGTCATAACCGGGTCGTTTCCGGGTTATAATCTAAACGGGTCACCCTCTCAATTTTTGTCTTTAGGCCTTTTTTTATATATATTTTTTTATTTTTATTTTATTGTTTTTCAGCTTTTTTCTTTTTCTTTTTTTTCTTTCATCACTTTTTTCTTTTCTTTCTTTTTCTTTTTTCGGGCTACTATTATTATTATTATTATTGTCATATATATATCATTTTAATAATTATCAACGAAATCAATCTAAAATTAATACTGTATCTTTTTTTAAAACAAATCAAAAGTATAGATGTACCCAAGAAAAAATCAATAACTAAATATTTTAGTTTTGGGTTAAATTTTTATTATATTATGACATAGTAAACAACATAACATTTTCAATTTTTTTTTATAGAAATTGTTCCATGTATACACCTATATTATAATACATATATATATATATATATTAAACTATTCATGGCATCTTTTCACCAAAAATTATGTAAGTTGAGTTTTAAGTATCTATTATTCCATATATAATTATATACTAGAATAAAAAATATTTAAGAATATATTATATACTAATGTTAATCTATGTATAAATGAACCTCAATATTCATAAACTGAATTTACAATGTTATATATAAAATTTTTAAAATTTTTGATATAAATCAAAACATAAAAAATTAAAAATTTTGAAAAATAATGAAAGAGAGGAAAAAAAAAGATGTTTTACGGGTTACTTGTTTGTGCATTAAGTGAGAAATTTAAGTATCATATTAATAATTCTTATAAATAATAATATTTCTTTTGTTTCTAACAAAAATATGTGTACATAATAAATTAAAAAATTGATATAGCAAATTAATTAAAAAATAATAATTTGTTTTAACAAAAAAAAGTAAAAATTGTATTAGTTAAACAACCACAAAGTAGTCAAATATACATGTACATAATGAATTTTTTTTTTTGTTATACATATCTATAATAAAATAAGTATTTTTTTTTAGTTTTTGACAAGAAGTATAAATTGTACTAGTATTAGTTATACAATAACAAGCTAATCTTAATTCCAAAGTATCTAAATTTTTATGCATCCAAACACAAGAATTGGAATTAGAACCTTAATTCTTGTAAATTTTTAAGATCTCCCAAACAAAGGAATTGAGATTGAATTACAATATTAATATCTCATTTTCAATTCAATAGTATTATAATTCTAATTCAATTGCAATTCAATCTAACCAAACGGAGTCTAAGAAAATTTGCAAAATAAATTAATTATTGCCTAGATCAAAACTAAAAGAAGGGAAATCAAAATTGATCACGGACAATCAAAATTGGCTTTGCCCTCCTCCTTCTATTATTGGCATCTTACCCTTGAGATCTTGGTCGAATCCTTTTTCTGAAAGCATTGTCTTAACCGATTGGACACCATATCCTCGCAATAGGTGACCATTCTATTCCCCACCACCAATGACTGCGAAGCGTTTGTTTATGAATATTAAGGCAGCACCATCACAAAGGGCATGAATGGAATCAAATCCTGTTTAACAACCATTAAGGTTTCATCGGCGGTGAGTACTGACGATGATGATCAACAACAATTTATGGATGATTCGATGGAGGGATTGATGACTTACAATTAAACCATCCGCTTGATGAAACCATCCGCTTCTTCAATTGGTGGTTTATTATTACTTTTATCTTTTTCATGGAAAAGAACAGACATAAGACAAGAAATCCATTGTTTTACTATGAATTTGAATAGCAGTCCAACGCAGAATATAGAAGATGAATTTTTGCTGGGAGCAATTTTGATTTCCCTTTTTTAATTTTGATCTAGATAGTAATTAATTTATTTTGTAAACTTCCTTCATTAATATTTATTTTTTAATGGAAAATAAAATTATGACAATGGTAAAGAAAATTATGACATGGAAAAACAAGTAGGCAAGCCACATAAGGTGAGATGAAAAAGTGAGTTATTTAGATGAGTTCTCTATCATTACTCTTATCTCAAATGGTTATGGACAAAACAATCTCTGCAATTGTTTAGGAATGAAGATTCTGCAATTGATATGAATCTTGAGGCAAAGGTGGCAGATTTACCTCGACGCGGAAGTTATGAATTTCTCAGGACTTGAAAACTTGCAAATCTAATATTGTTGACTCCATAACTCACGAAAATTGAAAGAAAAGAAGAGATGCAAACTACAAAAAGTTGTACCAAAAAGGGATGGAAAGGTTTAGAAGATGTCGAAAGTGTTTAAGGTTAGCAACTCAATCGATCACCTCTCTAACAACCACATCCCTTCGATTTATGGATAGAACGGCTATCGAAAAGGCTCCAATGAACAACTAACAAAGCTCCACAAGTAGAAAAACACATATTCTACTCGCATGCATCAACAAAGCACAAGCTTGTGTGCAATGCACTAATCTTCGAAAAGAGTAGAAAAAGAACAAAGAGTTTTCTCTCATCTCATATTGAAATAATTCATCAAAGATACCAATAAAAGGCTAGCCAAACACCCCTATTTATAGTAGAGGGGGCCAAAATTCTCCTATGAAAAAGGAGAAGAGTTTGATCTCTAACTCTATTTCTACTTTAAAGAACTAGAAATCAACTTAACCTCTAATTGACAACTTGTGTCTTATCTATTAAGTCAATGTATCTAGACACCTTTATAGACGTAAGACACACTAGTCTATTGAAAATAAAACTCCAAATACAAAGAGATATTCTCTCAAAAGAATCTTATACTTATTTTGAAAGGAATATTCATGAGTTGTCAACTCTATCAATATCTTCTTTGTAGAGTAATCATAGCCATCCAATTTTGATCTAATCTCAATCCAACGGTTGAGAGTAGACACCAAGGAATAGACTTCTTATTTTGAATAAACTCTAAATTAGATAAAAGAGAATCATATCAAATCTTATCCTTCCATGTGATAAGATTTAAATGATCTTATTTCTAAAAGATATGGAATCTTCCAAATCTTATCTTTCCACAAGTGTGATAAAATTTAAATGATTTTATCCCTAAAAGATAGAGATTCCAACTCCTAAAAATTAAAAGATAGGGCTGGCCTCCCTTGCTTGGTTTGTGGGCCGAAATTTCCTTCCTCAAATGGGCGCAGAACACGTTAATAATCTTGGGCACAGAATCTTACAGACTGACATTCTCTTGGGCTAAACCATTTGATATAAGATTATTAAGTGCACTCTTCATCCTTTTACTTCTAGCTTGAGTCATTGGGCCTCCAATGTTGGATAATAGATTTTGAGCCACTCCTTGAGCTTGGATAGTACTTGGAACCCGAACACCTTGATCATCTTGGACTTGATTACCATGGATATTCATATCAGCAATTGTGTTGGATTGCCTGGATTTTTTGGATCTGGGGTTTGCTTTTGCGTGGAAGCCAAAGAGGAGAAAATAAAATTAATGGAGGAAAAATTACTCTTCTAACAGTTTAGGGGTAACTTTGGTATTAGATTTAATTTTTGCCCTGAATGCTAGTTTTTGTTTTGATAGAATCACTAGAAAAAAATATTTATGCATCTTCCTACGATTCATAAACGACTACCGAACAAAAGAGACAACAGAAGCAATGGGAATCGGCTGGTTGATTATTTTGTGTATATACAAAAATATCACGTTATCTGTCGTCAATTATTAATCCTTTTGTTAAATTAATTAATCCATGGATTATATCTGTGACTAGATCAAGCTAATTCGGTAAGCACAAATTCACAAATTCCACTTTATTCGCTAATTGGGCTTATAGATCATTTAACGAAAATGGGCTCAAACTAGCCCACATTTCCAGAGAATTAGTTAGTTAGGATAATCAATGGCCCTTTTCTTCCAAAAGCCCGATAAAAATATTGGGCATTTTTGTGGGATTATTCCCTTTTTCTTGGTACAAAAAGAAAAAAAAAAAAACCGTTAATTGAAGGAGACCTCGGAGCAACTAGAGGACTTAAAATGCAATGTCTTTGTAAGCAAGAAGAGATACCAAATTACTAGAAAAAAAAAAACAAATAAAATGCTCAAACAGGGAAATTGATTAACCCAAGGGGAAAAGAAAATCTTGCAAATCTTTACTTAATTAGAAATTTTACGATATAAAATAATAACTCAATGTAGCGAACAAACCTGCAACCGATCTTATATTGGTCTTGCTCGATATTTATATTGATATAAAATCGCTGTGAATATCATTTCCAAATTAAAATGCCGTAAATTCTTATATAACACGGCGCTTCTCCCGATACTCGACGCGCAAAATTGTTTCATATAATTTTCTTAAGTCATAAAATTCCGTCTTCCTGAAGAACAAGTTGAATTCCAATGGCCTTTGCTGATGTGGTAAGTGCTAGCTGAATCTGTTCTCTTCGATTATGTTTTTTTTTTTAAAAAAAAAAAAATCTCTTAGGGTTCATAAACTTTATGTTGCTCCTTCCTTCTTCTTTCTGGAGAGAATTTATGAGAATTGATCATATACAATCTTAATCACGAATTGCCAGATAAGGAGTTTCGCATGAACTACAATTTGCTAGAAAATACTGAACATGTATACTACAAGAAGGCAATTATTTAAACAGTTATCAAAGATATCGATTCTTGGAGTAAATTAAACTATTTGTATCATTGCCAAAGAAATTTTATATTAATTTGCAGGAAATCAATCTTGTTACATATGTATGTCCTGAATTTTTTTTTTTAAAAAAATTATTTTCAGGGTTGTGTTTTGAGTGTGGACATGGGATGTGAAGCATGTAGATTTAAGACCAAGGAAGTCCTCAGTTCTATCATCGGTAATTTTTTTTTAATGATTAATTTATTTTCAAATTGATTGAACGGTACATTTGAATTAACATTGTAATTAATTTAACAAACATAGGAGTGTACAATGTGGACATGGACGGCCAAAACGGGCTAGTTAGGGTTTACGGAGAGGTAGACCCAAACATGCTTCTACACGCACTAGCAAGATATGGAAAACATGCAGAAGTTGTTAGGGTTAATTTCAAGCATCCAGAATGGACCCGGACCAATGATTTTCATGGCGGCCATGGCTCATGTAATGCTTCTGATTTAGGATACAGTTTTCCAAGAAGCCTGGCAGCTGACAACTATTATTCGCCAGTTTTCAGTCCAGATTATCCCATCCGCGGCAGTGGCTTAAGCTGCGGATTGCCTCCACGGCACCGCCGTTTCGCTGCCAGCCACCACCACCACCGCGTGCCACCTCATTATTTGCGGCGAGACTATGGTTTATGTGGTCGTGGTGGTTATTACCGTAACTCTTCCTGTACTTGCCCCGTGATGTGAGATTACATTTGAGATTACCTTGCTTGAAGAACAAGTAATTGACATTGTTAAACTTAAACCCCACTTAGTATTTTTACTCCTAGCTATGTGGTATAAGGGTCTTGAACTAGTACTTACGTGTGTGGTCTTGTCTTTTCTTCCCCCTTTTTTTACCATTTCTTGAACTGATTTAGTTTGAGTTGTGTCATTGGGTTTCAAGCTTTATGTAATTAGTGATAAAGTCCATGACACATAATCAACTTTTTGTTTTTTTCATCTACAGGTTTGGAAATAATCAACTAGTAGAATATATGCTGCTCGTTAACTTTGAACAATCTTGAATTACGATAAATTTTTGTCTGCAACCGCTTTGGAGGGCCATGATACTTATTCTACTTCCTTTCAGTTTGTTCCGCATTGTGGATGCAACAATCGTAGGAAATAACATTTACAGATTAATTGTTAGTTAATTGAAATAAGGATTAATCAATATTAGATTAACTGACAAATCTTGTGACTCATTTTGAAATTTGAAGAAACGTCGATTATTTTTACTTTTACTAGTATTGTGCCCTTGCATTGCACGGTTAATACATATTTGATTGTTTGAAAATATTTCAATGAACAGATATATTAAACTGAAGAAAAATTGTGACTTCAACAACAGAGATAGAACTGGAAAAAAAATGATGACCGCATTATTAGGATTATTCTTTTGAAGAAAATCGACCCATTATTTTAGTTCGGTTCAGAAACGGGTCAATTTCTTTTGGATCACAAATGGTTTCGGCTCGGCTCGGTTCGGATTAAGTTTCGGGTCTAAACCGAATTGACCCGAAATAAACCATTTTGCTAGTGATGACGTCATCATGCCGGAGACGGTCACCGGCTACCAGAAAAAAAAATTTCCGGCAAAGTCGACGGAATTTTGGCCAGAAGTTGTCGCCGACGGCAGTGGTCAAAGGTGGTAGCGGCGGTCAACGATGACACTATTAAAATGTAATTATTTACTTTTTAGTTTTAGATTTTTTCGGTTCAATTTGGATATTCTTTTGATCCGAACCGTTCTAACTTTTGAAATCTTCGATCCAAACCGCAATTAAAATTTCGATTTGGTTTCGGGTTAATTCAGTTCTGATTGTCGAGTCGAAGATTTCAAAAGTTAAAACGGTTCGGATCGGATCCGTTCAAAAAGACCAATCCTACGCATCATACATTCTCAAGAGCTTCTTTGTAAACAACATTTGTTATTGAGCTGTAAAATTCTCCCTTCTTATTGCAAATAATTATCTTCAAACTTTTTCTAGACTTTACTCTGGAGAAAGCAACGTAAAGTTGTCCATAGGTGAATATTAGACAACGGAGAAATAATCAAATATGAGATAACGACCGTCCTTGACTCTTATTGATCATCATAGCAAAACATGCTACAATCGGGAATTGCCTCCGTCTTAATTTAACCGCCATCCTCTCGTCAGTTGGACTAATATTCATACGCAGAATGAAACATTTGCGACCGATATTAGCACCAGATATAATAGTAGCCTGAATAACTCGTTCTCCAAAATCGTTGACCTGTAACCGGGTATCATTACACAAGCCTCCTGGCTGATCAAGGTTCCAAAGAAGCATGTTCAGGACGCCGACTTAAGTGATATCTTGTGATTTGGCATTCTCTAACACTTGATGGCATTGAGAAATTCTTCTGTGTAAATCTCATCGTCCTCAGGATTTATTGACTTTGCCGTTTGTTATATGCAATAAGAACTGTAATATATCTTTGCTTCCCCCACTAAGTTGTGCCAGCATATGCTCGTTGATTAGTTCTATCTAATTATAAAAATTCTTGGAGTGGGTTTCATTACATTTTTATTTTCATCTTTAATAGCATATACTCTGGATTGTGCCGCTTAAAAGATTTTGAGTCTTTAGTAGGTTAAATACCTACAATGGTTTTGGTTGCTATGTTAATACTTTTGACAGCTCGTTGAACCAAAAAAAAAAAGAAGAAAAGTCTCATTTCATATTTATTTTCATCTTTAACAGCATGTTATTTCGCAATGACTTCGGCTGCTATTTTTAGTATTTTTAACAGTTCGTTGAACCAAATAAATGAAAAAGAAAAACCAGTGAGTCTTATTCCATATTCATTTTCATCTTTAATAGCACATCACTCTATACCGTCCTGCCTAAAATTTTTCAAGTCTTTAGTAGGTTAAAAATCTGTAAAGATTTTGGTTGTTATTTTAGTATTTGTGGCAACACATTAAAAAAAGAAAAGAAAAGAAGCGTCATTTTCATTTTTATTATTAACAGTTTGTCACTCTACTTATTATCTTTTATTTAAATATATTAAATTTCTAAAATGATTATCCACATATTTTTCATGTAGAACAGTTATTTAAATTCTAAATTTACAGATTTGTTATGAAATTACAATTTTTCGGATTTGATTTTTTTTTCAAAACTAACATTATCTTAGTCATTAATCAGTAAGAGTATGTAATTTTCTTGATGGTCTAATTAATCAGAATATTAAGGGTTATATACCAATAAATAATTGTCTTAATTGGCTAGTATTATGCTCATGAGGTGTATCAACTATTGAATAGTTATTGTACTAAAACAAAAAAGGAATAGATTTGATTGGTTGAATAATTTTTGGCGAAAAAATGATGCCATTAACTTTAGTAAATTATACTTTTTCTTTATTAAAACATGAAAAGTAAAATGGTAGGATACTTTAATATTAAAAACATATTATCTTTTTCTTTTAATATTTCTGACAGTTCGTTGAACCAAAAAAATAAAAAAGAACAAAGAATTACTTGCTCAAAGAGAATTTCTTCGTTATCGTTATTTAATAATGAAAGGATCGTCTTCTACCTGGTCTTATTCCGTTTTTTCTTTAAATCTTTAACAGAATATCACTCTCCATCATCTTACTTAAAAAATTCTAAATATTTGGTAGATTAAAAGCTTGCAATGGCTTTGTCTATTATTTTAGTATTTTTAAGAGTATGTTAAACAAAAAAAAAAAAAAATTGTGGGTCTAATTTAATCTTCATTTTCATGTTTAACAGTATGCAACTCTGTATCGTCACACTTAAAAGGTTCCAACTCTTTGATAGCTTAAAAATCTATTATAATTTTAACAGTTATTTTAATATTTTTGGCAAACCCGTTGAACTAAACAGAAATGAATAAAATGAACTGGTTGGTCTCATTTTATTTTCATTTTTATCGTTAACAGAATGTCACTCTATATCATCATCCTTAGGCTTCGACTATTTGGTAGGTTAAAAACCTGTAATGATTTTGGCTATTACTTAGAACATTCGATAACTTGTTGAACTAAAAAAAGAACCACGCACTACTTACTTTTCTAAAGAGAAATTTTTTGATAGTTCTATCTAATTATGAAAATTCTTGCAGCGGGTTTCATTATATTTTTATTTTCATCTTTAATAGCATATACTCTGCATTGTGTCCCTTAAAAGATTCTGAGTTTTTGATAGGTTAAATACCTACAATGGTTTTGGTTGCTATTTTAATACTTTTGGCAACCCGTTGAACAAAAAAAAAAGTGTCATTTCATATTTAATTTCATCTATTACAACATGTTTTGGCTACCATTTTAGTATTTTTAAAAGTCCGTTGAACCAAATAAATGAAAAAGAAAAACCAGCGAGTCTTATTCCATCTTCATTTTCATCTTTAATAGCATATTACTCTGCACTGTCCTGCTTAAAATTTTACAAGTCTTTGGTAGCTAGGTAAAAATCTCTAAAGATTTTGGTTGTTATTTTAGTATTTTTGACAGCACGTTGAAAAAAAAAAAGGAAAAAATAACTGGCTCGTCATTTCATTTTCATTTTTATCTTTAACAGTTTGTCACTTTGCTCATTATCTTTTATTTAAATATATTAAATTTCTAAAATGATTATCCACATATTTTTCATATAAAACATTTATTTAAATTCTAAATGTGCAGATTTGTTATAAAGTTACAATCTTTCATATTTGAATTTTTTTTCAAAACTAACATTATCTATGTCATTAATCAATAAGAGTATGTAATTTCCTTGATGGTCTAATTAATCACAATATTAGGGGTTATATACAAATAAATAATTGTCTTGATGGGCTAGTATTGTGCTCGTGGGGTGTATCAATTATTAAATAATTATTGTACAAAAACAAAGAGAATAGTTTAGAAATTTTTCTAAAGAGAAATTTTTTGATAGTTCTATTTAATTATGAAAATTTCTTGCAGCAGGTTTCATTACATTTTTATTTTCATCTTTAATAGCATATACTCTGCATTGTGTCGTTTAAAAGATTCTGAGTCTTAGGTAGGTTAAATACCTATAATAGTTTTGGCTGCTATTTTCGTACTTTTGACCCCCCGTTGAACTACAAAAAAAAAAAAAAACGAAAAATCTCATTTCATATTTATTTTTATCTTTAATAGCATGTTATTTTGCAATGACTTTAGCTGCTAATTTAGTATTTTTAACAACCCGTTGAACTAAATAAATGAAAAAGAAAAACCAGCGAGTCTTATTCCATCTTCATTTTTATCTTTACTAGCATATTTTTAGTAGATTAAAAATCTGTAAAGATTTTGGTTGCTATTTTAGTATTTTTGACAACACGTTAAAAAAAAAAGAAAAAAAGAACTGGCTCGTCATTCTATTTTTATTTTTATCTTTAACAATTTGTCACTTTGCTTATTATCTTTTATTTAAATATATTAAATTTCTAAATGATTATCCACATATTTTTCATATAGAACAATTATTTAAATTCTAAATTTACAGATTTGTTATGAAGTATCAATCTTTTGGATTTAATTTTTTTTCAAAACTAACACTATCTTAGTTATTAATCAATAACAGTATGCAATTTCCTTGATGGTCTAATTAATCAGAATATTAGGGGTTATATACGTATAAATAATTGTCTTGATGGGAAAGTATTATGCTTGTGAAGTGTATCAATTATTGAATAGTTATTGTACAAAAAAAAGGAATAGTTTTGACTGTTTGATAATTTTTGGCAAGAAAATGAGGTCATTAACTTTAGAAAATTATACTTTTTCTATATTAAAACATGAAAAGTAAAATGGTAGGATGCTTAACATTAAAAACATATATTTTTTTTCTGACAGTTATTTTACAATTAGAGCAGGACTACCGTTGTGGAATTAGAATTTTTCTTGTGAAAAGAAACAAAAAAAAAAATAAAAATAAAATAAAAAATTTGATAAGTGGGATTGAGAATGCACCTCCATCCACAATGAAAGGAATCTGGCGAGAGGTAAATTATGAAAAAAGATGAGAAAATCTTGTATGGTTGAAGTTCCAGACTGATTTGTAAGTCATGAATTATTCATTCATTTTTTTTCTTTATAAAAATCTAAATGGCAAAAGAATAAACCATAAAAGAATAAAGTAAACCACGGTTGCACAACCGATATTTATAGCTAAGGATAATTCCCAATAGTGTTAATGATAATTAATATCAAAATAATAAGACCCGTAGAAATAGATTTGAATTTTTCGTGATATTTTGTTTAAAAGGATTATCTTCTATTTAATGTGAATTATCATACTCTTATTAGGATAAGCTGCATATTTCCCATGTATATATCGCCTTTTAAAATTTGAAATTCCATAAAATATGGTTCTGCGTAGATTAAAAGTTGAAGTTTTTTTTTTCCAAAATTAAAGAGCTAAAAATTAAGATATGATAAGATTAATTTTCAACTATTTAAATTATTGACCAGAAGAAAGTTTTTTTTTAAAAAAATTTCTTATAATAAGCTCGAATCAAGTATTTTGATACTCGTCTTCGATTTGTTTGTTTAATCGAACTATTCGAATTTGGCTCGAGTTCGGTCAAAGCCGAATTCAAGCCAAGCTTTGACCAACCTATTCGCAAGCTGCTTGCGAAGTGCTCGGTTCGTTGACAGTCCTACTCTAAGCCAAATAGAAATAGGCCACGTCGCAGAAAAGGGTTTTTTTTTTTTTTTCTTGAAGCACAGGAAACGGAAAATAGAGGTACTAATCTATTCGCCTCGGAATCACGTGAGAGAATCAACAACAAATAAAGAAATGCTTTAAACCAAAAACGAGTAAAAGAAAATTCATAGTAACAGTTGTTGCTATCTTCCAAAACTGAATAAATATAAAAAATCTACAATAATAAAAATAATACGTAATAATCTTCAGAATTCCTTTTCAAAAAATAAAATAAAATAAAAATAAATAATCCTCAAAATTCTTGTTTATACTTTATGTTGCCATCCCTTTAATCCAATTTGTATTTTCCCTCAATTATTTTTACGTTAAAAAAAAATTATATGTAAATTATTCTATAAGACAAACACATGCACGCCATAGGAGAACGAAAGAACTAACAGCAAAAACATATTAGAATCAATATCATCACCAAAGGATCACTGCACATAGATTAAAGTCACCACCGAGCATCAAAGATCTAATCTTTTTATGATAAAGATTACAGATCTGTTTAAAAAACACAACCACCTGGAATGCAAACAAAAGAAAAAGGCAAGGACACACTTATTTTTATTTTTATTTATTTTTTATTACAATATATATCTCCTTTCAACTCTGTTAACACATGCAATTCCAATAATTAACATACAGTTCTTTTGCTTTATATATATATATATATATATATATATATATATGATCTTTTTAAAATCCACACCATGTTGACATGTAACTAAAATATTTCAAAGAAAAAATACAAGAGAGGATAGGGAGGATAAGGTTCTCCTAGCTAGTTTTCCATTGCGTATGAGTAGTTTATCTGTTCTAGTTTTCCAGACTTTATATACTTACATGTTCATAGCACACTCAAAATTCGCTTAACTCAGCCATTGTCGATTTTAAGGACGTTGCAAGGCTTTCTGACACATTAATTGACACATATTGGTGAGGAACCAACTCCAAAATCCACAACATTGTAGCCTCCGATTGGGTAAGACTAGATTGAAGGACTAGGCCACATGAGAGCCCGGTTTACATTCCAATCCAATCCAATTCATCATCAACCCAAAAACTCGTTATGGCAAGTTTTTTCCCACAGTATCAACCAAATGGTCCCATTACTCTTCACAATTTCACAACCTTCACCCACATTTTTTTTTAAAAAAAAAATCCCAATTTCACTAGTCTTTTAGCCATGTAGTAATCTAGTGTTTAACTTACTAAGTCTGCAAAACAGCATCTCCTCGCAGATAAGAATAAAGGGAACAAATTTTGCTCAAAGGGATCTTCATCATATATAAAAGACTCATAAAAGAGACACAAGTAGCCATTGGAAAGGAAAGGAAACCAACTCTGCTCTACTATAGAGTGTAAATGAGCCGAGCTGAGCTCGAGCTCAACCCTAAACGAGCTAAGCTCGAGTGTAATAAACAGAGCTCGTTCGAGCCATAAAATTTAGGCTTGAGCTCGGCTCGGTCGATTTGTAGTGAACTCGAGCTCGACTCGAAAAGTTCGAATTGAGTCAAAATCGAGCCAACTCGAACTCGAGCTCGAGTAAATTAAAAAAATAATAATATCAAATAAAAGTAATAAAAAATATATTAATAAAAGAAAAAAAAATATATATATATATATATATATATAATATACTCAAGCTCGTTAAGCTCGATGAGCTACCGAGCGGTCATCATCATGGCTCGAACTCGGTTCGATTAATTATCGAGTTCGGCTCAAGCTCGGCTCGAATTTGGTCAACTCAATTTCGAATCGAGCTTTGACCGAGCCAGCTCGCGAGCGGCTCGGTTCGTTTACACCCCTACTCTACTATATAATACCTCTAACAAACAAATTTATCAATGTGTATAACCTTTGTATATATCTTTCTGTAAACATATCCGATTTGTAATGATTACATGGGCACCGTCAAACAAATGATGTCGTCAAAGAGCTAGATTATGCCGAACGAAAAACTGGATTGCATTTCAAAACAAATCAAGATGCCTGCTACTTCTGTGTGTTGCATGAAGGGCTAAAAAGAATGGGTATGCATGACTGAAATTCCTGAAATCTGCTTCTCTTCCTCAGTCACGTGTTATATACTCTGTGGAAACAATTGCAAGAAAAATATTATCTCTCTAAGACTATAATCTTTCTTTCCAAGTCTGCTTTTCAGTTTTCTCTTCCTAGTTTCTAGTGTGATGGGAAATGGGTGTTGCAGTCCCATGGTAGCAATCTGAAACGGTATCAACTACAAATTGATTCGATCCCTTTAGTTAGATGTCCTATTAACAGCTGCCTTGTTCTGGGTAGCAGCAGCTGACATTGAACGTAAACGAGCAGCAATTTCTCTGAATGATGGCCTGGCAATGGGATCTGGGGCCCAACATTGCTCCATCAACCTTCTCCATTCAGGATCGCAAAAGCTTGGAATAGTTGGCCTCAATTGGTTGCTTACTATACCTCCTAAATGATCAGAAAAAGTAACAGTTACTAACAGTCAACCATTGGTACAAGAAACAAGAAATCACCCAACTGCAAAACCATAGTCCCGACTCAAAGAGAAACAAACAGCATACCGATAATTGCACCATAATGCATGTTTGCATAAGGCTCCTCCCCGGTGAGTATCTCCCACAAAACAATACCAAATGAGAAAACATCAACCTGTTGGACAAGCATTGTTATTTAGTCTCCTTAAACTTGGATAAAATCACGTCAAGAGGTTCAAAACTTCTTCAAAGTAGGTCATCTGATCGAAACCACCTTTATCATTATGTCATTACCCCTGGGGTTGCTTAACTTCGTTGCTCACACGAACTAAGTTTTCTCGACATAGAAAGAGGCTTTGCTTATTTGCTTTGGCAAACAATTTCATCTAAATTGTAATGGTGGCATCTTACCTTTTCAGAAACCTTGTTGCTGCTCCCATTCAGAAGCTCAGGAGCCATCCAAGGGAGAGTGCCCCGAACTCCACCAGAGACCAAAGTATTCCTTTTCATCTTTGAAAGACCAAAGTCACCAACCTGATACATGGCATAAACAAAATCACCAACTACAGCTACAAAACTTGTGTGGGTATTCATGATGCTTAACAGATATCATCAGTAAAAAAAGACCAGTAGTGTCTCAAATAACTAAGTACCTTGCAAATAGGTCGGGAAGGATCTTTCAGATTGACCAATAAATTATCGCATTTTAGATCAAAATGAACAATATTTTTCGAGTGCAAATATTCCATGCCAAATGCAGCATCCATGGCAATGATAAGTCGCTTACGACGATCGAGATGCCTGCAAATTTTGCACAAACATGAAAAAGAAGCAATGAAAACTTGGGTGTAAGAAGAGTAAATTAAGTATGCAAGCCTCCCAAAAATGCTTTGTCAAAGAATTCTCTCAAAAATTTAGAAAGAACAGATTTCTGCCGTAACTCAAAGAGGAAGATGAGAATTAAAGAAATGAAGCATGAAGCATAGGGTTTACCGATCCTTTCGAAGTAAAACATGCCTCAAAGAACCATCTACCATGAATTCAGTCACGGTAGCTAGTGTTCCACCGGGTCCATCTTGCACCACGCCATAAAATGCCACCACATTCGGGTGGTGAAGCTTTGATAAAATCTCAGCCTCTCGCCAAAACTCTATAGCCTGTGAACAGATGTAAACAATATCAAGAAAAAAATCCAGTATGATGCAAAATAAGGAACGGATGACTGCATCATCCTATCAGTTCAACAAGGGCCGTGCTAATAGTGACTGGAGTACTAGAAATTCTTCTATATGGCTAGAAATTGTAACGATAAAATGAGTCTTTACCAGTCTCTCCTGCTCAGATGGTCGACCAGTAAAGCAACTTTTCTTTATCCTTTTTATGGCAACATCTGTTCCTCTCCATTTCCCATGATAGACTGTTCCAAATGAACCAGCCCCGAGTTCCCTCAGCTCCTCTAAATCTTCGTTCATTATCAGCTGCAGACCATGTGGAAAACATCTAATTAGTATTCACATCCTCTATACCACACTAAGCGCTGCAAATGTTATGATAATCAGAACAATGAGATTGAGCATTTCTGCTGCAATCAGCCATGCTTTTTATGCATTGTTTCCCTTCCTTAGACGTAAGTATTGACCTTTATAAGAAAGTTCTTCGAAAGAATTCATTTCTGAAATGACTAAAAGCATTTTATATAAAATGACAAACGGCGTTTAATCATAATTAAAGATTCAAAATAGGGGCACCTCTGACCTATAACGCTTTTATGAAATTAAGATAACAACAAAGCATACCAGGTAAATATGTTGGGATCTCGAATTTCATATGTTCACATGGTTAAGGTGAAAACAAAAGTATCACGTTACTATAACAGGCATGTATGCAACATTCTGTGACGCAGCAGGCAGGCAGGCAGGCAGGCAGGCAGGCAAGCAATTATTTTTGTGCATTAAAAACCCACTTACAATTTTCTTACAACAAGAGCCAGTTACAAGATAAGTTGATAGGTTGACTTAATCTCCAAAGCGGCAAAAGCACAGATTGTATTGTCTCTGCTTTTTCAAATTCAATGTTTACAAAGGCACATCCACAAGCAACAAGTAAAATTGAGCCAAATATTAACAGTTAAATATCATAAATAATAATAAAAGTACAAACAGGTATCTCACCTGCAAAGAGCTTAGGTCAATGCCCAATGAAGGATCAAGATGTAGAAAACCAAAGTTTTGTCCATCCTGAAAGCATAAAAAGATGTTAAGGAAAATAAAAAACTACCAAATAGTACACAATTAACTAAATGCCCAGAATAACGAGAAAAAAGAACCTCATATTCCAAGTCTACTCTCGTGTTTTCAGTAGAATCATCGTATGGCATAGGATCACCAATTTGCTCATGGGATGGAAGAGGATAATCAGAATCAGAAACTAAATTTTCGGGTCTATTTGGTACTTCTCTCCATTCATTTTCTACATGGTTTTGAGAAACTCCATTTCCCACCAAAGGATCAAAACCGTAAGCAACAATAGGAGCTTCTTCATCAACTTTTGGCAATATCCCATCAGAATAACCAAGCTGGTCTTGACCGAAAAACAAATCCTTTCGAGCAAAGTCATTTCCAGCCAATTTTTGGAAGAACGACCAGCTCTTAGGGTCATGGTTTTTCATGTTCAGACTCACGCCAGCTCCATCGTTTTGGAGTGGACTAATGCTCGGAGGGCTATTAGAAAGGATGGCCTTTGAGAATATGTCAGAAAGGATATCACGAGGAAATCTGTCATTTATGTCAATAAGAATATCCGGCTGCTCTGCTTTAGAAACATCTGAGGTGCCCCGTTGATATACATGCTTGGTCTCATTACTAATGTTTTCTACCCTATGGACTCCAGGAAGATGATTACCATCTGAATCTTCCAAGAAATCACCTTGACCCGTTCTGTTCACTAAAGTAACTGTTGATCCAGGCTCAGGCATGTTGTTGCCCAACATATTCTCACCATTGTACTCACCGTGATCTTTGGAATCCACAAAGTCAAGTACAGAGGGCTTGCTCTCTGGATGCTCTGTATGCTCATTCTTAGTCCTTTGGAAATCCACAAAACCGAGGTGTTCAGTGGGTATTATGCCCTGCTGGGATCTTTCAACAGGTTCTGAAATCAAGTCCTGCTGCTCTGGAATATTGGAGCGTGAATGCGTGGTCATCACAAATGGAGAGTTATGCAAATCATCAGACTTGGATAACCTGTGAAGCAACTCGGCTTGTTCCCTGGGGATTCTTTCAGACTGGAAGACCCTCTGAGAAGATGATGCAGCTGGCGGCTCAAAGTAGCTCAAATCAATTGCTCCAGATTCCGTAGTTACAGCAGCACCATCTCCACCATTATAGTAAGTCCCACTGGGTTTCAAAACCTCGACCGGATTAGCACCATCCAGGAGGGAAGACATCTGTACAGGTGGTCCCCTTGATTTTTCCCCGTCCTTTGAAGACACTGAATACATCTCTTCATTTAGTTTAGATGGGACCGCAGTTGATCTTTCATCGACGTAAATGAAGTCCTTGCTATCATTGCATAGATCATTTGGATTCATAATTTGTGGTTCTTGCCCCGTGGCATCTATTAGCTTCCCTTCCGGACGTTTCTGCTCATCCCAATTATGCCTCTCAAGGTGCATAGGTTCTGCAGCACCTTCAACAGGCAAAAGTTGACTGGGATGCAAATTGTAATCATAATGCACCGGTTGCATTCTAACTTGACTAGTATCCAACATATTTCCATGGTAAAACTGTGACTCGGGTTCTGAAGCTTTTGGAACAGTTTGTAAACCAGGTTGAGAAGATTCAGCAGGAGATAAAGACGGCTCAACAAAAGGTGCGGGAGCACTAGCCACAACATAGCCAGGTCTTAAAGACTGATTTGTCTCAATTTTCGATCCATCTAAATTACCCAAATTTAGATTCGGGCTTTTCCTTGATCCAATGTCCAAACCATTGATAGCTACTAGAAACTGAAACTCAGAATCCCCACCAACATTGTGGCTTGAGAAAAAGTTATTATCATCCAGATCAGCAGCCGAGAATAGAAATAGTCTAAGTTTATATGATCCTCGTCCATCATCTAATACTTTGCACTCTTCCATCATATTCTGCAAGTCCTCATCACAAGACACGGAAACCAAGGCATCTAGCTCTTCCCCTGGAAGTTGGTACTTAATACAATAAGTTTCATCATAAATCGCTCTGGTTTTCTGCAATAACTCCTGCCACTGAATGTCCTTGCTAACGCAAATGATGCGTGTTTCACCTCCAGCATATCTGAGTTTTCCATCACTTGGACGAGGTAAGATCCTTCCTCCAAAACTGCAGCAAAACTTAAGCTTCGAGCTGTCAGATGATGCTCCTGATGAAGCCTGTGCAAGTGAATGATAACTACTGTGGAGAGAAAAATTTCTTTGGAACGAATGAGGAATTCTTTGAGATCCGTTTCCCAATATAGGGAGCATAGAAATATCTGAACCACTCTCAGATTCAGAACAACTCACGCCTAAAAGACCTTTTAGTTCCATGTAACTAGGCGCGAAAGTGGGATCGCCTCCATTGCTATTAGGCGGAGATGCTTTCCTAGGAATCCCCCGGTCACGGATGAACTCAAAAGCAAACTCCTCGCCAGTTTGTATAGAGTAGTTAAGTACAGGCTTAGTTTCCAAAGAATGGTGCTGCTCAGTAGATTCCAAGTGTCCATTTGTATAACCCAAGGGATCCACCACATGCCCCTGCAGGTGAGAATCACATTGTTCTTCTTCACCACCTTCAGTGGTGTGAAATGGAGTATGAAGGGTCTGAGTTTTCGACGGCTCCATGGAATCAATTACTGATATTTCCCCTTTCTTTATCTGTTTAGAAGGGGGCAAGTGCAAACATGCCAGGCAAGCTAGAATGCCTCAAAAAAGCTCCAAAAACCGATTACCTTCTGCTTGCAAACCCTATCTACAGATAGCGATTAAGCTGCCAAAGCATCTGCGGTTGTTGCTCTACCACAGCATAATCAACACAAAAAACTGTACAAACAAAAATGAAATCAAATTATAAGTTCAAGGAAACAAATTGATACGAATAACAAATTGAAAAACCATTATGCTGCGAATCACTACATGGTTGGAACCCATTTCTATCCCATCATAAACCCTAAAATACTAAAGCAGCCAAGCAGGGAAATCTAAGGTTTCAGTAAAAACTTGAATTGGATTCCGTCACTAATCCTGTTAGAAGTTCCGAAAAGTCAAAACCAGAAAATACGTCCAAGTTTTAACAGATACAGATTGTAACTTTGACTTCCAAGCTCGAAAATCAATACATAAACTTGTGTAGATGCATACTATGTGTCATCATAGCTTGATGCAAAACGGCATGTATGCAATGTATGCACATAAATATTTGTGCAAAGTACTAAAATGTGGCGTAGCAGGAACGAAACAGGGGAACCCAAAGCACGTTTATTAATTCTTTCAATCCAAGAAAAGGAAAGGAAATGCAACAAAGTACACTGAACTTGAACTTAATGGGAAGAGATACAGATCCAAAAATCATGCATTAATAGCCATATCAAACATCAACAAGAAAAGGGCCATACACTCCCAGGTTAAAACCCCAAAAAGAAAAGGAAAAATAAAAGAAGGAACAAGTAAAGCAGGAAGAAGGTAACTGAAATTTACCTCAAAATAATGGCAGCAAAAACCTCTATTTTCGAAAAGAGGTCCCCCACTTTTTTTTTCCTCCTCTCCTTGAATCAATCAATCAAAACTCTTAACAAAATCAACACCCTTTTGGTTTTCCTCAGCAATTACAATAAATAAATAGACATAACCTCACAAGCATTACTAGTAATTTACAAAGAATCCCTGTTACAGCTGCTAGATAAATTGGCAAGACAAGAATTTCAAACGGGAATAGAATCGAGTCGAACTGAACGTGTTTCGCTCCTCTTTCTCTGGGGAAGTCGTCTTCCACTTCCTTGCTTTACTTCTGATTTCTGAATTCTGACAGTTGTTTTCTTCTGAAATTTTTTTTTTTACCTTCTTTTTGGATTTTGTTATGGCCTTAATATTTCGGCTGGTATAAAAAAAAAATACTAGTGTTCTTTCAAAAGTTTAGAACGACGGCACTGTGTATCTATGTGTATATTGTCCAGCAGGGCAGGGCTTCTTCATTAATTTTTCCTATTTTGCCCTTATTTCTCTTTTTGTTATATATTTTTACGTTGAATCAAATCTCTCCTTCAAATTAAATCTTTCCCTATTTCAAATTTTTTTTAAGTGAAAAAAATGGATGTCTACGGTATAGTTTCAGTTTATTCATTAGAAAATAAATGAATTTTTTTAACAAATGTAAAATTGAATTAAAAATATAGAAAAAGAATGTCTTGGAACTTAAAACCAAGATAATAATAATAATTATAATTATTATTATAATAATAAAACGGTGGCAAAATTCCTTTTTTTTTTTTATTTTTTCAAATCACCGCTTAAATTAATTTTTATGTCTTAGTAGCAGAATAATTTGATCAAACGTAGTGTAACAATAATTTTTTTTTATGTGTTCATATTAGAGGTTGAGATTTTGAATTGATAATTCACTTTATTATACTTCACACTTTGGTATGCTTTTCTTAGAAGATAGAAAGTTAAAAACTTTGTAACCTTCTTCTATTTATTAAAATGAGCTAAATATACTTATTTCTCTTTTAAAGACATCTTCAAGTAAATTGACTTGTACGAGAATATTTTTTTCTTTAACCCTTGTTAGTACGAAGGATGAAACAAAACAGAAATATAACAAACATAGATTAGATACAACATGGGATGGTGACTCACTTCTTTAATCATTTTAGGCGAGATACAACTATGGTACTTACTACGGCAACCAATCAATAAATCATTTTGTCCAAAAAATTAAAAATAAAAAATAAAAAATTATTACTCCTTTTGAAAGATTGCACCAGTTGATGCCTCATTTTTGAAAGTCACATACAATCAGTTCATCTGCCTGCCTTCTTCTACTTCACAGCTTAGAGGTTGCTGGTTAGATTAGGAGAAGTGTGAAGTGTTATATGAGCATAATACTGAATCGGCTTAAAGAATTGTGCAACTCCCTTCTTCGTGTTCTCTGCAAAAGAGCAAGAGGGATCAGAGGAGTTCATGGCTACTCGTTTCGGATCTCAATTTTGCAAGTTTCTCCTATTCTTATGCACATTATTCAAAAGATGATCTCTTCACAAACCCTGAATTAGGTGTTGAACTCAGGTAAATGAAGGGACTTACTTCTTGAAATCTTCGTAGCGACTCAAGGCCTCTTCAAATTTAAGCCAGAGAGGACCTGTTTCCGGATGGTTGACCTTCTGCGGTCCAGTAAGATATGCTTGCACAATGAATTGTGGAGTCCTTTCCCTGTGGATGAGGTTTGAGAGGTTAGCTAGCTAATATAGTAGTATGCCTTACATAAAAGGGAGAAAACAAAATCCAAGGGAAACTATACCTGCCCTCGTATTCTGATAACCAGGCCAGATAGGCTGCGCCAAAGTACATGGAGACAAAAGGCTTGGTGAGGTCTTCAACCGACTCCACTTTGTACACTTTGCAGCCCACGTCCCTGGATGTCCAGTTCAGTTAGCTACGGCATTGAGAAAATACGCAACTACACGAGTGATACTATGTAATCTTCTATTTGCAAACAAAACATTCAGATATCTGAATATGAACATTCAGTAAAGGTAAATAAGTAAAAACAATGCAGATATCTCAGGACTAAGACCTTAAGTTCTGCACTCTATTTCTGTACTCAAGAAATATGAGATGAAGGTACAATAAATTACAGTGATCATATACCATTTTTGGAAGAATAGAGGAAACATTACATTACAAATAAGTGAGTTGCAATTTGCAAAAATCATGAAATGGATGGCCAATCACTTACTTGTAAAGCCAACGTGCCGTAGGATAGTCAATACCCATCAACCCAACACGTTGTCCAACTCCATCCACAAAACGCATGCTTACCATTTCAGAAAGAGCACATAGAACAGCCTGCAAAAAGACAATGTAAGCCACTCTGTCCCCTAACATTGAAAAGGTAACAAGGGTGGAAGATAAGAGAGAAAAGTAGCTGATAGACAAAAAGGAGTGGTAATATCTAAAGGCCTGAAAGATCAATCTCTCTTATAATCTTCCTTTCATTTTTTGTAGCATAAAGGACATTGTTGAATTTGGTTTCAAGCAAAACTCTAGGAATGGCAAACGATTAACCAAGCAAGTCATTGTTAGCAATCACCACAACGGTAGACAAAATTACTTACAGGTTTTACTCTTCTTGTGCTGAAGTGTTTAGCAAGAATGATCTCTGAAACCCCCTGGAAGAAGAAACCGATAAATCAAATTGAACCAACCATAACAATGTAATCACAGAATTTCAAAAAATATTAAAGGGGCATAAGATCAAAAACTATTGTTTAGCAGATACTTTATCTTACCCGCAGTTCTACCCGGGATAGATAAGGTCTCTTTTCAACATCATGAGAAAATCGAACTTTGCCCTTTTTCTCCCCTGACTTGGTCCATTCTTTACTTACACTAGCATTATTCCACATTTCTTCCATATCTTCTTTGGAAGTCCTAGAGTCCCAAGTTGTATTAACTGGCGCTGCCGCATCATAACAAGAGCCATTTTCAAAAAGCAGCCAACTTAAGGCTACGGAATAACATTGTGGTACAAATAATATGTCAATTAAAGAGTGATGCCAAAATATTTTTTTCATACAAGATCACATCACCTTTCGCAGTTGCTACTGCAGGAGTTGTAGCTGAAGAAGCCGTAGGCAGAGCAGTAACTTCAAAGACTTTCCTGTAATAACAAACGAATCAAAAGCAATGCCAAAATTTAAATTTCTACCTTCCAAACTCTAGCGCAAGAAGTATAGCCTAGCAGGAGATAAATGTCACAGTGATTCTAAAAGCCAACAAGAACTACTTAGTTATCAGTGCCAATTCTATCAAGTGTTGCACCATATATAGTATAGATCATACAGATACAATGGATATGAAGCTTCCTGCTTTCCAAGTGACAACAGAGCTTTTCTAGAATCAAAGACCATAAATCTTAAATGTCGTTCAGGGGCAGTACTAGTTTATTCAGAATTGTGATAGAAAAATTTTAAGAAGCATTATGGCCTAACAAGGAAAAATACCTGGAAGGAAGACTTTCCTTAACAGAGATATATCGTTTCCAGTACTGCAATGTTGACTTGTGAGTTGCCTTCTTTGTGCCACCTTTATAAGCCCTTACCATAAATTCTTCACTTCTATCTCTGAAATGACCATCGGATATTAGAAAAAGAACAAACACATGCAACATGTAACGTTTAATCCATATCAGGTTGAAAGAATGAAACCAAAATATTTGTAGAATGCAGCTACGTTCCGCGAGCAAAAGGGAGTTATAGCTCAAAATTGTGTTTCAACATACATAATTATTTTTTGGAAAGCAGCAGGTGAACTTGAAGTAAATAACCTCAGAAGGGTGAAAGCAGAATAGCAGAACAAAAGGCTGACTTCACGTACTTTTGGTCGTAAGTTGATAACCACTTGAGATATGCAGCGCCAAAATATACATTGACAAAAGGCTTGTATAAATGTTTCTGGTTTCCTGAGAAGTCATAGTTTCTATAACCCAAATCTCTGCATGATGCAGCTATCACAAGTCACATAACATTCCGTACAAAATTTGGGAGAGCATTAAGTCATTGACGTACTCCAGATATTACCTGGCCAACCATTCTGCAGTTTTTGGCAAGATTTGCATGATCCCGAGCATAGTCTCTTTTGATTTCTTGTTATATTGAGTAGCCAGAGGCTGCCTATCACTTTCCAGAGTGGCAATAGCACAAAGCATGTCCTGTAGAACAAAGGTTTTGTCCATCCATAATGGAAATTTAGTAACTTTTCAACCAATTAGTTCCCTTGCAATGACGGATATCATCCCAGTCCACAGACTACATTGACAATGGATAAATAACTAATTTTCACTCATACCGAATCAATCTGGGAAACAAAATGCCTCCGGACAATAATCCCTGCTACAGCCTGGAAAAAATTTAGTTAAACTCAAGAGTCAGGGAACGTAATTAACAAAATAATAGTAATAATAATAATACAACAGCCTCACTCAAGAAACAGAATGACTTATGAGGAGCAAAAAAGCATGTCTTTTCCAACTATATCCTTGCATAGTCACATAATTCACCAGAGAAATTCTACAGAAACTTAAGAAATGGAAAGCAAAAACTCTAATCACTAAGCCTCCATTATACTTCGTGGACTCTGGTCATCATGTTTAGTCAGCAAACGTCAAAACTAAGGTCCATGAGACACACATAATGTCCACAGTACATAACACTGAGCAGAGAAGTTTTGGTAATGTGATCAGGGCTAAGTGACACACACCTTGATCTCAGTTTGCGTTAGATAAGGTTGGCCATCAGGATCACGTGAGAGATGAATCTTCGATCCTATGGCTTCTCCAGCGTTAAGCCATTCAGCTCGGACATCAGGATCAGCCCACATGGCCTCCAAATCCTCAAGGTCCACACAGTCATCCCAGTACTTGAAGCTAACAGCCATTCCTTACATTCGAATTCTAGGCAAATGAAATGTTACCAGCAGCTGAAACAAGGAACATATGCACATTGAAATCACATGATAGTTAGCTCATTAATGCCGATCAGGCAAACAAAAGGCAATCCTGAAGAAGCTTAATCGGCGTAGAAGCATAGTACTGACCAACAAAATATGAATGTACACCAAACAAAAGCATTTTATCCTCTGAGTTACATTCGAGTCAGTTTATATACATATATTGACGATACTCGCTATGGCATTCATTGTTTAGCAAATAACAGGGTAAAATGCAATCACAGAAAAAAGACAAGGAAAAAACAAGAAGGGACACCCATTGAATCCCACCAAAAATGGACAAAACTCCAATCGAAATAACATAATCACTCACTGAGTCAATTCAACAAACATTAATTCGGGAAAATCCTTATTCCCACTTTGAAATAACCCTCAAAGATAACATTGCATGCATGGATCGTGGCTCCTCCGTGTACCTCATTGTTCATTGTACACATTATCATCACATTGCATGATATGATCAAATCAAAATGGAGGAACGTATCTATATTTAATTACATGAACAGAAATTTTTTTTATTAAAAAAAAAAAAAAAAGTAAACATGTACCAGGGTTTTTTTTTGGGAAGAAGAAACAAAGAACAGAGCTGAGGTCGATAGAATTATCGCTTTTTTATTGCTGGAAATCAATCAGATGAAAAGAAAAAGAAAAAGAAAAAGAGAGGGTTAGATCGAGGAAGAAGGAAATATGAAGAAGCAGCTCCAACAGAGGGAAAATCTGTCCCTTCAATTCAATCCTTCCTCCTACGAACAAAAAGGAACAAACAAATTATTTCTTTTTTATTTGGTTTTTGACGCTACGTTGACATTCTTCCGACCGCGTTTTGTAATGTCGTACTAATGATTTGGTTCAAGTCTTTCGAATGTATGACAGATAATTGTTCGATTTGGTTTACGACTTTTTGATTAAGGATAATTTATTATTTTATCTTCTTATTTTTTTTCTTTTGGTTTCTAGATGTATCGAAGAAACACTTTTATTATACACCTTCTTCTCTGTTTTTATTTGTACTGAATTTTCGGCCAAATGGTTGGTAGAGATCAAAACTATATTTTGGTATTCACAATCGTTCTGTCTCTTTAGTAAGAAGGAGGTACTAATAAATGACATAAATCCCATACTTTTCAAACAGACCTGGGATAGAAATAGCATTGTCAAATATAAAATAAGTTATAAACCGTAGTACCCCTCTGGTCGTTAATATAAGTCATTTTAATTTATCTTAGGTTTAACTTAGTACATATTTTTAATTGACAAAAAAATTAAAAAAAATATTATAACAATTAAGAGAATATAACGAATGTGAAGTATTTTTTGTCAATTTATAATGCGTATTAGACGAAACTTAAGACAAAATCAAAATGTCTTATATTAAACACCAGAGGGAGTATGACTTTTTCATTAAAAATGAACGGACATTTATGATCATGAATATAAGTTTTAGTTTGCAATACTCTAGTTTATTATCAAGAATCTCGGTTTAATTTGACAATCTTTCTTGAAATGAGAAGTGTGTGTAACCCAAAATTTAATATAGTTCACTAATTGCTTAAATTAAAATCAAGTTATATCTATTAATTAACAGCATCATAATCATCAGGGGAAAAAAATATATAATCAAAGAAAAATCGTCACTTGTCAGTTTACGTAAAAGAACAACCCTACTTGTCACTCTCAAAACATATTAGAAAGTCCAAATCGAATGTCTTGAAGGAGTGGGCCATAACATAACGCATCAAACCCAGTGATGACGTAATTGGACACTCCAGTACTACGCTTTGCCAAGAACAATTTTGGCCCATTTCCCTCCGGTTGCGTTTTTCAATAGCAATTTGTATACCATCGCAATTTTACATGGAATCAGATGTAATTGCCCTAAATCTTTATCTGGGTCGAGGGGATATGGCTTAAACTAAATTATAAGCATCAAGTTAGAAACTATTGGATCCAGAGGAATAATGATAAATCATTATTTTAGAGCTCACAAATGTATCAAACGTTGTCTCTGTGCAAATTTAAATTAAAAACATCGTGTTTTAAATCATTTGCTCTGCGTTGGTGCAATTGAGTCCAACTATAGTAATTAGTTTCTCCCTCTACTTTGTTTTTAGAAAACTAAATTAGGATCTACTAACTAAATACCTAAGTTGTTTATGTAAGTGATGATGGAGAATTGCTATGTTATCTTTTTGGTGCTTTATTTATTTATTTTTGATAGAATTGAATTTTATTAATTGGCTGGGAACTGCCCAACACAGAATGAGGTACGAAATCTGGGATAATATCTCAATATTTTTCAAAGTTTCTAGTGTTTTTTGGTGCTAATAATTACTCTCTCCGTCCCATAATTATTGTTCACTTTACCCAAAAAATTTTGTCCCAAAATTATTGTCCAATTTCACTTTTTATGGATCAAGTTACCAATTTGTCCTTAGTAAAAAACATTATCCATAAAATCTTAGTAGTTAAAAATTACTTATGTAGGGGTATATCCGGTTGTTTAAGGTAAAATATAGTTAAGTATGACTAAAAATAAAATCTTTCATTTTAGTAAAACTGGACAATAATTATGGGACGGAGGGAGTATTTGATAATATTGCTTAGATTTTTCACAAGCATAGAAGACAAGTTTGAATTGGCATATCCCGGCTGACGTAGGTAACGAAGGATATGGGCCCGCCCCGAAAGCCCAGCACACCTTGAGAGCTGAGACGACATGCCGGTAGTTACTAAACGACAACATTTTCCCTCAATTTTATAGCACAAAAATTACTAGCGGAAAAATAAACCAAAAGACAGATCCATATTCCATAGAGGAGTAGTCCATTTCAACGTTTATTCCAGAAACACAGCAAAAGCGACCGAATCAGAAGATTTTGAAGGGCCAAATGTTGCCTAAAAATGGGCCACACTTACCTACGTTGTTGTCTCCTATAAAATATCATTTCACACGACTTCATTGTAAAATTTTTCTTGTTCTCTTCATTTATTCATGCCACCCATATAACATACATTTAGTCTCAAAATATAGAAAGCCAAAGTTGCTTTTATATGCAAGAAAGAATGGCAACGGAGATTTGAACTCTGATCTCATAATTACACGTTTCGTGCAAACTATATTTCACACAACTTTCCATCCATGAAAATAACCTTATATTGACTCTATTTATGACGAAAACTATTTATGTAACTCTAATAGCCGTAACAGTTTCTTATAAACGCCAGAGATTATTAATTTATTTTCTCGTTTCATTTTAGAAACGAATATATATATATACATATTTTTATTTTTATCAAAATAATTGTCACCGTTTGTACCAACAAAGAAGCAATTATCGCGTTTTATTATATCTATCACTGGAACAGATGAAGTATGGAATTTTTCTGGAGCAAATGAAGTATGAAATTAAAATTGCGATTCCTCCACAATAAACATCTAAATAAGCCCACCACCAAGACAAAATAGAAATTAAGAAATGTAAAAATTTCAACGTATGAATAGTTTTATTAACAAAACAAATAGAGTTGAAATTTGAAGAGTCTCTGCTTCTGACTTCTCTAAAGATCTCCCCTCGTCGGACAATTCCATGGCTGTTTGAGACACCAAAGAAACACCTAACCCCTCCTGATTTATTAAATAGGAAAAAAAAGAGGGTTTGGTTTTTTGATTCTTAAGAATCTCCGCTGCAGCAAAAGTCAGAAAAGCAAAAAAATAAAATATATATACAAATAGTAAAATAAAAACCCTCAAAAAACAGAGAGAGAGAGAGAAAGAGAGGAGCAGTTTTTACGCATTTAAAAAGCTGACAAAGTTGCCACCTTTCTCCTCCTACTTCTCCCCAGCCACCAAGCGCCACCCAACCCTCCTTCCCTCCTTCCAAGAGGTCCTCTCCCCCAATAGGGTTTTACACTTTGCTGCACTTGAGAGAGCTTTTCTTCCATATTAGGGTCTGTTTCACCTTTTTTTTTTCACTTCTAATTATTAATACAGCGGAAGAAAGGAGTGAAAAAGGCTCCATTTTTTGTTATTGTTATTGGTATCAATACTAATTTGTGCCTTTTTGTTTTGCCTTTCATTCAGATGGCGTTCTCTTCCCTTCTCAGATCCACGCCATCCCCTGTTCTCCAGGCACCTCACCGATCCAAGGTCACTATCATTTTTTATCATTGTTCTTTTTTCCTTCTTTTGGCGTGCACAATTTGTTTTCAATTTTTTGTGTGTTGTATCTCTTGTTTGTCCTTGATTGAACAGTGCTGTATTTATATGGTTTTGGCTGATTCTTTTCTTCTCCTTTTTTCCCCAAGATGTTTCCAGCAAAAATTTGGACCTTTTTTTTTATTATCATTTTTGCATTTCCTATCTCAATTTATGTTAACTCGGGCCATGTTATGCTGCCCTGTTCTGTCCTGTCCTGTCCTAGCCTGCCCTGCCCAGCTGAGAAATCAGGCTAAAGCTATGTAATTCATCAGCAATTTTGTGTCTTATAATTAATATAGAAAGGAGAAGCTGCATTCCTAATTTACTGGTGTTTTTGAGGTTCAAATACATGGTTATTTTGTTGTTTTTCAGGCAAGTGCAAGTCTCAACGGGAGTGCTAGCAGCTCTGTAAACTTCCAATCTAGCATCGTTGGTCATCCCATTTCTGTCGAATCTTCATCACTGTCTTCCTTCCAGTTGAGTAGAAAACGCATTCTCCTGTATCTCCTCTATTCACCCCCGCCCTCCCCCCCCTAACAAAAAATTGGAAGATATCTTTCGCAAAGCCTTTAACTTGTTTTTGCATATTTAATTGAATATCATTGAGTTACCAGAGTTGAGACTGATTAATTTAGCCAAGGTTACATAGGGATAAATTAATCAATGTTCTTTCTTATCTGCATTAGCTCTACCATTGTAACCACTTCATTTATAATGCAATTTGTGAAATTTTTTCATATTGGCTGATGAGTGACTCTGTGTTATGTTGTAAAAACATTGTAGGGTGAGGCGTATTCAACCTATCAAAGCTACAGCCACTGAATTGCCTCCCACCATTCAGAGTAAGATTTCTCACCGTGCTTACTTAATCTGCTCTCTGTTTTGTTTGGATATGAGCTATCTTACTGACCTTCTTTGGGGTTTTGGAATTTTGTAGAATCTCCAAGCGGTGGGAAAACAAAAATCGGAATCAATGGTAAGTGGCACGTGAATGGATCATACACTACTCAGAATTCTTTCTTTTCACTACTCAGGATTCTTTCTTTTCCGCATTTAAATTTGCATATTTCTCTCCACAATGTATTTTCTGTTCTATTGGCAATGATAAAATATCAAACATTTTACTTATGCAGGATTTGGCCGAATTGGCAGATTAGTGTTGCGAATAGCAACGTCAAGGGATGACATTGATGTGGTTGCTGTGAATGATCCATTTATTGATGCAAAGTACATGGTAGATATTCTTAGACCATCTTTTTATTTTTCAGTCTTGAGTGTAGGATGTAGCTTGAGCTTCGTATTCTTGAGTAAAAATCCTGTTCTATTACCTTAAGGACTCATCGAAAGCCCAAATCTAAGTTTTTAAAGTTTATTTGGTTTGCGCATCTGCTTAGCAAGATTAAATTGTGATCACATGTAAAATGATATGTGCTGACCTGACATAGTGGGATTTGTTGTACTTAATATGATTTACATATCAAGTCACGGTAGAAATAGACCTTTAGTGTTTCTTATTAGTTTCCAGCTACATTTCTTATGCCTGATCGAGATGGTGATAGTGTGGGTGTGGGGTTTTTTTTTGTTCTTGGGTTACTTGGCGTTTCTGGGATTTTGAAGTTCCAGTTATATCCTTCGACCTGGCTAGTATTAGCTCAAGAATATGTTACAAATGCTTTTCAAGTTTTTACTTTATCCCAAAGAGTAGCAGAACGTTCTCTAGAGAGGAACTTTTAATTGAATTATGGGCAAGATGCATCCGAAATGTAGGGACTTCACTCCAATTATGCCCCTTTTTGAATCTACCAAAATCTTCTAGTAACGTCAGGGGCTGATTTGTTATTGGATAGTTTATTCAAAGCATTTTACTTGTTTCGGCTGACCACCTATTATTTGTAATGGACATGTAGTAGTTGATTAACAACACAGTGTAACCATTCACATTTTCGTATTTTCAGGCCTACATGTTCAAGTATGATTCCACTCATGGAGTCTTCAAGGGAACCCTCAGGGTTTTAGATGAGACAACCTTGGAAATCAATGGGAAGCAGATTAAAGTTAGCAGCCAGAGGCATGAAGTTAAAATTTGATGCATCATATTTGTTTTCAGTAACTTTTCATAAGAATGTCTTTTATTATTTTTGCGATTATGATATTCAACCACTTACGTGCAGGAACCCTGCTGACATCCCGTGGGGTGATTATGGGGCTGACTATGTTGTTGAATCTTCTGGGGTCTTCACAACCGTTGAGAAGGCATCAGCACACAAGAAGGTTGGTGATTTTATTTGATGTTTTCATGGTTTAATATCTGATCTTAATGCATGCATGAAAGGTCTTACTGTTCTGGGTTTGTGAGTTGTAGGGTGGAGCTAAGAAAGTTGTCATTTCAGCTCCGTCTGCTGATGCACCTATGTTTGTAGTGGGAGTGAATGAGACTACCTACAAACCAAGCATGGATGTTGTTTCGAATGCTAGCTGTACAACTAATTGCCTTGCTCCACTTGCTAAGGTTTGACATACTCTTGCGGAACTTAGAGACAATGGACTGGTTTATGGGGTCGGGTGGGGGTGGTGTGTCTTGAAGATTCTGAACTTTTACTGAGAAGCAACTTTCATGAAATAGGATGGTTTTCTCTTACGCCGTTCAGTTCTGCTGCCCCGTTGTTAATATTTTTTTATCCTTCTTTTGCAGGTGGTTCACGAGGAATTTGGTATTGTAGAGGGATTGATGACAACTGTCCATGCAACTACAGGTCTCTCCCTGAATAAACATTGCCCTTGAACCATTTTCTCCATTGACATAATATCAAACCGTGCAGTTTTTATATGTGTCTTGTTCTTTCTTGTACTCAGCCACTCAAAAGACCGTTGATGGTCCTTCAATGAAGGATTGGCGTGGTGGTCGTGGAGCAGGGCAAAACATCATCCCAAGTTCCACTGGTGCTGCAAAGGTATGATGATTTGGAAGAGTCACCAGTTGTCTCTTATATTTAACATACCCGCCATCTCTTATTCTGTCTGCAAAACTATATTTTAGGCTGTTGGAAAAGTTCTTCCGGAACTTAATGGTAAGCTTACTGGAATGGCATTCCGTGTTCCAACTCCCAATGTCTCTGTTGTGGATTTGACTTGTCGCATTGCAAAGAGTGCATCTTATGAAGATGTTAAAGCAGCCATCAAGTATGACCGTATTTACTATCCCTTTCGTTGTGCTGTATCTTTGGCAAAGCTTCAATGAGGGGTAGATCCTAATCTAAAATGCATAAAATATCAGGTATGCTTCGGAAGGGCCCCTGAATGGCATTCTTGGATACACAGACGAAGATGTAGTTTCTAATGACTTTGTTGGCGATTCAAGGTAAAAATACTTATCTCACATTTATGCCCTGATGATTTCCCATTTCATTTTTTGAGTGTTCTCTTAGCATATTGGAAAACATTAATGGATATTCTTCAAAAAATAAAAAGAAAAGAAAAACCACTAATTGTTGAATCTCATGTTGTGTATTGCATAAAACCTTTGCTTTCGGCTTTCATAAAGCTCTAGTAGGCGGCTGGTATTAGAGTAGTACTTGATGGTTGTGTTTATTGGAAGAGATATAGGTTGATTGGAAGTAAATATAGGTTGGTTCTCCGCGGATAGTACATTAGGGTGGAAACTCACTTGGATGTTTTGGTTCATTCTTTTAGGTCAAGCATATTTGATGCAAAAGCTGGGATAGGGCTAAGTGATTCTTTCATGAAGCTGGTTTCGTGGTATGACAATGAATGTGGTTACAGGTATCTCCTTTTTTCTCTCATCGATTTTCTCCATTTTAGTGCTGCATTCTATTTCTGCAAAAACCCCTGCACCAAACTCATTTTCGCAATGTTTTCTAATGCAGCAACCGGGTAGTGGACCTAATCGAGTACATGGCATTGGTGGCAGCCACCCAGTGAGAATTTTTTTTGTCAGCTCTTGAGTGGCATATTGTTACAAGTGTCAAGCACTGGAAAAAAGGTTGCTTGTAGCATATTTTGTTGAAACTTCAAAACCATGAAATCTGTATTGTTGGGAAGAGGGGGTGTTTAGTTAAAGCAGGTTTAGTAACTAGGAGTATTTTGGTTGTTCTAATCTGGAAATGGTATACGCTACTTGGTTTTGGAGCAATATCACTATAAATTTGACCCTCTGCATCGCAATAATGAATTGACTTGGCTTGAGTTGGATTGAATGCTGAGTGAATGGGTAAAAAGCAAAGCCATGCTCACATAGAGGTACTTCATTTACTCTGTATTTTCTGCACATGTGATAAAAGTTGCACCTGTTTTATTCTGGAGTATGAACATGCCCATGTCTCTGATTTTGCCAATTTGAAGATTTTTTTTTCCCCCCTCGCTTTTTCTTTTTCTTGGGTGAAACATCTTTGTCTACTCACTGTGTATGGATTCAATGCTTCCATCACTGTTTCATGTGCTATCATGTTAACATTGCCTCAATCTGCACGCATTGTTGGGTGAGGGAAAAAATGCTCCAAATGAGGGGACTCGAAGGTCTAAACTTTTTAGACTTTGAAATACTTTGGCCAGCTGATGAGCAGAAAAGAATAAATGTTATTGCAAAAAATCTTGGTGGAAATAAACTTGTTTATAAGTTATGGATTTGATCTGGATAACATCATCTTTCATGAGTTAGGAAGGTAAAATGCTTCAATCAAACATTAAAGCCGTTTCATTTCCAAATGAATAACCTTTCTTCTTCAGTGTCCCAATCTTCCCAACAATTCCCCCGGAGAGTTCAGATTGGTTTCAATCTGACCAACTAGAAATAGACACAACAAGGACTTCTTGTGTCAAGTCCGACAAACTAATAAAATTTCAGAGCGAGTAACAAGATTTGTCAATCTATATTGGTTAATTAATTCATCCCAACTAACAAATAATCCTGGAAAATCTTGCATCCCGCACTTTGTGCCTAACAAGCTAAAAGGAAAAGGAAGTGAAACAAGTAACTAACCAAAATGGGTTGCAATTGCAGACAATAATTTCTCGTAATTCAAGATCGTTGAGGGTGAAGGAGCAACATACTGTATATTCTAATTGATTATTTCCAATTGATTAGATGGAGAAACAAGAAGTTGATTATAAGTCATGGACTGATATACATAAATCTTGAAACTTGAACTAAATCAAACACCTTAAGTTTAGTTCAAGACCCTAAATAACCACCTTGGAAGGATTAAAAATGTTGGTTTCTTATTCAGTGGATTAAGAAGAAAATTAACTAACAAAATGGATTGTTTTTCTTGGACGAGGGATTAATTTATATGCAAGAAAAAGGGAGAAAGAATTAACCAAAAAGAAAAAAAACCGAACATGGTTGCAGCAATAAATACGTCTAACAAATTTAAAGAACGTGAAAAGGATTTTGAAAAACATTATTGCGACGATGGAAAGTGTCTGAATCCTATTCTTCTTCTGATGATGATGATGAATATTGGTCTGAATCCGATTCTTCCGATGAACACTGATCTTTTGAACCCAATTCTTCTTCTGGGTAGATCGTTGGTTCAAACCAGCAACAATATAACTGTTCTTTCGATCCATCATAACTCATCAATGAGTCCTCATCACAATCATCTCCTTCCTTGCATTTTGAGCAGTGAAATTTGCTTGTTTTGAGGGAATAATAGACGATCGAATCTTTATAGAACCTGGGGAAATAAATCCGGTTTCCCCATCTCAGGATTTTTAGTCTCTTTAGCCATACCCGAAACACTAGATAAATACAAGTTCGTGTTCTTCAAGTCCTTCACTTCTTCCCACATCAATGTCGAGGATGATTGATTCAATCTGAAAACTCTGCACCATTTCCATGCCTCTCCTACATACACGGACAACACATCTTCATCGCTTCCCACCAAGAAATTTCTGTCGTAAGGATCGCTACAAGGTGATGCAAGTTGATGGGCACTTACAACATTGGTATCATCTCTTTCGAGAGCAAGGATTACTAGATAGTCCACACTCTCTGTGGTACCATCTTCTAGTAGAGTCTCATCACAACCTAGGAAGTAAAAGGATCCGTCCACTCTGTCCCCCTGATCAGTCTTCGTGAGGAGCTGTGGTGTTGCATGCTTTGTAGGTTAAGAGACTCGAGTACTACAACTACATGTTTACTGGAATATCCTGACTTTGTTTTGAACGGGAGCATACTGGCTATAAAATGAGCCGTTAAAGAGAAATTGTAAAGTTTAAGAGGAATTTGCTCCATACTTTTCTGTTAGGGAAGTAATGGGAAAGACAAAAGATTTGGCAAGCGAGTAACCATCACAGCCATACGTACACGATAGCTTTTCGATCGGTTCTTGGACTGGAAAGCCTACAATTTGAAACCAGGCTCCCAGCTGCTGGCCATGCCATTGGTTTCATCCTCTGATGTCCTTCGATCTTGTCCAACCCATTGGAAGCTACAAGCGTTGTGGAATGTGGAGTTCCTCAGGGAAGTGGTATGCCTAGTCCTACAGTAACCCTGTACAAGCTGGTTTTGGATGGCGATGATCCAAGTAATGTCTCTTGCCCGGTTGCTTCGGCTGTTTGGGAACTGGTTTTGCTTGTATTTTTCCAACTATAAAGAGGGAGGCCAATTCACACGTTCTGCCAGTTCCTGTTAAGGAAACCAGCGTAGGCATGGTGAAAGGAAAACTGTGTGTGTTTGAGAAGAAATCCAGTACTACTTTGCTGGCATTGTTTGACTGAGATCAGATGGCATTACGGATCAACAACTTGCAAAAACATTAAACTTCAACACAATGTAGAAATCAAATTAATGTTCCCCACATCTCCGGGTTCACCAATTATTGTTAACCTTTTATTAGATACTTGAGCTTTGACAGACCAAAGAAGTGCATGCTCACTTCAAGTGTTTGCTTGAACATGAGAATGAGCTAGCCACTTCCAATAGCAAGTCAATCCTTTCTACACATTGCAACTTGTATATAACCTTGTATTTTCTGTACATTACTTCGAGGAGTTCCAGCAATTTATCCTATGATCATGAAAATTTTTTTGTTCCTATATCAAAATTCCCAACAGGGTAAAGAGATGAGTTACAAATCAATCTGTCTTGTTTCCCTGTTTTTGCCTTCACACAAGTTTGTACTCCAGCAACTAAATAACTCAGCAGAACCAAGACAAATTCATGTAAAGTATGAGCATGCCTCGCTCCAGTGCTTCACAACGAATAAGATTCTGCAATTTGATCCTCATTTAGACGACACTTTCTTCTGCTTTTTGTTATTTTTCTTTAAAAGACCTTTTTCGGCCAACATTTTCAATTTCTGTGCTTTGCGTGTTTTTGCTATCTCATCAAATCCGTCATCCGTCATCCTCATCTTAGCCACACGTTTTGCATCGAAAACCTGAAAGCAAGAGTAACAAACTAACAATAAATTCAACCTGAAAGGATACCCAACGTGACCAGGGTGTGTTTGGGGGTGGGAGTTCATTTCTTTATACCAACAAAAACCAAGAAAGCAATTATGTTTACCTTTTTGGTGAAGGGAAGATTGTCCCTCTCGTCACATTCAAATTTCTCCAACTGTTTCCCCAGAACAGCTTCTATTTCATGGAGTAGACATAAATCATTCTGCAAAGCAAAGATCAAACAATTTATACCTCTTCATAATCAACTCACTAGAGCACCTATGAACTTCTTACCTGTGTGACAAAACTAAGAGCAAGGCCACCCCTTCCAGCTCTTGCTGTACGCCCTACGCGATGAACATAATCCCGAGGGAACCTGAATTGCAAAATGGCATTTCCTGTAATCAATAAAATTGAAAGATAATTGAACATTGAAGCACACATTAAGAACAGCAGAGCAAAGCTTGCCACCTTGGAATGTCATAGTTTATGACGAGATCAACTGCTGGAATATCCAACCCGCGGCTAGCAACATCAGTTGCCAACAGTATAGGAACCTTCCCGGATTTGAATTTGTGAATTGCTGAAAGCCTCAAAGCTTGTGATTTAAAAGAATGCAATGCAGCTGCGTCTACATCTAGTTCTTCCAAAAACAAACTAAGGAGCTGACAACTTCTGCTCAAACATAGTAAAAACAAAAGCCAGAAACATGTACACAAGATCAGAAATTATTTAGAAAAATTTCTGATTATAATTTGAACCGCTAATGAGTTTAAAGAAAGATAATAAGAAGCACCTACTTGCAAGTAGAAACAAAAATAATAGCCGAACGGACATTCATGTCTTCCAATTTAGAGAGGACATAAAAGAGATAGACTTCCTTGTAAGACTTTCCAAGGAATAGATACTGCTGCTTGAGAGACTCCACTGTCTTGAACCCTTCATAAGCCTCGTAAAAGTATGCTTTATTTGCAGATAACTGGAGTAGAGTTTCCAGTTCACTAGTCATCGTTGCAGAAAAAAGCAGGGTTTGTCTACTCTTCGGCAGACACTGGAAGACTACCCTCAGCTCCTCTTCAAAGCCAACGTCCAGAAGTCTGTCTGCCTCATCTAAAACTAGGAACTAAACCAAAATAAAATTAGGCTAATGTGCTCCATTCAAAATGATTACAAAAAAGAATATTTGTTCTGAAAGCAAAGCAATTATGAATCAAATCACGCTAATTTAACTCTAAAAAAATAACCAAAGAAAACTAAAAGTGGGATGTTTTAATGTGATGAGTAACAGCTGCCGAAAGGCTACTAAAAGCACAAAGCTTTCAGTTTGTTGAACGGTTTTCTACAGGGATCAAATGCTTTTGAAGTGCACAACGAAGAGAAAACAACAATAACAGAATCATGTTACTTTCAAAAGAAGATAAAAACCCACTCCTTTTGCAACTCTCAAGTCTGAACAAGCTACAAACATTTTGCTAGTATTCTTCACACAAGAATAATACATTCACAAAACTTTTAGCTGCTTCTTACACACAGGTCATCCTAAGCAGACCTTGCAGTGAAGAATCCACCTACACCACTACATGCATTCCAACAGAGTGGCAACTGGCTCGAGTCTTGTACTCGAGGTTCGGAGTGATAATCCCACCTCAGGGTGTCAATTTTTTTATTTTATTTATTTTTCACGAGGTAAATTATTTCCAAGGATCTCAATTTTCACGTGATGTTCATGTTACATGATGCAAAATAAAGATGCCGCACCCGGCTCATTACATACGTTTTATTTTGTATTGTTTTCAGGTTACCCTACACCTCAAATTATTCTCAACAAAAACAAACCTCAAAAAGTAATGAAGTAAAACCAAATGAACTAAACTTTTGCAGTAATCCTAAGCAGAATTGTAAGCAAAGAATCTTCCTTTTTCTACTCCAAATGAACTATATAATAAACATATTTCAAATAGCAAAACACAAATATTTCCACACACAATAGAGACAAAATGAAAACACATAGTAAATTACCTTAGTTTTTGAAAAAACAGCAGGGATATCATCCGGGTTCTCCTCAATAAGAACCTTAATCCGGCCGGGTGTGGATATGACCACGTGGGGCCTCGACATCAGAGTCTGGGCTTGGTTTATAATGTCCATTCCGCCGATAATAACGGAGCACCGCAAATGCAAGCCCGACCCGAGTGCTTTGAACTGCTCCGCCAGCTGGTAAGCTAGCTCCCGGGTCGGAGTCATGACGAGAGCGAACACCCCATACGGGTCCCCGGCGAGGCGGTGGAGTATTGGGAGAGCGAAAGCCGCCGTCTTTCCGCTGCCGGTCTGAGCCAGGCCCAGGACGTCCTGCCCGGCAAGGATTCGGGGTATGCAATGACGTTGGACGGGAGTAGGCCTCTTCATGCCCAGTTCATTGCAGGTTGTGCAGGCCCATTCGGCGAGTCCCAATTCAGAGAAGGTGATGTCAGTTGGAGTTTCGGTGGTGGGATTAGTTTCGGTTTCCTTCTCAACTGCTGGAACCGGCGCCGGAGTTGAAGCTTCGGTGGTTTGTAGGGCGGTGGAGTCCTCGACAGAAGTGGTTTCGGATTTTTGACGTTTGGGTTTGCGGGAAAACAAAGGGAAGCTTCCATCCAATGGGGAAAGGTCTTCTTCCATGGTGTTATTGGTGGTGGAGCGGCGGCGGTAGCTGGGGCGGGTTTGATGGTCGGAAAAGGAGAAGGAGCTGGTTAAGTCTCTTAGTGGAACAGTGAAAAGAATGGGAAATTTTAAATTAGGGCTTTTATCTTCAAGGATTCGGTTTCTGATTTGACAAATTTGCCCATAATATTATAAGAGCCTGTTAGAAATAAAATGTAATGGGAGATAAAACGATTTTTTGAAACACAAAGGACCAAAACAAAAATGGGTCTTTCCTCTTTTACGTGGACTTTTCGACGCTACGTAAGCATAAGAAGAAAGGGTTGTCGAAAAATCAAATCTTTGAATAGAATATACCCATAAGAAAGGGAAAAAACATAATTTTATATTATGAAACCCATTTTTCGTGGACGTAAATTGGTTAATATCGAAATTTGGATTGGACGAAAGAAACTGTCTTAAGTTTTTCACCACGGCTTCAGCTACAAAAGGACACGAAAAATTAAAAAAAAAAAAAAGGAAAGGTACCTAACAAAAAGATGATCTTTTTCTAGTGTATACCGGGATTGTAAAACTAGGCGTCGGTTTTGTTTTTGTTGGAGGAGGCCGGCAAACACTGCGTAGAAAATTTAATTGGGTGAGGAGGAGGAGCTGCAGAAGAAGTGATCAATGGAGGGAGGTTCGGGATCCGGGTCGGGGTCACCATTCAAGGATGATATATTGAAAGGGAAGGTAGCCCTGTTGACTGGAGGTGCTTCAGGTATTGGTTATGAGATATCACTTCAGTTTGGGAAGCATGGTGCGGCTGTTGCCCTGATGGGCCGCCGTAAATCCGTCATCGATGGTGCTGTCTCCTCTCTCCGATCCCTTGGAATTCAGGTATTGGAAAAAATTTCCCTTATTTTCTTCTTCTTTCTCTTGCAATCAGTTTCTGTTTTATTGAGTTCCTGAATTAGGGAGGTGCTTTGGTTGGGCTAATTATCATGTTCTACTTGCTGCAAGTAGTTTCTGTATTGTTTTTTTTTTTCTTGGATTTTAGTTGAAGGTCCAGGTTTGAGCAAGAAATGATCCGTACACCTGAACCGGATAATAGTGATAGAGGGGAGGCGGATAAATATTTAGCTGTTGTTGATTAATCTAATTTAGTTAAATTTCTTGATAAAAATTGATGGCAAGATATGATCTGTGTAGCCAACCCCTGATCGGTGGAAATAGTTAATTTAAGAGTTGGGACTTGGGAGCTCAATCTTGTTCAGTTTGTGTTTATAGATCACGGGGTTTTGAACCTCATCATGCACCTAAAAGTTACTCCCTCTGTCCCAAAAATGATTGTCCAGTTTGGAATTTCACTTTTAGTACAATTTGTACTAGAAATGAAAATCAAAACTGGACAATCATTTCATGATGGAGGGAGTATCTCTTTAGTATACGTTTTTTCTTATGCTGTTAAGTTCCAAATTCTGATGTCTGAGTCTAAAATCAACAGTTTTTTTATATTTTTTTATTGATTAACTGGGATAATAATGGGATGGGTTCAGCATATCTTTGCACTTTGATTTTTTTTTCATCACTGCACAAAGGATAAGTTGGCAGGCTTTACTGCATATGGTTTTATTCGGTAAATAAAAAAAGGAAATAAAGTTATCTATAAGTTCAGATGTTTCTCTGTTCAGCATGTGTTGGTGATTCAGGTTAATTATCTATCTTTTATCAAGATATCACTTAACTTTTTGCTTTATGAGCATATTCTGTTGTCATCATTTTGTCAAAGGAACTCTGGGGATGTATGTCTGCTAATGTATGAGTTGTGTGATTTTGTTTTCCTTTCTAATAGGAAAGTTAATGAGTTAGGTAATGGTTGATCTGTTACAAGGGCTTCTAATGTTCTTCATGTGCCTATAATATGTTTTTCCAATTAGAAGTTCCTGTCTCATCTAATATTTGGCACTTATCAATTTATCTAGGCAGTTGGCTTTCAAGGTGATGTTCGCAAACAGGAGGATGCAAAAAGAGTTGTGGAGTCAACAGTGGAGCATTTTGGGAAGCTGGACATTCTTGTCAATGCTGCGGCTGGCAATTTTCTTGTGTCTCCAGAGGATTTATCCCCAAACGGATTTCGAACAGGTTTGTTTTCTTGATTTTCTGCAGTCTGTTCAGTAAGGCATAATATTCATTTTAGGAGAAGTTACGCTGAACAAATGTTAACGGCAGTTAAGTAACATGAAAAATGTTAACCTCTCGTTGAAGTTAAAATACATGTTAATTGGCTGCTTACCTTTCCATTGACTGAGGGAGTTTCTTGTGGGGATTTTTTCTTACAGTGCTGGATATTGATTCAGTCGGCACATTTACCATGTGTCACGAAGCACTTAAATATCTGAAGAAAGGCGGACCTGGAAGGCACTCGTCATCAACAGGTGGGATGATATTGAACATTAGTGCCACTTTACATTACACTGCTTCCTGGTATCAAATCCATGTGTCTGCAGCTAAGGTTTGTCAACTTTAAACCACCCCCCCCCCCCCCCCCCCTCTTTTGGTGAATAAAAATTCAACTCTTTCTCGCACATCAGTTTCAAATGTTTTATCTAACACTCTTTCAAATTCTAGGCTGCTGTAGATTCACTTACCAGAACTTTAGCTCTCGAGTGGGGTACTGATTATGACATTAGAGTTAACGGAATTGCACCAGGCCCGATAGGGGACACTACTGGTTTGAGCAAGCTCGCACCCAAGGAGATCAATAACAAAGGAAGTGAGTACATGCCACTCTACAAAGTCGGGGAGAAGTGGGATATTGCCATGTCTGCTCTCTACCTGGCATCAGATGCTGGTTAGTATATCCTTTTAAGGCTGTTGATAGTGCTGTAAAAGAACCATTTTTTTTTTGTGCATCACACAGGCTTAATGATTATAGTAAAATATAATGTGTATAGCTTGTGATGTTCTCCGACTGGAACCTGGACGTCATAACGGGAGATGTCTGCCGGTGTCTCATGTGGCCAAGCTGCATAGGGCACCTTGCATAATTGCTGCATTTCCAAATTTATTTTCCTTTGTTTTGGTTTTAAATCCGCATGTCTGAGCCCCTCTTATATGTTGTTATCCAATCTTATTCCATTGCATATTTTCTGCAGGCAAGTACATCAATGGAAGCACCATTATAGTCGACGGAGGGCTGTGGTTGAGTAGGCCTCGTCATCTACCAAAAGATGCTGTTCGACAGCTTTCCCGTGAAGTCGAGAAGAGATCAAGAGACAAGCCAGTTGGTCTTCCAACCAGCAAACTTTAACTAATATCAATTTAGATCCTCCCATGGAGAAATTCTAGCCATTTATAGTGTGCATGATTACAGGGCATATCACTTTTTTTGTTATAAATAATTACTTAAAAAAGAAAAGCGACCAATTTTTTTTTTTTGAACATCCAGTTGAACTGATCTAAGAGAAGGATTGATTTCTATTGGGGATGTCTATCATGTTAAAAGGAGGTTCGTCATGTTGAAGTTTTGGAACAATCTTTGCTGCAATGAAAAGCTTACTGCATTATGTGATGTCTCAGTTTACAGTCGTTTATGATATGATTGATGGTCCTTTTGTTTTCATAAATAGCAACCAAGCCTCTCCTTTATCCATGTGAGGCACTTACGTACATGGACAGTATTTTGTCATGAATTCAAACTACTCAATGTCATAATATAATACTAAGGTAACCACAAATACTTTTTAAAGGAAACTCTATACATATCGAAAGGGGAAAATAAATTGCATTAAAAGAATGCCATGAGTTGAAGAAGGAATCGAACAACATTAATGCGACGATGGAAGGTCTGAATATGTTTTTTCTCTCGGTCTCGGGCAGGGTGTTGGCTCGAACCAGCAACAATGTAACTGTTCTTTTGATCCATTATAACTCATGATTGAGTCCTCGACACTTTCGTCTCCCTTGCCTTTTGAGCAGTAAAAATTGTTTGTATTAAGGGAAAAATATATGATTGAGTCATCATAAAACCAGGTAAAGTAAATCTTGTTCCCCATTCCAGGCCTTTTAGCCTCTTTCCCAAAACCTGAAACAAAAGATAGATACCAGTTATAGTTTTTCAAGTCTTTCACTTCTTCCCAAACCATGGCTGAGGATGAGTGATCTAATCTGAAAACTCTGCACCATTTCCATCCATTTCCTTCATACACTGATAGCACATCTCCATTGCACTCCACCAAGAAATTTCGGTAGTAAGAATCGCTACAAGGTGATGCTAGCTGATGGACACTTAGAACATTAGTTTCATCTGCTCTGAGAGTAAGAACAAGCACACTCTTATCGCCACCTAGAAAATAAAAGCATCCGTCGACAAAAACTGGGTAGGAATTGGATTGTTTTGCATAGAGGTAATCGTTGTTGGCGTCTTCTCGGATTATATAGTCCTCGTTCCATTCGCTCTTGCCGGCTTCAATCCAGTAATAGCGTAATAGTTCAATTGACATCCCAACAATACGGCAATCGGATGAGGTAGGTGAGTGAAGGATAAAGAAATGCTCTGCCGCCTGAGGCAAATCGGGTAAAAGGAGTGCGGACTTGGTTAAGGGACTGTAACATTTCAGGCTCAATCTGAATTGTGCTTCCACTTCTGAGAAGACCTCACTTGAAATCAACAACCATCCAAACGCAGAGTAACGAAGCCTGCAATCTTTTCCACGTGTCAGGTTCTGTAACGAAGTACTCACTTTGCGACTCAGGATCCAACATACAACTGACATAACCCTGCACCAGAGACTTAGGCATCATCAGCCATGGAGATAATACACTGCTCCTCTCGAGCTCATCATATTCATTTCCTGATTCAATTACTTTGCTTCTCCATTCCGGAGCTGAACCAGCTGCCGAACGACAAAGTTTACTAACTGCTCGGAAGGTTAAGTGATCAAAAGGGTTGATTAGATATGAAGATATAGTTTTCAAAATGTCCTGAGGAAGATCATCCCAAATTGTAACCTCATTGTTATTTAGGAATGTCAGTTCAGTATTGTCGTCTCCCCTGAAGAAGAATGGGGGTAACTGATGTTTGTTGGATGATGAAGAAGAATCAGCAAGAAGATAGTCCCGTTCAGCCACAGCTAGTGCTTGATCATCAGGACAGAATATCCAACATGGAGAAAACAACTTGGGGGGAGGTGCGAGTAAAGAAACGGAGAGGGTTTTGTGTTCAATGTGGTAGGCGTAATACCCTGCGGCAGCAGCATCATCCTCCTCCTCACCCTCCAAGGGGAAGTAAACCCGATTGCCGACACTAATCGAATCCATTGAAGAAATCGGGCAAGCAATGGACATGGTTGGACAAGAGAGACTAATAAAAAAAAGCGGCATTCGGACAGCTCTCAACTATGTTCCAAGTCATGTTGGAGAAATGTAGTTTGAAGACTAGGACACGGAGGACTTGTTTTTTTGCACCTTTAATTCCATCCAATGTGATATGTATCCGGAATACATCGTCCCAAATCTGGACCCAACGCGAACGGAATCGATTGAAGCTGGCTCCGGTCATCTGAGGGCATGGACTAGGCTCGCATTCCAAAGGCCTGATGACCATTGTTCTACTGGGTTTCACCAACTCGATTTCTGCTATATGACCACGACAACTAGTGGAGACGAGAGTCCTGCCATGGTGACCACCAACAACAACCGGGTCACAAAACCTATCATCCTTTCCACCAATAACCTCAATTTCTGCAACATTGTAGTTTCTGTGAGTCCAACAAATTTGATCCTCAACATAGCAAAATACAATACGAGGATCATCAACGAATAGTAAAACCGCACTGCCGGGATCCGTGGGAGGTTTTGTCACCAACACGTAAGCTATACGTTGGTCTGATTTCAACTCCAAACAAGGTAGATGGATGGTTTCTGAAGTCACAGGATTCCAAAACTGTAGTTGAAGCTGAGATTTCCAACTTAATTTGTTGTTCCTCCTCCTCGGGACAAGTATTGTTATGATTGTTTTTATTATTATTATTACTACTGCTGCTGCACATCATTAGCCATCCATGACTACTTGACATCAAAATCGAACCATATTCCAACTCGGGAATCGAGGTCACAAAGGAGCTGGATGATGATGATGATTAAGCCATGATGGGGGGAAGGAGTTGAATCAAAGTTTGACAGGGTGATTTCTGGTGAAATATTATATTTTGTTTTGACACTTAATTATTATTATTGGCAATTTTTATTCAAAAAAAAATTAAAAAAAAATAAAATTAGATCGTCGTAACATATATCTTGTCGTTTGATTTGTGACAAATCATTATACTCCAAAATCAGTCAGCGGTACCATGTAGCTAAAATATATTATTCTTTTTATCCCAGATTAATAATCTCTATTTATATTGATATATAAGAACAACTAGTTCTACAGCAAAGCGTCGTTGGTGACATAAGTAATCGTTCCAATTGAGAAAGGAGACCACGTCTCGCAAATTAAACCTATTGATTTTTTAGAACAAAGTAAAATTTCATGATCACAATGATGATTTTGATTTATGATTAACTATCAAGTTAGCGAAAGAAAGAAATATATTTTGTTAACCTAATCCAGCGAATTAAAACGCGTGGTTTGTTTTTAGGCCGAAATGCATGGCGAATTAAAATGCAAGGTTTAAAACTTTAAATGAATTACATTTTTCCAGCTACTTGTTTTTAGGCCGAAATGCATGGCGAATATATTTTGTGTTACACTTTTTAATTCTATATCGCTTTTATAATAATACTTGTTAAATATCATAAACGTTGATCTAAAACTTTGGTATTAATTTAAGTCTTATCCACTCAAAACGAAGAGTTAATTACTAAAGAGTGCAGCGAGATTCGAAGAAGAAGCGGTGTTACTTTTTCATTTGTACTGTCAACTTTTTTATTAAAAAAAATATATCATCCACTGTGTAGTGCTATATTATTTTAGTTACTGAGTAGTATTACATTATGTGTGACTCCATCGTACTAAATGTTACATCATCATCATGTGGAATTGTTGTGTAATTTAACTAACAAACACAAAACGAAGTTAAAAAAATAAAAAATAAAAATAAATAAAAATAAAAAGAAAAACACCAAGGATACCCTAGCATGTAAGTTCATCGACCTCATCATTTCCCAATAAGAACAACATATTTATTTATTCGATCATCACTCATCTCTCATCCCCTCTCTCTAACACATAGTTACTTGTACGTTCTCTTCTAGTTTTTCGGGGTTTCAGCTTGAAAAAAAAACAAGAAAAAATTAATGGGGGGCAACAACAAGCAGAAAAAGGCCAAAGAAAAAGATAATCCAAAGCTTGATACAGAGTCAGATGCAAAAAAAAAAAAAAAGTGAGTGGAAATGTTCTATTCCCTCCGTCCCATAATTATTGTTCAAATTATTCTAAAAGTGAGATCTCAAACTTCAAGTCGGTTTTGGTTGCATGGCTGAGCTGACTAGTCACAAAAATTAAGAACATCAAGTCGGTCAAAAGAAAAGTTGGAAGTAGCTTCCAAGCGGGGGGAAAAAAAGTCAGTTTTCATATGTGGAGGATCAAATTAATCTTAATGGGTTGTGAAATGAAATGGGGAATAGGACCAATAATATCTTACAAGCATTATTATTAATTAATGTCAGACGTTGGAATTGTGTGATCCTCATGAGCGATTAAACGACCTTATTTGTACCTAAGGAAATCAGCTTGAAAAGGAGCGGTGATTGGCTTGTGTTAAATTCAAACATAAGCTTGGAGGCCGTGGACGCATGACTATATTCAAATTGCAATACAATATACGGAAGTGTTTTTGTTTTGTATTCTCAAATTCATATTAGAAAGAAAATCGACACTGATCGGATCACTCCCATTTACCAGTCCAGCAGCTATTTTTATGAATTTGATGATAGTATATAATGCCTCTATTCTGAGATCAATTTCCTTAATTGAAACAAACGCATTAGATTGTACAATACTATTTTAGTCGTACCTTAAGAGAGAAGAATGTACAAATTAATGTATCAAGTTATTTCTTCAGTTTTATCTTAGTATTTCATCCGATCCTTAATATAAAGTATTTTGATTTGTCCTAGATTTGATACATAGTTTTAATTGATTAAAAAACCTTAAAAATATTTCATAACAATCAAGTGAATAAAACGAATGTAACAGTATATTTATTAGGTATTTTTGTCAACTAAAACTGTGTACTAGATGAAATTTATGACAAAAACATAATGACTTATATTAAGAACCGGAGGGAGTATAATAATTTCTGAAAACATTTCGCTGGATGATTAAATTCATAAAAGTTCTTATTCATTTACTTCTGTTGGGATACCAAATCATCGCCGGACAGTACAGTTCTCTCTTTCATTGTGAGGTTGTGCAGTAATACAACAGCAAAAGCCTCAATGCTTCCTTGCATTTTCAACTCTTTTTGAGTCAGAAAAAATGTAAGGAACGCAGACTCACACGTACATAGGGTTTTAGATGGGTTACACTATGTAGAAAAAAAATGACCGTAAAACAACATACACAAGATACATTTGATATTCTCAAATATTTCTTCGACCACCCTCAAAACCATTACCAGCGCCACTTGATAAATAAATAACGGAATGGCATCCTCTGATTAGGGGATTTAAAACAAGAACTATTTAGTTTAAGCCCTTTCCATGCAGCGCGTTTCTCCTTTACTTACAGGACAGAATTCTAGCATCTGTGAAGTGGTGCAGGATAGATGTCGAGCGGTTGGTAACGCACCCGGTCATTGTGAGGCAATGGTCCCTCCTGGCAGATTTTTGCCAAGCGACTTGGATCAGTTAATAACGTGATCTTAACATACGAGGAAAGGAAAAGAACAGGGAAGAACAGACATGAGAGCTTCAGCAAGTCAATTATCTCTAAAAGTGAGAAATAAAGGCGGCCATGGAAAGCACAAATCACAGGACCCGGTACGATGGACATAGCAAAATTTAAAAAAGTAAGGAAAGGAATACAACCTGATCCAAATCTATTTGGAAAGGCTTTACAAAGTCCTCAAACATGATTGGAGATTGTCCTTTCATTCTTTCTTCAACTTCCTGTGAATAACAAACAGGAGAGCATGAAAAGACTTGACAGCAAATATCAGAGCCTTTCCTAGATTTTAGCTGCAACGAAACAAAATCTTGTCTGGGCTCACAGAATGCATATATTTGAAGCCTGGTAACGTGGGAAAAAGACAACAATGGGGAACGTTAACTTGTCGCAGCAGTCAATCAAATAAACAAAAGAAAAGAAGCGGCTGATATTTACATATAGGTAGAAGTGCAGAAATAAGAACTTTTTCAAGTGACTCCATCAAATTAAAGGACGTTCCAAATCTAACAATGCACATTGATTAAAATCAGGTGAATCAAGAAGAGAGAAAGAATAACTTAGAAAAGGTGTTTGCAAAAATTTCAAAACATCACAAGAGAGTTGAAGCTTCATGTTCTTTACCAATCCTGTTATTCTTGAATTTTGAAGAAGTTCCTCAGCAATCATGTCAAGTATGTGCCTGTTGTCCATTAATCCTTTCATAGCAAATTCTTCTGTTTCTTTTATGTACTGCAAAGTAAGATATTTTGAGTACACAATATAATCAATCTAAAAAGAAGCAGAAGGTAATGCAATTCATTAATGAAGACAAAGGTCACACAGTCACACTGATCCTCCCCCGAGATCCCACTTGTAATATGCTATATATATGTGATAAACGCATGCTCTCACTTACTCTTGTCAACTCCCTTGTAAACAGTTCAGAAACTTCGACGGTCATATCAGCAGGAATAACATGAGGATCGTCCCACTGAAGGGAAAAAAACACCGCAATGTCAAGGAACAGGTTGGAAAGACAATTAAGGATAAGAATCAACAAAGAACTTGGAATCCTTTACACGAATAAGAAGAGGCAAAAGGATTAAAAAATAAATAAAAATAAAAAATAAAAACAAACAAACAACCTTATAATTAATAAGCTCGCGATCAGGATTATCAGGTTGATCGGCCAACCCAAGTTTCTTTGTCAAAGCTGTGAGCCCCAACCTAGAATTTCTTGGGCTTATCACCATTTCTCGAGCAATCTAGAAGGATCAATAAATAATCAATATATGCACAGTAGTTGTAGTCTTATTTCACTCAACAGCCACAAAGACTTATTATAATGAAAGTAGTTCTATCTCCATTTGAACAATATGCTTGTTAATCATGATAAGATTTGAAGGTACTTATTCAATGCTTGTTAATCATGATAAGATTTGAAGGTACTTATTCACCTTTGTGATCTTCTCCAGATCATCTTGTCCACCATCAGTGATGTCATCACCATATACAATGCGTTCAGCACATCGGCCACCGTGAGCTACCACCATTTGCATTTTCATGTAGCCAAATGTGGTGTAACCTTGATCAACCATATCTTCTCGAGGGTAAAAGACTGATATTGCAGTTTCCTGCACAAGTGAAACTAGTGGTTTTACTGGACTGTTGCAGAAAAATTAATTACTACCCATATAATTTGGAGCAAGTAAAATTCTGAACCTTGCCACCAGGTAGAAGCTGAGAAAATGCATGCCAATCGAATCGAGGAAATAAGTGTGCCAAAACTATATGTCCGGCTTCATGCACTGCCAGCAGTCTTTTCTTTTCAAGAGAGATCTATTAATGAAACAAATTGTTTCATCAGGGGAAAGAACGTCTCATAAAAATATTACACATGAAGAAGGAGCTTCAAATTTATAAATATATATATATATATATATATTAACTTCAAATTTATAAATTTCTGTTGGGAAATACTCACATTTTGTTCACATTTTTGCTGCTCTTCCTCAGTGAGAAGCACACCCATTCCCTCAAGCAATTGCTTGTCCAGTACATCAATGATGTCTTGCTGATATATTTTCGAGTGCCCTTTTCTGACCTGTCCAAGCAGAAAGTAAAAGACCCTTCAGTTGGACAAAGTTAACCAAGAATTAATCGGCCTGCAGCACTCAGATCAGCAGCATGTCTTGCGGAGACATAAAGAACTGACTTACAGACATTATTCCAGCTTCATTCACTAGATTTCTAATATCTGCTCCTGAATATCCAACAGTCCGGAAGACAAGCTGTAAATTAGGGCAAAATTTATTAGCATAAACCAAAGGGCCAACCTTTAAACATTCAAAATTGTTTCTAAAATCCACGAAAAAAGAGAGCTCAATCTAGAACCAAACATAAACAAAGAAAAACATAACAAGAGAAAAAATACATAAGAAAAGTCCGCAAATCCCCTTACAAACAAGTTAAAGAAGAAGAAAAGACAAAAAAGAAAGAAAAAAAAATCAAAGAAAAAGGAAAAAAAAAAAAGAAAGAAAGAAGAAAAGACAATCATCATACCTGCCCAAAGTCTACATCATCAGCAAGACGTTTACCAGCGCTATGGACCCCGAAAATTTGAATTCGTTGCTTTGCATCAGGTAATCCAATATACAAACGACGGTCGATGCGTCCAGGCCGAACAAATTCTAGGTCCAATTCATCTGGCCTATTAGTAGCACAAATGAAAATGACAGCTTGTCTTAATGAAAACCTGTCAATGCCAGTTTTCTCTTTCCTGAACATAAGGAATTTTCCCATCAGTAACAGTACCAAAAAACAGTGAAGTTGTAAAGATGAACAGTTCAACAGAAGATATGCAAATCACTAGTTTTAGCTCCCATATCTCCTTCAACACCAAACCAGCTTCTCTTTCTAGACAAAGAACCCAAGCAAAAGAGCTGGACCTTTTACATGCAATCAAATAATCATCTACAAATGAAGCCAGGATCTTTTATTCTGATGTTATCTTTGGAAGTAGTACATAATCATCAGTTTTATAAGTTGAATAATGACAACAGATTTCACTTTACTGTTGGAGGCTTTAGATTGTTTCTGATAAGTATAAATAAATCACACGAAATAAATAAATAAAAGCACACGATTGCCTCTACATCCATTTATGCGGGAGATCGTTCCATGATCCATAAATATATAAGACCCAAACTAGAGGATTCTTTTAGCCCCTAGTTTTTATGGTCTTAACAAACTGCTAACATAAAATCATTTAATACTTAAGAAAAGGCATCCTAAATTCGTTTCCTTAAAACAGTGATGACCAGATCACATAGTTTAGCTATTCAGAAGTATTGTGTTCATAACATAATACTAACTCTCCATCAAGCTGAGCAATAAGAGCTTCAAATGTTGCTCTCCTTCGTGGATCCTTGCGAGCATGCCTCCCAGCAATAGCATCAATTTCATCCACAAAAACAAAAGATGGAGCCTGCAATTTACAAGGAAGAAGAACAGAGTTCATTCATAACTCCATTAAAATTAACACCCAAAGCACTCTTTAAATGACAAGAAGACAATTCTTGATTGCTCGATGTCGAACATAAAAATATGATAAATAGGAAAGCTGTGTAACATAATATAATAAACGGATTTTAGAAAACTGGAAGAGTGAATCTTTTTAGTCAATATATTTTGGTTCAAGATTGTCAAAGACTCACATTTCTCCTTGCAACAGAAAACATTTCATTTATCCGTGCAGCACCACTTTTCTCACTGTCTGTAAACTCCGCACCAGACGCGAAAACAAAAGGCAAACCACTTTCCTTTGCAAGAGTCCGAGCAAAAAGAGTTTTTCCAGTTCCAGGGGGTCCCGACAGAAGCACACCCTGCAGAACCAGAATGAGAGATAACCAACGATTTTTTGTACTTCATCCAGGTTTTCTAAGTCAGCAAACAAATCTTTATAGACCAAAACACTCACCCGAACAAACTTCACTTCTTTTTCATAGTACTGCATGGGGTTTCCCATATATATCATCAACTCATCCAGCAGGTCCCACACATCTCCTCCCAACACAACTTCTTTGTACATCGACTTTGTTTCACCAACTTCCCCTACTGGCTGAGCAGACAATTTAAGTAAGACATTAAAATTAAATTAATTCAGAAAAGAGATTGCAAAATCAAGAGAAATAAAATATTACCAGGATAAAATTTTCAGCATAAGCCATATCAAAAAGTTGATTATACTTCTTATAAAGTAGACGTCTTGTGGTAATATGAAGAAGCATCACAGATTCTCTTATGAACCACAAGATTAATATCCCAGGAAGCAAAGCGATTACGACTTTTAGCAAGTAATGGGACTGCCGCTTTTGGAGGAGATCAACTTCGGCTCCAGAGCTTGCTATCATCTCAAACAAAAATGGGTCGAGTGGAATATCAACCTGGATAGGTAATTGAAAAGCATAAATTAATAAACAACTAATAAAGAATAAATGTCAGTGGTTTTAATATTTTATAGCATAATAAATATGTAAAAGTAAAATGCTCACAGTATATTCGAGAGGGAAACCTTCCTTCATTGTTATGTACAACCTTTTCAGGTCCTCAGTGAAAACGACTGCAGCAACCTGTAAATATCCCGAAAATGCAAATTATATCATCTGCTTTCTCACTTCCAAAAACTAAAGTGAACAAGTCAACAAATGGCTGCCAGTACATGTCCTCCTTCAGCCCCAAATGAATAGGGACACTTCTTATGACACATAGATTAAAAAAGTAAGTGGTTAATACAGATTACTATCACATTTTAGAGCATCTTTCCTACTTCACCCCTATTAAGCAATAGATTCATCACTGAATGGATTATTAATTAGTGATCAATTGTACATGACTGTGATCAAGTCAAGAAAATTGTCCCTATTCATCTCAGCTGGAGGGGATATATAAGTGGCATTTATGCAAGAATTCCCCGCTTCTCCCAGTACATTGGCAAACCCCATGATAGCATTACAAAAAGACAAAGTAAATTGGATTAGCTATCACATATCATTACCTCAGAAGAATCAAGTTTTTGAAGAAAATACATGTATGGCAGTTTAGGGCGGTAGCGCCACCATCTCTTGGAAATCCACAATGCTCTCGGCCAATGATTTTCTTTTCCCTTCTCAGCAATTTCTTTGCGCAGACTATTCTCTACCTCTTTCATGTCAAATTCAACAACATACTGTGCTCTCGATGAATCTAGTTGTTCAGCTAATTTGTCCTTCTGAAGAATTTCATTCCATGTTTTAAGTCTTTCACGCCAAGTCCCTTGACTCTCTGTATTTTGAACTGCGACGAAACATGTTAAAAGAAGCTGTCAAACAAAACAAACATGATCACTAAATGGCATTTCATCAGGGAGAAAATACACAGATAGAAACTCAACAGAATTATATCTACTCATGAATCTTAATATCTATTACAAATTTTGACAAGTAAAATCACATTTGACATATTAGAAGCATACATAAGACCATACAATTGACAATAGATATGGTCCAAGTAACATTAACCGATAATCAAATCTATATAATGTGCCATTGATCTCAAAGATTTCCTTCCAGAAAAAGATCAGTTGATAAGTTCCTATTCTCAAAACTTACTCAATGTTTACGCTTTATTGAAACAAATGTTAGCAATCAGTTAACTTTTTGGTTAGTAAGGATACCGGCAAAGAATTATACAGCCCCAGATAAGAAGCACAGTATAACCATCACATATGCTTGTTAACCAACCTGAAAGTCGAAAGTCTTCTTTCAAAAGCTTCTTGTCTTCTGCATTCAAACTCGCATCACGGTCTATAATTTCTTCTACATTCTGGAGACTTTCGGCCTTGTCATCCCATGCATCTTCCCCAACAAAAGAACTATCATGGACTAGTGTTCCATCAGGTCCCTCAAGAAACTTTTTGAGTTTCAATCCTTTAGGAGTTGTCTCTCTCCACAAGCCCTTTTTGAATCTGCAATAAAATTCAAAAACTTTTCAGAACCAAATGGTCAAGCTCGTGGGCTGTTACGAAAGTAGAGGGCCAAGTTAACGGAGTCAGCAGGATTCTTGCATTATCGCAACATGAATAGTTATGTAGAGCTAGAACTCTGAAAAGCAACCGCTAGTTAATTTATCTAAGAGTGCTATTTACATGATCAAATGCAAAAGGGACTTACTTTCTAAGATTAGTTGGAGTCGGCTCAGGAATCAACGCCTCCATAAAGGCCTCTGTAATCTCTCTTCTTTCTTGCTCAATGATAGGCGCTCGAATAGCCTTGTAAATTCCCCTAGAAGAAAAAGCAGCGGCAAATATATAGAGCAATAAAACACAAATTCTCTTGACATCCCAACTCTTTACATCCTGAGAACAAACGAAGTAACTTCTGACATCAAAATCATGACGCATTGAAAAAGAAAATCCCAAAAAGTAGACTCACTAACATTAATTACCCATTCTCTTACCCAAGCACCCCAACTTTTCCAATAACCAGCTCACATGTTTTTTGAAGTAAATTAGAAATAATCCATTTCATTGAAAAGTTTAAAACTGTTATCTCCTCTTGAATGAATAAAAACTCCGAAATTCCTTCCTTTCTTTTTTTTTTTTCCCCTTCTACAGCAGTTACTGGTTTTGGTTGGACATTTGTTCTGAACGGTCATATGGCTTTCTTTCCCAGTTAGTGAAGCCAATAGATACATAACCCAAAATGTCATTCTGCAGATTTCATGTATGTTTCAAAATTATTCATCAAGGGACCCAAAATTAGAGTTTAAAAAAAAAAAGTATAGGATGGAATGAACTATATGAGTAATTAATTCAAACTAAAATTAAAACCCCAATTAAAAAGATAAAAATAAAAATGACTACTACCTTCCAGCGTTCCCATTTATTCCAGCTGATGAACAAAGGCAGCAACTCAGAGCTAATTCGTTCCAGCTCAGACTGACCCCATTCCATCGAACCACGAACCCGCCCCACAATTTCACCACCTTCAAAACTGAAACCCGTCTCTTTCTTCAAAGCATCGCCCAAATTCTCGAAAAAACGTTTCGAGGTTTGGCCCCACGAGAAGCCAGAAGGAGAAGGGCCATTATTGTCGGAGGAAGCAGCGACTAAAATGCGCCTCTTTTGGCGGGAAAGCTTCGGACTGTACTGATGCTGACTCGAGGGTGGTCGTAAAAGGCAAAATGGTCTTCTTCTCCGGAGAAGAAATGGGCTTTTGTTGGTAAATGAGAATGGGGTTTGGTTAATTGGGGAGAAGTCCGTGAAATTATTCAGGGTGTATATCTCCATCGATAGCTATTCTTATCAATGCTCAAAAATTGAAATGGGATAAAAATGGTTATTCCATCATTTCATCAAGGTTAAGAAGAAGAGGTAAAATAGGGCAATTTCCAGGGATTGTACAGGCATTAACGGATGTGGCTGTTCGGAAGTGTCAGACAGGCAGTACTGCCGTCTACGGTGGTTTATCAGAGGTTTTTGCCTTTTCGGTTTACTTTATCTTCGCAAAAAACAGAGGGAGTGAACGATAGAAAAATCATTAATGAAAATGAAATGAGATTATATCAGGTGGGCTTTTTGGACTCTGTCCAATGCTAATTACTAACGACAAACACATCATCCATGACAAATTTTCTTGGGCTGATAATAAGTCTCGTGTCATTGCATTAAGCCCATTTCCAAGTGCGTAAAACCAAATTAAAATAATTCTTTTAAGTTGCTGGTAGGGTAAACTTTTTTCTTTTTCTTTTTTTTTTTTTTTGGAAATTGCTGGCTGCTGTAAACTTCGTTGTTTTTTAGATGAAATCAAATTTACTAACGACACCCGAAAAAACTAATTCTTTTGTGTCATGGCCTATGCCCTATGATATCTGATTATCCCAAATTCCCAATTAGAATTGTGGTGCTGAAATCTGACTGAAATTGTCAATCATAACCAATATTTTTCATCTCTTCCCGTCCCAAACAAATGTTCGTTAACTTTGTCGTCGACTAAATTAATTTAAGAAAGCAAGCCATTTTCTTTCAAGACAGGGGGCCAAAAGCTTTGGACAAAATACAAGCGCTAGAATATATGGACGCTGGCAAAAAAGTTTTTTAAGAGATGACCTTAGACCAACACGATTTTAATCATCAAATATGGACAGTGGCACAGGGTTTAAAATTATTTCCGTATTTGAAATTGTAAACTCTTTTGTTGAACTACACATTCAGGTTTTTTTCAATAACTAGCCAAAAGAATGAAATGAACCTATGTATAACTCCCTCAAATTATGACACTTCCAACTGAAAAAGAACAACAGCCTAGACGTTGCTATCTAATATCTTGCAAAACTACGATGGCCCTACATCTGATCCACAGGTCGACGAAGGCCATTATATATTGCTTCACGTAATACAGGATGCACATCTTCTGTCAATACTTCGGCATCCAGCTTCTCAATGTATGACCAAATCTGTCAAGAACAAGAGAGCACAGATTACAGCAAATCATTAGTCATAAATTGGTTTTGGCCAAGTAAGGAAGGAGAGTATCAGTATGAACACCTTTACATCCTATATAGAAAAAATTACTAGCAATTACTAAGGTAAAGTTTTTAGCACACCCCCGGACTGACCAGAATGAACAACTCTCTAAAAGTTGTGATAGACACGTTACATATTAATTAGACCCGCCATCATGAATGTTAAATTTCTTTCCCCAAATCGCAGATACATGCGTACTAGGATAGGAACTTTGGTCAGGCTTCACAATTAGACATCACCATTTGTCCTCCCTGTTTTAACGCCCAAAACCCCATCGTTGCGGACTATGAGATCAATAAAAGGCTTCTTTTAGTTTTATTTTTATTTTATTTATTTTTTTGAAAGGAGGACTACACAAGCCTTCAGATCCCACATGTAAAACTGATCAAGAAACCAAAACCCAATTTTTTGGACAAAAAAATCACCTCGGAAGCATATTGCCTCGTAATCGCCTTCACATAACCAAGTGTAGACAAGCACCATTGCTCCCTTTCATCAAGGTTATAGCCATCATCAGATTTTCTCCTAATAGACAGACTGCAAAACGCAGAACCAAGTGTTAACATAAAATGTCAAATCCTTTACTTCCACACAGATATTTAAGTGGATACCTTTTCTTTGGTCTCCCATTCTCCTTATCCAACTCCATAGCAGTAGACGATTCGAGATCAATAGCCATTTCATCGGCCTCTCCTTCTGGCTTCAAAACTCCTTCGTCTTTAAATGCCTCACGGAGAGGCTCAGCCAAAACACTAGAGAAGCTCTTGTACAATGTGATAAACAAAGCCTGCACAAGTCACTTCGTTTCAGTAGACAACCGTGAAAAAGGAGATAAGGAAAAAGCAAAAGGGGCCGGTTCGATTTGGAAACAACAAGTGAAGGTGTTTATCCAAACTTTTCCAATTCCTATATCCACTTTTACATTTCCAATGCAAAAAACATTCCGAATAGAACAAAATTTATCAAACATGAAAGTAAAGGTAGGTTCCATCATTGGAGCTCTTGGCACAAAATTAACTTCGGATTAGTTATGAACTCCATATTTTGTTTTGACAACAGCAGGAAGTAAATCCTACTGAAGGCAATCACATCAACATTACTATTTCTATCAAGAGGAGTACCTCATTTTCGTCAATGGCTCTAGCAAGGAGAGCCTCCTTCGCCTCTAAAGATTCACGAACAGATAACTCTTCCTCTTTAGCTCTGTCAGCATTTGACTTTAACCGCTTCATTCTGACTGGATTTTCACCAAGGACTGGCTCACCATCCATCAGCGTGAGCTTTGATTCAGCAGCCTCCAACTCTTCTCTAGCTTTAGATGCAGCTTCTTCGGCTGATAGAACATTCTTCTCCATAGACAAGATTTCTTTTCTTAAATCACATATCCTGTTGTAAGTCTTACTCACGGCATTTCTTAGAACCTGAGATGAAAATTATGTTAACAATGTTCCACACCCTCAATTCAGATAATACAGCTTTCTAATGCCAGAAACAAATGTTCTGTTTTGACATCATAAAGAAAAGGTCATGATACCCTACCTCCCACGGATGATCAGAGATATGAAATTGATTAACATTTGATGGAGAGAAAACCCATCTCACAACAGCCAAATTAGATAGAAGCCGATATCCCATCATCCGGTCAATTGTTATAGCGATCATCTGATTGTTATTCTTCCAGTAAGAACTAATTTCACCAATCAACATGATCTGCCGATCTTGATCAGAACAGATCTTTGCAATGACTTGACCGTATCTCTCCAGAACTGTTATCAAATGTGTAAAACTTTTTGATCCTATATCGAGGAGAGTTTGAGCAACAACCCGAAGCGCAACCTCTAAACCATGAGCTGGAAACAAACTTTCTTCAATCCACGCAATAATGTCACGAGAAGTTTGCCTTCCTTTTACCATTGCATTGAGCTCCAAGGAAAGTTCGTGCTCAGTCCCATTTTTACCGTCCTCTCCACCGTATTTAAAACTTGGTCCACCTTTTGGAGGAAGTAAATTCTCCAAAGCAGGAGCATTCTCGATACTCTACAGCAAACCAAAAAAAAAAGGGTTAAAAATCTACACAAAAGACAAACACCACCAAGCATTAAGGTACGATGCGTCCCAAAGAAGTTTGCCCTCAGTTATTCATACTTAAATATTAACAATTCAGACGCTAAATAAATGACATCCTAGCAGAATGAAGCCAATTACAATGCGTCCCAAAGAAGTTTGCCCTCAGTTATTCATACTTAAATATTAACAATTCAAACGCTAAATAAATGACATCCTAGCAGAATGAAGCCAATTCCAAAAAAAATGTTTTATCACAAGATTTTGTGCAGGAGCAGAACTCATAGAAATTAATTTGCATCAGTGTTAGCAAAAGTGCAATCACCAGCCACATTTAGAAAACACAAACAGTTTTCTCATTTGATTGCTCGTATCCCCACTAATCCTCCTATGGTCTAAACTAACACTTCCCAAATGTTGTCAAGTCAGCCAGCAATTAAATAAATTAGCAAAGCTTAGTACTAGTAATATCAACAAGAACCTTCAGAAGTTAACAGTGAAACTTGAGAACTATTTGCTAGAGGAAAACCATCAGAAAAATTACATAGATGAAGTCTTGAGGAACAAACAAAGTATGCAAGGCTTCAAAAGAGTAATTCTGATTGCTCAATAGGCAGTCCAAAATGGTAAAAACTTCTACATGTAGACACTAGACTCATGCAAAGCAAAAGCACATGAGAGTATTCTAGTATCTCATAGAGATTTGGAATTTGATCAAACAAAACATAAATAGCCTTGGTACAAAAGTACCTGTTTAATCTTGTCATAATATGACAAACGGACTTCTCTTTCCAAAACCTCCTGAACAAACACTCTTTGCGGAGACCACTTGGGAAGGTCCAGGACGTGAGCCCATTCCTCCCAAGGCCAGATAAATTGAAAGTTCGATCTACAGTAGGAGAAAACAAAAGATAAGAGCAAGAAAATTCAAACCTTGCCGTGTCACCATAACACACAAAACAACAGCAACATTATACTACTAACTTACAGATGGTGAGAGAACCAAAGGATCAATCGAGTTCTGCATTCCATATCCAAATCAGCTATCTTCTCAAAGAGGACTCTAACTGCTCCAGCTACAACTGCCGGAAAGGCTCCGGGAAGAGCCTAAATTGAGACACAACAGTTAATGAGACATTGGAAGATGTATGGTGACAAAGTAAACATATTAGTTCACAAAGCATGCATTTTCGATCAATTTGGATTTGATACCTTACAAAGGTCAATAATGACCAATGTATAATACGCTGGCTTGAAAGGGGGCTCTGGCAAAAGAAGAAGCTGCAACATCATCAAAAAAACAAAAATGAGAGGCAGATATAAAAGTGAATCACAAAAAAAGTTTCAACATGCAACTTAAACCCTAAAAAAATGTGGTTGAGTCGAGTCAACGTAAAGTAGTGTTCATGAATTTAGAGGAACTAATCGCCAGTGTTAAAAACAAAATCAAGTTGCTGGGTGATAAAACAATTCCCAAAATTTTAAGAATTACAGAACACGTCAGTAACTTCTCGATCTATCGTATCACTCAAAAAAATTTGCAGGAAAAAAAAAAAGAATTTCCAGCCTAAAAAAAGTCAAAAGGAACAAAACTCAGAAAAGATAGACCCAGACATCACCAATCACCCTATAGTTATTAGGAAAAAAGAAAATGATGAAAGGGGAATTCATGTAGTTCTACTTAGGAACATGAATGTCTCATCTCCGCCAAGTTTCTTCTTAAAGACCTAGACTGAAGGAAAAAGTAAGATCATTATCATAAAGTCTATACCTGAGAGAATATTGTCTCTGCCATGAGATATTCATATCGGAAGGGAACAGGAAGTCCAGCCATGTAAGCAGCACATTCCTTTCGACTAGCTTTGCAATAACCAAAGAACCAAAGTAAAAATAAAAAAATAAAAAAAAGGAAACATTTAATACTTCAAAGTAAGACACATAAGATGGAATAGTCATAGATAAGAAATCACAAAATCTATAGAATGAAGCCTATCCGAAGCAGAACAGATTGAAGTTTCACAAAAAAATACGGCATGATGCTTCATTGGTGTAAAGTGGAAATCACCATATGACGAGATAAGTAATATGTCTTGAGTTCTCCAACAAATCCAATTAAAACTAGAGACTAACCCAAGTTCATAAAGAAAAGAGTGAGGATACACCATATATTAAGTAAGATGTTTAGACCAATACACAGAGTCTGCAAGAACTAAGAGATGGACAATAGGTACAAACCAGCCATTTAAGTATAAAAGTACGTCCAACAGATATTCCTCCACAACAAACCGATCTATAGGTTGTATGTCCTGCCATAAAAGCACAAAATACGGAGAGATAAGAGAAGTAGCACCTAAAAAAATTTCATCAATCATAATGAAAGAAAGACACCATCAAGATAGAATGGAACAAAAAATCAATCAGATGAATCCTAAATTCTGCAACCAAAAATAAATGGCTTATGCCAGAATCCTAAATTCTGCAACCACAAATAAATGGCTTATGCCATTTCCCAGGTGATTATCCAGTCATAAAATATTATGCTGCTCATCAATGACCAACAAACACGGAATATATGTGATACATAATAGCAATAGCGTCAAATGGTTTCCCAGAAAATGCCTAATTACCTCAGCTTTACTGGCAGGGAATATATTAAGCCTCCTTATTCGCTGAGGGTATTTTAATTCAGCTTCATGCCTTTGTCTACCAAAGGATATCCCAGACGTAGCTGAAGAAGGACTTGGTTGTTCAGGACAGCTAATGGGCCCAAAATCATGAGACTTCCCAGCAACCAGCTGAGCTTCGAAAGAAAGGTGAGGCCTGGGAACTGCAAGCGGCATAGAACTCGGAGTCTGGTCAAAGAATTCAGAGGAAAATATCCAAAATAGAAAAGAAAAGTTTCCCACAGATATTATCGAATACATTCTAATTTCAAAAATATTGGTTGTTGGTCAGGTGTTCACAACAGCAAATTATAAGGCAAAATAAGTCATACTAGATGTATTATCCAACTGTAATTGTCCATCAGACCAAACAACTATACACACTGAATTTGATTACAACAGAGTGAAGGGCAAAAAAAGACAAAAAAAAACAGAAACATCATCAATGTTGAGCAACTGTCCAGCAATTTCATATGAGTCCAACCATATCAACGGAACAGCAACGTAAAAGTTTTTCCAAACATAGAAAGTTAAGTGGGAGTTTAGGACAACCATGATAACCATCCAACAATTGACATGAAATAGTGTTGAATTTAGCGGGATGTTCCTTGCATAAAAAGAGGAATGGCCCAAAATAAAACTTTTACGGGGAGATGAACTAGTATATCAGCTTAATGCTGATCCGGAAATAGGATAGTGAGACTCTTCCTTCCACCTTCCCATTCCTTTTCTGAGCTAGGGATGTTTTCGAGTTACGAAGTTTTAAAGCACCACAAAGGGTAACGTTATCCATGCCATGAAACAAAACAAGCAAAGGACTAAAAGTCAAAGAAGAATACCACTCTCAAGCTTCCAACTGGCACTGGACAAATCTTGTATCCGACTCCATAAATCCTCCAAAAAATCCTAGCAATGGGAACCACATTTTTTCAGAGAAGAAATTATTTCGCACGAGGAAGTAATAATATGTGAATAACGAGCAAATTCACAATGTTGGTAAATTGCATGATGATCACAGACGAATAACTAAACCAAGCAGATCAAGGTTCATGTGTGGCCACAGAAAAGGAAAATATAACACTAGTATCACACATCTAAAAAGGATGCCTCTCTAATTGCCAATATTCAGAAAAGGAAACTTTGAAACGAGGACAACTAGAAATATCATCAAAAAGTGATTTCCCTCATAACATGCCATCTTTATTCTTTATATTACTAGAATATGCATCTGAACATTTTATTCACACATCTATCTCAGATAGGAAAACACAAGTTCCTTAAGAAACGTAACGTGCCAAAATGAACAAGAATATTAGGATAAGAGGAGCCGCACCTTTTCATTGTAGGTGCTACCTTTTTCATCCAAATCCTCAAAAACAGACAAACCAGCATCAGAAATATGTTTTCTGATGCTGAAGTACGCCTCTATTCCAACCATTATTCTTTCAACCTCCTCAGGAACTTGCTACAAAGTAAGCAAAACAAGTACAAACAATCAATACAAGGAAAATGCTACAGTTAAAGAACAAGTATTCATAATGTAGCCATCCATCCTATACTAAATAAAAAAGATAACCTCAAAAAGTTCAGCTCCTCCCCAAGGAAGACATGCTAGAATGCATGATATATAGAAATCAGCACGCGCTTGCCAAGCAGGATTTCCTTTTTCCTCATCCACAGTGGTCGCAGCTGATGATAGCAATGTTTCAAAAATAACCACCAAAGAAGTTGGCTGAAGAACTTTGCTACACATCTGTCACAAGCATACACACATGAATTCTGAAAAACTGTCTATATATATACATAACTTCAGTCACAGATCAAGGTGCAAAAAAAATCATTCAGGCAGAAAGACCCAATATGAGAAATTGAGAAAGGTGCATAACAGCTGCTGTGGTCCAAAACTTAAATGGTTCAAAAATAAATCTCATCAATGAGCAAAAGAGCTGCAGTCACCACTGTCAACTTTTCAAATGTATACTTTGACCCAAATCATTGGAATAGACCCAATTCGCAATTCATATCATTTTGAATGTAGCATCCTGAAAGAAATGTAGAATGCCTTTCATTCCATCCCTTTAGAGAACACTTCCTTTTTAAAATGAGTAGACTACCTGTAAGCTTCCTTTTCAAAGACGAGCAAAAGATGGATAAAGTTGAAATGACAACATTGCAAAATCAAGCAAACATTAGGAAACTCCAATAAACCAGCCAACGAACACAGAGGAAGCAAATGCGATGCTTACCAAAACAGTTAAAAATCGCATCAATATGCGGATCCTATTGCAATCCCCAGAAATCAAAGCTTCCTGTGAACCAGTTGAAGTAATAAGCATAAGCTATATAACATTCAAACATACATTTCCTAACCAGGAACCATTACTACCAAGACATTTTTAGTTCTCTTCATTAATAAAAGCAAGGTATATTCGGACAGTGTTTGTTTTTGTTTTAGGTTCTAGTTCGAAAGGATTGAAAGCTATTTTGGAAAAGTACAACATGGTTATTTCTATTGGGAATACGAAAAACATAATTTTATACCGAATAGCATGTCTCATTGTATCGGTTAAAGTCGAAAATGGAAAAGTCAGATATTGGGCATAAGGTAATGGCACCAGCCACCAAGGATAAAATGAAATCCTCAAAAAAGGGGGAAATATAAGCTTTAAAAAATAAAAAATAAAAAAAGCAAACAATATCCTGTAACGGGCAAGTCCAACAAGATTGAAAAAAGATCAATAATCCTTGCTAAGGCTGAATATATGATATCAGCTCACCTGCAACCCGGAATGTACTTTCGCAACTATTTTTGAAACAATTTGCTCATCTTCCAAATTCAAAAGGCCAACCTGCAATAAAGAATAACAGATGATATCAGAGAGTAACTACTGAAGCCATCAGTGTCCTTATTCAATTTGATTAATCTAACCTACATCCTAGTCATACAGCTGAAATAAATGTTGCGGGTGGCTACAAAGATTCACTCTGAAAACCGTGCCTCAGAACTCTAAGGAGTATATATTACCATCATAGAAAAAATTACACGGACAGAAGAATACATACCAATGTTCCGTACAGAGGAATCTTGTGAGGCAACTGTTCAACACATTGAATAAGAAACTGCAGGAAGTAACAAGAAGATATAAAATTTCAGAATATCAAAGCAAAAGATAATTTCAACTAGTTTATGCATTATTTTAAAGCTCAATGAATCGATACAGTTAAATTTGAGAATTCACAGAGGACAAAAAGATTAGACGAACTGACCGGCAAAACATCACCCGCGGAATGTTCTAATTCTCGACGAATAACGCCAAAACACGACTCCTGCGAATCACAACCATGCGTAAGCAAATATCAAGGAATTCACCGTTAATAAGCAGAATAAACGACCAGATGCTAGGGTTTTGGGAGAATGAGTGAAGAGAAGAAAGAACTGACAATGTGGTCTTTATAGTCGGCAATTCCGCCGTACTCCGGGCACTTCTCGCCGATACGGAGGAGTAAAGACTTCCAGCTGCTCATTGCCAAAGCGTTGAGTGTGTTTTTTGTTTCTGTGCGAGAGGTACGGAGGAAGAATAAGAGGGATTTTCTGGCAAAGGGTTCCCTTTTTGAATTGTTGCAAGGGTTTAATTGGAACCGGTTGACCCGACCGCGAACCCGTGAGTTCATGGGCCGACCAGGTTATGGAATTCTTTTCGCTTTCTTTTTGTTTAACTTTCCATTGATTTTCAAAAAAAAAAAAAGAGGATTTTTTTTCCCTATTAATAACTTACAACAATGGCACCTTCCCAAAAATAAATAAATCAATAAATAACTTACAATGCCATTACTTTCACACAAAAAAAAGGTCAATGCCATTACTGAATTTATTTATTTTCTGAAATTGATTTTTCTTGGTCTTCTTTCTTTGTTAGATACTCCCTCCGTCCCATAATTATTGTCCAATTTAAATTTTCATTTCTAGTTCAAATTGTACTAAAAGTGAAATCTCAAACTGGACAATAATTTTAGGACAGAGGAAGTAGTTTTTTTTCTTTTTTATTGGTGCAGTGTGATATTTTCAGACAGCAATCTTCATGATAAGACCAAATTTGGCATTTCTATTGTTCGATTTTTGCAACTGCATGTCTGCATCTTGGAGTCCCAAGCTAAATTCATTTACGAACTCACATAGGTTGGCCCCGTAACAAACTGCACGAATAACAGAATTTTGATAAAGTACATTGTGCAAATTTATTTGTTATAGGTAGATATAAAACATGTACGGCAGAACAATCCTTCATAAAATTCATCCCAAATATGAAATGATATCATTTTGTCCCAAATAAGAGTAACTATAGTAAAAATTCCTTTTAATTTGTTTTTCCAGGAAAATAATCCGTTGATTTACCACAATAAAGAATCAACTTCTTGCGGAAAGAAAAAAATTCAGAATAGTTATAAGTGTAGTACTAATCGAGAACATTAATGTAGATGATCTTCTGGACCATTGACATGCAGATCCCGGAGGACCGATCCTTTATAACTCAAGAAATACATTCTCTTCATCCTGTAGCAACAAAAGCTTGTTTCATGATAGTAACAAGTGTAGGAGTAACTATTCACTAAGTGTCCTCAAGACATTTGATAAGATCGATTGTTGATATCCTGTTTTCAGGAGTCCCAAAGTTCATCATTGGTAATGATAAATCAAGCAGGCGGTGTGATTATGGCGCTTGGTTCTAACGCCTGCATTAAGCGGCTCGAGAAAATGAGTAGGTTCCGGCGCTTAGGCTGCAACACCCACGAGAGCCCTTTCGACCAACATCTACTTGGTGCTGGTTCTAAACTAATGGGTATCAGTTATCTTTACAGTATTGGTCATGTGTAAATTGCCTCCAGCTTTCATTTTCTGGAAGACATATTTTCTTCGATGGTTCTAATGACCGCCCCTAAACTGCTTCCAGCTTCCAAAGCTTTGATAGCCGCACGATGAGCATCCTTGTGCCACTTGAGAAGATTATAAGATTGCAGCACTGACCATCTCGCTTGATTTGACATCTGCATCAGTTTAAAACTATAGAAACTCCTCCATAGAAGAACTTTGAATGCAAAGAAAGAAAACTAGCCTGATCAAATGATTTAATCACCTGCGTCACAGAAAGAGGGGGTTCGAGAATACAGGAAATGCTCCTGAACAAATTTTCATCATTTTCTCCACCTTCAACTTCTCCATAGACCAGTGCTTCTGCTGCAATTCCAGCAAACAGAACCATGCAGTACCTGACAATTCGAGTCAATGCAATAAATAAGCAGTAATCTCTTTCTTTGTATTTTTTTCTTTTTCCCCATTTTTCTTGAGACAATGCCAGCAATTCCAATTTTGCAAGGACCAAATATGGACATACAAGACTTCGCAAAGAAGACTCAGTACCCCACCTGTCAAAGGTCGAGCCGCTCAACCGACCTTCGGCAAGTTCCGTTTGCAGTCCTTCATCCCAAAACTGAGTTCCTGCCTGCAATTTAATGGCAAGCACAGTACATAGTTGTTAACTGGTCAAGCACTCACTATGCATGAAAGTACATCCTTTTTCGCTTAGAATTGGCATCTTCAGGAAGCGAGTCTATTCCCAAAATCGAGGATCTATCTCAACCACCAGTAGATTCAATATACTAAGAGTGCTATTGGAATGGACAAACCGGGAAAATGGCTATCTTCAATCTCTCTTTTTATGATATTAATACAAGCTCAAATAGTTTAGAGCAAAAAAATGAAAGAGGTTTAAAGATGTACCCTCCATCTGAAATACCTGGCCTTTAATTCCCATTTGCATTGCAACTATCGGGTCTAAAATTACACCTCTAATTGGGCATCCCATGAGGTATGCTGCAACCGTGTAAAATGATTACAGTCAGAAGATGCTGCTCGCCCCAAAATGATTATGTTGATGAAAGTAGAATATGTGTCAGATGCAGAAAAACCCACTTAAGATTTGAGAGTGGAAACTTGCACTTCTTTTCTTAAAATTTTACGATGATTATAGCAAAAAATCATTTTAGACCTGTTGATGCAGAAGCAATATATTACCTACAAGCAGATGGCCAGCTTCATGCACTAAAATCCGACGCTTATGAGGGGGCCAATAGCTTGATATTTGAGCCAAACATGTTCCCCCAAGGAATATAGCATCCATCATGGCCAGCCCCAATATAGCAGCAAGATTAGGTCTTATATCAATTCCTTGATTTATCAAAAATGATACTCCAGCTAATGAAGCAAAAAGAAGAGCACTGGAGCTTCCAGAAAGTCCCCACTTCTTTGGTGAGAGCTTTGAAACTGTAACATGAAATAATTTGTCCAAATAAAACATAAATCTGCAGTACAAACTAAGAAGACCAATTTCAGACCAATGTTCTTCCTTATAGTAGACAAGTGATTTCTTTCACAGAATGCAGTGAATGAGTGGCTTCACTTGAATGTACATATCTACAATGATCAAACACTCGAGCATCTCAGAAATTATGGATTTACCTTCCAAACCTGTAGCAGACTTCAATACAGTAGGTGTGATGTCTCTTGGTCCTTCCAGAACTGCACCAAAGGAGCTCAGTTATCAACAAAAAGGGGAAAAAAGAGCCTAGGAGTCTGTGTTAGATGAACATTTTTCTGTGCCACTTTCTGAGGCAAATAGCTGCATCATGATTACCCCTGAACCCTAATTTCTGTCTCTTGGAGCAAAACACAATATGCAAGAAAGAGATTTTATCCACGCTAAATATTAAACACCTCGGGAAGATACCGTGTGAATAAAAGATAAAATCAACATCAACGAATAGCACAAAAGCATCAGTAAAATTACCACTTCCCAAAAAAAATATCTTAGCTCCAAAACTTCAGCATTCATATTTTCAACCAAGTTTTAACATTATTATCAAATGACTGCATTGTTTGTCTTTTAATATCAAAAGGAGAAGTTGTCCACAACAAAACATTACAAACCTTTATGGAGTGAAGAAGGGTGCAATTAGATTTTAATTAACACATGGCATTACAATATCAAAGAAGAAGAAGAAAAGAGATGCTTTACCAATACTTCGGTACTTGCCAAAACTGGGCAAGCGACCTTGATCCTTTAGAAAAGCATATGCACTTCCCACGAGCCTCATATCATCAGCATTCAAGCACGTGTCCAGAACATCCCAGCAGTCCCTTTGCTGCTGCAGCCCATTGGCAAAAGGCCCAACACCATTATCATTGATCAAAGCCTTATCCTCTGAACTTCCAGGATCCATAGAAATATCTCTGAGGAACCGTAGGGCCCGAGCGAGGTCCTTCTCTTTCACTGCTTCCTCGTATTCCTGCCACTCTCCTCTCAGCGCCATTTTAACGAACACTTGCCGGCCGCTCTTCTGCCTTCTGAATATCTTAGCTGACAAAGGATCGATAAAACGCTGATGGGTTGGGAAGGTGAACCCATTGAACAGATAGAACTGTTGTAGTGGAAACGGGGGAGTGATCGTTGATGACGTAATCATCGTTGTCGACGTCGTCATCGCCACAACATCGTGAACTGGAAATGGCGCGGTGGATAATCCGAAAGTTAGTTAAGAATAACGGCGAAACAAATGAATTGGGATTTTTGGCTTGGGCTTTTCGGAAAATGGTCCAAGAAAATGCTGCAACTTCCGGTTAACGTCAAACTTGTTGTCCACAGGTTGGGCCTCCAAGTCCTTGACGGTTTGACCCACAGGTCCCCTGGCTCACAAAATCACCCAAATGATTTTTCGATTTAAATCTTCATCTCTTTACACCCACTTTAATGTTAAAAAAAAAAATATTGTTCAAAAAATTAAATAAAATGAGAGAATAAAAAAATTGCAAAAGTTACATAGAAAACAAATTCACAATGCCACAAATGTGGACTTGGGAAGGGGCAAACCAACTTTTTAAATAAAGAAATGAAAATTTAACAACTTGCATTACCATACATGTGTCCGTTCTTATATAGTAGAACATGGTTCATCTTGCAATATGAACCCAAGTGTGTAGGTACGCACTTGTTATTCCTATATTCTAGGAAATAAAATAGAAAACTGAGATAAGATTTTAAAGAGAATCTTTTCTCTAATTCAAACTCTATTTTTCATAGTAATTAATATATATATATATATATATATATCCATCAAAAGATCAAATATTTAACCTTTCTCATCTTCCACCCTGCTCTCCCTCATCGGAAAATTTTTCTCATCTGAAAAAAAAAAAAAAAACTCTATTGTCGAAAAAAATCACTAGAATTCATCACCATCAAAAATCACCTTGCTGGCTCGTCAAATCAATCAACTGAGAGTAGAATAAACAAATGTTTTTTTTCCCATTATTGTTTCAATTTGTGGCTATAAGCTAGTAGTAGTTATTTTCTCATGAATCTATCTTTGGTCGGCGATAAATGTTTTTCCCTGATAGTTTGAGTGATTATTTATACAATATTTCAACTGATATTTTTGAAGTTCATACTTAATGACTTTTTTTTTTTTGAAAATATACACATTGTCATTGCCTCAATCACTCTTCTTGATATCGTTATGCGAAAAATAATGAAAGAAAGCAAGAAAATATTCTTTTTTTTCTATTTTTATTGAATCAAGTAGGATTTATTTGTATTAGTGGTATTTTTTGAAAAATAGTATTGTGGTTTAATATTTCATACACTTGTACACTCATTTTTTTTTCTTTTCCTTTTTCTTTTTTGTTTTAATTTTAATTGTATGTTCAATCTTGATACCCAACTTCAATTGATAGTTTGAAGTTCGTACATGCTGACTAAAATGTTCATAATATGATTAGATTTTGTTCATAATTTTGTTTTAATGAATTCCTCTATCATGATATCAATATTTAAATTGATATCTTAAAGTTCGAATATTTAGTGAATTAATGTTCATACTATGATCACTTTTTGTTCATGATTTTTGCCTTTCACAAGGGGATATTTGCTGAAATTAATTTCTTGGCCCTGGAGAATAAAAGACCCCCTTATTGCTGAAATTGTAAAGAATTTTAAATTTTTTCTTTTTTCTCTCTCTCTTTTTTTTTTGTCTAAATGTTTTTTGATTCATATGTTTAACCGTTGATCAAAATTTCTTATATTTTTTTTATGCACTGTAATTGATTATTGCCCCTAGGATATTTAGAAATGTTTTTACCTCTGATGCCTTTGTAATTGTGTTATTTAGAGTTGATATGTACATATTTTCATAAAAATTTGACTAATAGATTTATTAATTAAGGTCTTTTTTATAAAAAAATAATTATCAAAGCCTATAGTTTGTTTTGATACTTGAGAAAATGGTATCTTTGTTTAATAATAAATATAATTGCTTTTTGCTATCGATCTTTTAATGTTTTCTCAGTTTTTATTCTAAATGTCAATCGATAGTCTCATGTTCATACGTTTTCGTGAAAATTTTCATATATTATTTTGTTAATGTTCATAATATTATTGAAAATATCATATTGATGTTGCATATTTATTTATTTTCCCTTGCGTTCATACTTTACTAATGTTATTTTCATACATTAATAACGTTGAGTTCATACATGATTATTAATTGAACAAGTTCCTCATGTATTTCTTTTTATTTTACTTATGTTTAAGTTTCTTAGATGTTTATATTTATTAATTTGTAGCAATATTCATATATTGATTGACATGCTAATATTTTTCAATATCAACCTTCATACTTGTCTCTTAAATTCTTCATATAAATGATGCTAAATATTCATAACAATTTTCAAATAAGATGTATTGAAGAGGTGTTAATTGTGGTGGAGGTGGTGGTTGAGAAGATGGATTTGTTCGAATTTTAAATCAGAGAATTGAAGGGCACTGAAGATGATGAGATAGAATATTTAAGTATTTTGATTAGATAAATATTGATAAAAATAAAATATAAGATAATTATAAAAAAAAGAATATCACTTGCTTGTTGGGAGAGTGAACAACAACTCCTTTTTGGCTCACATTGCAAGATGGACCATGGTCATGATATAATTTGCCTACATGTATTTCATTTGATAATAGAACAGACATTACACGAAAATATGTCATATTCTTTTAGTCCAAAATTATTGTGCAGATTAGATTTTTATTTTTTTTATTACTAACTGAACTAAAAGTGAAAATTTAAACTGGATAATAATTTTAGAACAAACAGTGATTCTGTGACAATATGCTAATAGTAACATAACCTTGATTATAAAATTACATAAAATTGTGATCCCTTATCATAAACATTGTTGTGAATGCTACGTCTATTTTGTTAGTAACATAGACTCGATTAGAAAATTACAACTATTTAGCTTCTTAGACATAAACATGGTCACATATGGATCGGACCTATGAACACGCACAGTGAAACTATAGATAGTGGAACTTGTGACAATCAAAGAAATATGAAAATCATCGAACATCTAGGACCTCTCAATCCTCGACGATAAGAGAAATCCAATCAACACCCATCTTGGACCTCTCTTTTGCTTCTTCAATTCTCACGTCCACAAATCACATTCCCACCATTTTCCCCCTCACACTTTTCTATTTTCCCATAGGGACCAAGGCATATTTTTCAGTATTACCAAGGCAAAAAAGAAATAGAGGAAGAGTGTCTTGTGTGTTGTGTACTGAGATCACTAAAATGGCCAGCTCAGCAGCACCCCGAACTCTATGCGGCATTCCGACAAGCACCTCGTCGGCATCCTCCACCAGGGCCACCACCACTGCTTCCCTCAGTCTCCCTTCCACCCGTTTCCTTCCCAGGACTTCTCTCCGCGGGCTGAGCTCTGTTGGGTTCGGGTCTGACCCGACTTTCTCACACCACGTTGCCACAAAGCTCCGATCTTTCAAGTCGTATGGGAAGCCTGTCAGGGGAGTCGCCTCCATGGCCAAGAAGAGCGTGGGTGACCTCACTGAGGCGGACTTGAAGGGCAAGAAGGTCTTCGTCAGAGCTGATTTGAATGTCCCACTTGATGAAAACCAGAACATCACTGATGATACTAGGATCAGAGCTGCTATTCCCACTATCAAGCATTTGATTTCTAAAGGGGCTAAGGTTCTTCTCTCTAGTCATCTGGTGAGTCAATCAAACATTCCCCTCAACAAAGTATTTGTCTGCTTATCTATAGTTTTGAAGAAGGCCATTTTGGCTTCAAGTGTGTCGTTGATGTGATTAGGCAGTGACTTAATCATTTGTTGCTCGTCGTTGTGTGTGTGTGTTTTCGGGCGTTTTTTTTTTTTTTTTTAATTTTGTTTGGTTATTCTTTCTTAATTTTGGTGACATTGTAAAAGTTGTTTCTGCTGCAATTTTGTTGATTGATTGCCATTCTACATTGTTCAATTAATTCTCCTGTGATCACTATTCATTTGCATTGCTTCTAATTAATCAATAATTTACCATGGATATGTCTCCTTTGTGATCTATGTTTACATGGAGTTAAAAAGAAAAAGTTCCTGTTGTTAATGTAAAATTTCTAAATGGCGTAGGAGTAAGCTGAATTGTTTGGTTTGATATATGTATACCTGTATTGATTCATTTACTAGAAAAGGAAGAAATTTCACCTTTTGTATCTATCAGGAACAACCAAGGAGAGAAGTTATCATGCTATTCATCAAGAACAAGATAGCATTAATATTTTATTTTTAGATTTTCCTACCTAGAAACCCTTTTTTTGTTTCCATGGATAGTATGTTTTTTGGCTGCTGTTTAAGTGGCTCCATGGTTGATTTCTGTTTATTTGCATTCTTCTAATGTTTAAAATGATTTCTGTTGATGAATCTTTCTGCATTTGTCCCGGTTTGCTTAATAACTTGATAGAAAGCTCTCAATGTCTCCAGGGTCGACCAAAAGGCGTGACTCCAAAATACAGCCTTGCTCCCCTTGTCCCAAGGTTGACTGAATTACTTGGTATTCAGGTACAACTTTTGAATTTCTGCAAGTTAAATGAACATTTTAAGGAATCAATATCATCAACATTTTAAGGAATAAAATGAAAAAAGTAGGTAGTTTTACAATGGTCGGTATTTCATATTCTTGCCAAAGGTTTTCTGTCATTCTCATCATCATGCTTTTCTTTTGCAATATCTGAATAGGTTGTGAAGGCTGATGACTGCATTGGACCAGAGGTTGAAAAGTTGGTTGCTTCACTTCCCGAAGGTGGCGTTCTTCTTCTTGAGAATGTGAGGTTTTACAAGGAGGAAGAGAAGAATGACCCCGAATTCGCAAAGAAGCTTGCCTCTTTAGCTGATCTTTACGTGAACGATGCCTTTGGTACTGCACACAGAGCTCACGCCTCTACAGAAGGTGTTACCAAATTCTTGAAACCTTCTGTGGCTGGGTTCCTCTTACAAAAGGTTTGCGCGCTCATCTAATATATCCGACTGTATCTATTATCCCCTTCTACCCAAAGGTTAATTTGGCTTGATTGCAAATCGAGCTCACCTTATTATGTTGAGTTTGTTCACTACCTTCAGTTTCTCATCAACTTCTTTCTTTTTCGCTGTCTGTAGGAATTGGACTATTTAGTTGGAGCTGTCTCAAGCCCGAAGAGGCCTTTTGCTGCCATTGTGGGTGGATCAAAGGTTTCATCAAAGATTGGAGTCATCGAATCACTTTTGGAGAAGTGTGACATCTTGCTTTTAGGTGGAGGAATGATCTTCACGTTCTACAAAGCTCAAGGTCTTTCGGTGGGGTCTTCATTGGTAGAGGAGGACAAGTTAGATCTTGCAACATCACTTCTTGCAAAGGCTAAGGCTAAAGGAGTCAGCCTCCTGCTCCCTAGTGATGTTGTTATCGCAGACAAGTTCGCTCCTGATGCCGAAAGCAAGGTTTGCTTCTTATTGTTATTCTACTTTAGACTCTTATATGAAGGAAATATAATACATCTCGGGACCTGAAGTAGTGTGTTGAACTGGTAAGTCGAAAACATTTTTAAAATTTTTTTTTGGTCATTGCAGGTCGTTCCCTCAACCAGCATTCCAGATGGATGGATGGGATTGGATATTGGACCAGATTCGGTTAAAACATTCAATGAGGCATTGGAGACAACACAAACCGTTATCTGGAATGGTCCAATGGGTGTGTTTGAATTTGACAAATTTGCTGTTGGAACTGAGGTACGGAAAAACTTCCCCATTGAATGTATTTACAGCACTTTCCACGGCATGTATATATGGTTAAGAAAAGTGATAATAGCAGTATCGTGGTTTAAATGCTCCACTAAACAGTGAAAAAGGGGGATGAATTTGCAAGTTTTAGTTCATAATAGTACCTTAAAGCGGTGATAATATATGGTTAAGAAAAGTGATAATACAAGTATTGTGGTTTAAATGCTCCACTATACAGTGAAAAAAAGAGGATGAATGTGCAAGTTTTAGTTCATATTAGTACCTTAAAGGCAGTTAAGAATTTGTACTCTATGAAGTATTAGCAGCACAAACCGCACATTAAGTCTGATATGTTGATATAACTTTGTCCTTCAACAAAGACAAGAATGATGCATTGTTGATGGAGTATGCTTGCAATTTCTTTCTGCAGGCCGTCGCTAAGAAGCTAGCTGATTTAAGTGGGAAGGGAGTGACAACAATCATTGGTGGAGGAGATTCAGTGGCGGCTGTGGAGAAGGTCGGGGTTGCAAACGTGATGAGCCACATATCGACCGGAGGTGGTGCAAGTTTGGAACTTTTGGAAGGCAAAGAGCTTCCAGGTGTGATTGCTCTGGATGAAGCCCTAGTTGCTGCTTAGGAAAACCTTGCAGGCATTCTTTTATCTTCTTTTTATTTTTGGTGGGGAAATGACATTTGTGTTTGTGAAAGAGCAATGATTAGGAAGATTATGAAATATATGTATCATTTGTATCCTATCCATCCAGCAAAAGATGAAAAGAGGTATATGACGAGGTGAATAAACATTATTGACCAAAATACTGTAATAGCACCCCGATTTGCATGTCTTTTTCCTGTATACATATTTTTATTACACGAGGAGTTTATTATAAAAAAAGGGGTCGAATAACTGGAGGAAGACGTGTTATGAACACAGTGAAACAACTTTTCATGAACATTTGGTGTTACACATCTGTGCATCTTTTGGTTGGACTTTCTCTGCTCTGAAAAATACCTGTTGATAACACTGGGAGATTATGACTCTACATTATATCTATAGATCTTCATCATCAACAAACCACTTGAGGATGAAAATGCTCATAAAGTTGAAAAAATGGTCGGTTGTTGTCACTCTTGACTCGGCTAACCACCACATATGATGCCTGTGAATTGATGTGTCACGCTTAGCTTTTCTATCACGCGAATCTGGAATCTGTTCTGTGGTTCAATCCATCCAAATAAATAATTGAATACAATAATCTTTTCCAGAAAATGGTGACTTCAGTCTTCTCAATTCAGCCTCATTATCATTGTTCCAGAAAATGGTGACTTCAGTCTTCTCAATTCAGCCTCATTATCATTGCTCTGGATCGTTTAGGTGATTAGGTATTAACAAAAAGAATTATTAAAATTAATACAGTTTGTAATGATAGTCATTAGTCAATTAGTCATTGCTCATGTCACGCTTCAGAGTTCAGACCAATTTAATTCTGCATGTCAATTAAGTTTTTCAAATTGGGGGCGGAATTACTCAGACGACGTAATTTCGTCCTTGGAACTATTTGAAGTAGAAAAAGTCGTTATTTTAGCTTTTTATATGTTTTATTGTTTTATCAGTTTAAATTATGCTTCCTAGGAGTAAAATCCAAAAGCTTCCTTTCTAGCTATCTGTTGGGAGTCCGAAGATAAAGGAAATGACTCACCATAAAGAGACGCTCTTGCATTTTACGAATTATCAGTTTTTGCAATGGAATCTTTCTAGCTATTTTCTCCCGAAATTTTCTTTTCTTTTTTTCTCTCAATGCTTCCTTATTTCCTCTGAATTCTGAATTCTTAAATTCTGGCACTAAAACTATCAAATCGTTATAGTTGGTATCAGAGCTACGATCTTCCGACTGTGGGGAATTAGCTATGGTGGAAACTAGAACAACAATGGGAGAAGATCATATTAAGAAGGTGGTCAACGATGCAAATCTTCTGTGGAGAAATGAGTCGAAGGCAACATACAATCTTTAGACATGAAATTAATTGGCTTGGATAATGCAGTGTTGAGTCTAAAATCCCAGATTGAAGGTATATAGGAAGAAGCTTTGCATTCAAAGGCTAGATTGGACAAGATTGAATCTTGGATGCAAATCATGGCCAAAGAGAAGTTTGTGTTTAAAGGGCAAAGCTCAGCCACTGAGTCGGAACCACCCCCGATTCTGGAACGCCGAAAGTACCCCTAAAGGTTGTGATTCATGATGATACACCGTGGAATGGTAAGGAGAAGGGTAACAAAAACGCTGGTGGAGTTGAGTAATTTCGATGGAGAGAACCCTCGAGAGTGGATTCGAAAATGTGATAAGTATTTTACGTTGTATCAAACACCTGAGACTTCTAAGGTAGCCACCGCAGAGATTTGTTTGAGTGGGAAACTAGAGATTTGGTTTGAAGGGGTGAAAACGGTCTGGGGAAATTTGAATTGGGAAGAGTTTTCACGAGCTCTGATTCGAAGGTTTGAGATAAAAGGAAGGAAAGATGAATTCGGGGAATTCAACAAACTGCAACAGAAGGGTACAGTTTTGGATTACATCGAGTAGTTTGAAAGCTTGAAGTCCAAAGTCCTCATAAAAGATCCAAGGTTAACAGAGTCTTATTTCATATCAAGCTTTATCAGTGGCTTGAAGGAAGAAATCAAATCGATTATGAGGATATTTACCCCTAGAGACCTCGATTCAGCAATGGAGATTGCCCTCCACCAAGAGATGTCCTCTGAAATGCATGCAAAAAGGGAAAAGTCCACATCTACAGGCAGCCATAAGTCTCCTATAATCCCTGGAAGGCAAAATGCTCCTAGAGTTGGTTGGAGAACTGATGATAAGAAGCCGTATAAAAATGACAGGTTCAAAAGGTGTCTCCGTAGGAAATAAAGTATCAAAGAAATCGCAACCTTTACAAATGTGGCGAAAAGTATGCTCCTGGCCACCAATGCAGTTTGAGTAAAGTATACCTGATTGTCACTGAAGAGGAAGACGTATAGCCACCTTATCTGCAAATCTTGGAAGAGCCGGAGGAAGAGATACTTACAGAAGGGGTAAGGAGACTGCACTTGAACGCCATTGATGAGAAATCCTAGAGGAATACTATCATCATCAGGGGTAAGATCAAAGGTATGTGGGTAAACATACTTATTGACACTAGAAGTACTTCTAGTTTTGTTGATCCTGGTGTAGTTAAAGCATTATCTTTGCATTATCAATCAATTGAGCCTTTTTGCATTAAAATGGCGGAAGGAAACACAGTTATAGGCTCATACTTGTGTCTTGATATATGTTGGGATGTACAACAATACGAATTCGTTTTTGACTTTAAGGTTATGAATCTTAGTGGATTTGATGTAATCTTGGGTGTTGATTGGATGTCTAATTTTAGTCCAATGATATTCGGCTATGACAACGATAATATCCAGTTAATTCGGAGAAGAATGAGATATCTTCTGTACGGTGGAAACCATGATCCTTCTGTCAATATGATTAAGACTGATGATTTCCGGGATTATTTGGAGATAAAGAAAAGGAAAAAATATTGCAAAGCTTTCTGTCACCCAGAGAGGAGTTTGAACCTTTCAGACGCAAACAGAAGCATTTTTCCCAAATCCTTGGAGAGCATGATTTCGCATGTTGAAGTGGTGTTTTCCATTCCCACCATATTATCGCCTGTGAGGGAGATAGAACACTGCATTGAGCTCAAAGAGGGATCTCAACCTTTCAAAGTAAAGCCTTATCGTTACCCATATGCGCATAAAGAAGAGATCGAGAGGCAAGTTAAGGAAATGCTGGACAAGAAAATCATCAGGAATATTACTAGCCCTTATTCATCGCCTGTCTTGCTGGTACCAAAGAAGGAGGGGAATGGAGGTTCTGTATGACTATAGGAAGCTAAACGAGATGACCATTAAAGATAAATATCTCATTCCGGTAATAGAAGAACTCCTGGACGAGTTACATGGTGCAAGTTATTTCTCCAAGCAAGATCTTTGATCGGGGTATTTCCAAATCAAAATGAGAAACCAAGATGTGGAAAAGACGGCTTTTCAAACACACATGGGCATTTCGAGTTTCTAGTGGTGCCGTTTGGTCTTACGAATGCGTCGTACACATTCAAGTCCCTGATGAACAGTGTATTCAAACCCTTACTCAGAAAGTGTGTTCTAGTGTTCTTCGACGACATACTAGTTTATAGCCAAACCAGGGAAAAACATCTCAAGCATCTTGAAACAGTGCTGCAAATTCTATAAGCTCAGCAGCTGTACGCCAAAAATTCCAAATGTGTGTTGGCCCAAAGGAGCGTAGAATATTTGGGACACGTGATTTCATCCGATGGTGTTAGTATGAACTTGGAAAAAGTGAAATGCATCACTAGTTGGCCACTACCACAAACAGTAAAGGAGCTGCGGGGTTTCTTAGGCCTAACCAGATATTACCATCGGTTCATTCAGAGGTGTGGCATAATTAGTAAAGCATTAACTATTTTGCTTAGAAAAAATAATTTCACTTCGAATGATGCAGCCACTTTAGCCTTTGAAGAGCTCAAACAGGCAATTGTCTCTGCTCCGGTACTCAACATGCTTGATTTTTCCAAACCGTTTGTCATAGAGATGGATGCTTGTGAATATGGGATGGACGCTGTATTGATGCAAGACAAACACCCGATTTCATTCTTAAGTAAGACATTTTGCACTAAGAATCAAGGCTTGTCGGTATATGAGAAAGAGTTACTTGCAGTGGTAATAGCCGTGACGAAATGAAAGCATTATATCATAAGGAATCACTTCATCCTGAGAACGGACCATCAAGCTCTCAAGTTTTATCTGGAACAAAGGCTAACCACTTCGATTCAACATAAATGGCTAACTAAGTTGTTGGGTCTCGACTACGAAATCCAATACAAAAAGAGAGTAGAAAATAAGACGGCTGATGCCTTATCCCAACTGAACCAAAGGCCAGGTGATCATGTCGAGAAAGAAGCAAAGGATTCTAGTCAATGCTATGCCATAACTTCAGTACAACTAATTTGGATGGTGGAAGTCGAGAAAAGCTATGAAGGAGATGAATTAGCTCAACAAATACTAGCAGAATGTGCCGTCCATCCCACTGAAAATTCTGAGTACCAAGTAATCAATGGACTTTTGAAGAAGGGAGGGAAAATATACATTGGCAATTCCGGGGAGATAAAGCAGAAAATTATGGAAACCATGCATTCTTCCTCTCTTGGTGGTCATTAGGGACAGACTGTCACTTTACTCCGAATTGGGTCCTTATTCTTTTGGTCGAAACAGAAACAAGAAGTCGAGGAGTTCGTTAGATCATGCGAAGTATGCCAAAGATGCAAGAGTGAACATGTGAAAACTCTCGGTTTGTTGCAACCATTGAGTATACCCAGCAAGCTTGGAGACACATTTCTATGGACTTTATAGAAAGGCTGCCAATCTCAGAGCAAAAAAACGACACCATTCTGGTCGTGGTGGATCGACTGACCAAATATAGCCATTTTTATGCTTTTTCTCACCCCTTCACAGCAGCTTTAATAGCGGAACTCTTTGTCACTGATGTTTATAAATTACATGGTTTACCTGAAACCAGAGTCACTGATGGCGACAAAATATTCACCAGCCACTTTTGGGGAGAATTATTCAAGCTGCTAAATGTCGAGTTATGTATGAGTACGGCGTATCACCCTCAAAGCGATGGCCAAACCGAGAGGGTCAACCAATGCTTGGAAAGCTATCTTCGTTGCTTTGCCGGGGTTAAACTAAGCAGTTGGTGTAGATGGTTATCTCAGGCAGATGGTGGTATAATACCAACCATCACAACAGCATCAATATGTCCCCATATGAAGCACTTTACGGCAGTAAACCAATTTTCCCTCCCTTAGGTCCTTATCATGATGTAATCATTCCGGCAGCTGAAGATATGCTGGAACAACGTCACATGATCATGAAGATCCTGAAGGAGCAATTAGTTGAAACTCAGAACCGTATGAAATACTATGCTGACATGAAAAGATCTGACAGGGAGTTAAAGGTCGGGGATTGGGTGTATCTGAAGCTTCAGCCATATCGACAGCAAACCATAGCCATCCGTAATACTGTGAAGTTAGTTTATAAGTGTTATGGACCATATGAAGTACTTGAAAAAATTGGGACAATGGCTTACAGACTCAAACTTCCAGCTGCTGTTCATATTCATCCCGTCTTCCATGTTTCCCTGCTGAAGAAACATCATGGCCATCGACCAGTCAGTCTACCATCTCTCCCTGATTTCTCACAGCATGAAGAAAGTTTCATGTTCCCAGAACGAGTACTGCAAAAGAGAATAATCACTAGGAATCGACTCACTGTGGTGCAGTGGCTCATTCATTGGAGGGGTTTGGAAGTGGAGGATGCATCCTGAGAAGATCATGACTTTATCGTGAAGCAATTTCCATCTTTTAAAGCTTGAGGACAAGCTTTGTTGAAGATGAGGGCAATTTGTCGCGCTTCAGACCAATTTAATTCAGTATAATTAATTTATGTCAATTATGTTTTCCAAATTGGGGGCGGAGTTACTCAGACGACGTAGTTTCGTCTTTGGAACTGTTGGAGTAGAGAAAGTCGTTATTTTAGCTTTTTATCTGTTTTACTGTTTTATCAGTTTAAATTATGCTTTCTGGGAGTAAAATCCAGAAGCTTCTTTTGTAACTATCCGTTGGGAGTCCGAAAATGAAAGAGACGACTCACCATAAGGAGAGGCTCATGCATTGTACGAATTATCAGTTTTTGCAATGGAATCGTTTCAGCTATTTTCTCCCTAAATTTTCTTTTCTTCTTTTTTTTTTTCTCTGCTTCCTTATTTCCTCTGAATTCTGAATTATGAATTCTTAAATTCTGGTACTAAAACTATCAAATCGTGAGAGCTCATTGGGAAAATAGGTTGGAATTCAAAACCCATGGGCCTTGTTGGGTCGAAAAGTGAAAGTCCGTGGGCGGGCTAGGTGTAATATTCCGAAAAGGTTCCATTTGAGTGAAAAACGAAAATTTTTCTTTGTGGAAAAGGCAAAAAGATATAAGAAAACATCTCGAAATTCTCGATTCTTCCAACCTTTCTTCTTCCTCAATCCAGTTCACTATATATACACAGAACAGTAATCTCTTCTTCTTTTCTCACATTAGAAAGCGTGATACTCGGAAAAGTCGGACCTTTGCTCAATTGCTTTTGTACCTCTAATTTCCATCTTCCAGACAAACAAAAATGGCGACGAAGAAGAGCGTTGGATCACTGAAGGAAGCTGATCTGAAAGGGAAGAGGGTGTTCGTGAGAGTGGATCTCAATGTCCCGTTGGACGATAACTTCAACATCACCGACGACACAAGGATTCGCGCTGCCGTCCCTACCATCAAGTATCTGATTGAGAATGGCGCTAGAGTCATCCTTTCCTCCCATCTGGTAACTTGTTTTTGTTTTCTCTTTTCTTTCCTTTCGTGATTTGGATTAATTCCCTGAGATTAGGCGAGACTGTTGCTGGTTATCAGTTAGGGTTCAGATCTTCTTACCAATTGAAGATTGCATGCATAGTTATGGGTAGTTATACTTAGTTATTCAATCATCAGATTGACTCGATTGGTTTCTCCCCGGACTGTTCTGTGTTATTTGATCCTTGAGCTTCATTTTTGACCTGTTTATTGTTTGTATTTGTTGTTGAGAGCTGGTTCATGATGTGCTATTATTTCTGTTGCTTAATTCAAATCGAGCATATGCTTTACTGACTTCGGGATTTATGATTTCTTTTGTGCTCTTGAAATTATTGCTGCTTAGCGTATATCTCTAACTAGACATGGATCTTTTGTTGGTGACAGGGACGTCCAAAAGGTGTCACCCCTAAGTACAGCTTGAAGCCTCTCGTGCCCAGATTGTCTGAACTGCTTGGCCTTGAGGTTACTTTTTTATTCCCTTGTGTCTTTGGTTTAGACTTTTAGTAGCTAAATGGATTTTTGCTCCTTGCACTGTGTAATTATTTGGTTTTAGACTTCTCCTTACACTCTGTCCTATTAATGTGTCAATAGGTCAAGATGGCAGATGATTGCATTGGTGAAGAAGTCGAGAAACTGGTTGCTTCCCTGCCAGAAGGAGGTGTTCTGCTCCTGGAGAATGTCAGGTTCTACAAGGAAGAGGAAAAGAATGATCCTGAGTTCGCCAAGAAGTTGGCATCTCTTGCAGACTTGTATGTTAATGATGCTTTCGGAACTGCCCATAGAGCCCACGCTTCCACTGAAGGAGTAGCCAAGTATTTGAAGCCTGCTGTGGCCGGATTTCTGATGCAGAAGGTTGGTAGTTAATTTGTCTCTGGTTTCACTGTTTTCAGATCAAAGTCATTTGATAGTTTAATTTCATATATGTAGGCTGCAGCTTGATTTTTTTTAGCCATTACTTGGTTTAATTTGTTGTATTTATCTGACGCTGGTTTCATTTTTTTCCTGTCTCTGTTTTCTCTGCCTCAGGAGTTGGATTACTTGGTGGGAGCTGTAGCGAATCCGAAGAAGCCATTTGCTGCCATTGTTGGTGGTTCGAAGGTTTCGACCAAAATTGGTGTCATTGAGTCCTTGTTGGCTAAGGTTGACATCCTCTTGCTCGGTGGTGGTATGATCTTTACATTCTACAAGGCCCAAGGGTACTCTGTTGGATCTTCGCTTGTTGAGGAGGATAAGCTTGACCTTGCCCTATCCCTCATGGAGAAGGCCAAGGCTAAAGGAGTATCCCTTTTGCTTCCCACAGATGTTGTCGCTGCTGACAAGTTCGCTGCCGATGCAAACAGCAAGGTTAGTGGATTTAAAATAATTGATCGAAACTGTGATTGTGGAAAGTTTGTTGGCTGTTCATGTACTTGATTGAGGATTGGAATCGTGGTGATTTTGTCTGATTTAATGTCTCAAATAGATTTATTTGTGGAGGTTGTATTAAAAAATCTTAATTTGTCTTTCAGATTGTTCCAGCTTCTGGAATCCCCGATGGGTGGATGGGTTTAGATATTGGACCTGACTCGATCAAGACATTCAATGAAGCCTTAGACACCACTCAGACCATCATTTGGAATGGTCCCATGGGTGTTTTTGAGTTTGACAAGTTTGCTGCAGGAACTGAGGTAAGAAATAGATGTAATTTGGTTGTAGTCATGCTTTAAACTTCTAACCAACCGTTGGCAATCCTGATGTTTTTCCCTTGTTGCTATTGTAATGTCAGGCTATAGCCAAGAAGTTGGCCGAGCTCAGTGGCAAGGGGGTGACAACTATCATCGGAGGTGGTGACTCTGTTGCTGCTGTGGAGAAGGTTGGACTTGCTGATAAGATGAGCCATATCTCAACTGGAGGTGGTGCAAGCTTGGAACTCCTTGAAGGAAAACCGCTACCCGGAGTTCTTGCTCTCAATGATGCTTAAAATAGCTTCCTCGTTCAGCCCAGTTTTGAGTATTATTAGCTGTTAATCCTTCCCTGTTTGTAGGGTTCTTCAGTTTTAAGCGAATTGATTATAAAGAACTGAGCTTTCCTTTGTAGGGCTGTAGTGGTGATGGAAGTTTAAATAAATTTTGCTTATGGGCATCGACTCTGTTTATTAGAGATGGTGTGATGTCAACCTGTGATCAGGCTTGATTGATAAACTCTTAAGTCTTGCTGCTGTGAATGAATGAAATTGCATTTTTTGATGCGATGCAACTCCTGGTGATAGCTCTGTTTTTGTGCATTGCTTTAAATTCGAGCCTCAGGCTCTCAGAAACCGCTTAATTTTTATATCACAAAGAGGGGTTGCAAGATATGGACTGAAAATTTGTCGGGTTTGGATATTGATTGATTTAGGCTGTTATGTAGAAACCTGAAAGTGAATCAGTTTACAGGTTCGCATAAGCGGATCACCACATTCTTCTCGTTTTGGAATTAGCGGATCATCAGTATGAACAAATTCTTCTCAGGAGACCTGATAAAGATCAGCGCCCCCCCTAAAATATAAGCCGGATTCACCAGTATCATCTGACTAGTTGCGAAGATCAATAGCTCATTGTGGCATATTATCAAACACTTGTGTACCACACAACCCAGCTGCGAACTGCTTACTCATATGATGTTGGGATCCACGATGTTGTGGGGTGCTTGTCCTAGATATTTTCCGCTGAATTCTTCGTTATTTTCGTCGAATAAGATCCTCAAATGCTGCATTAAATCTATGTCGAGAAGACGATTGCCATTCTTGCACAATTACTCAGCCTCCTCCGTTACAACAAATACAGCAGCACTGTCTTCAACTTCTTCTTCCTCGGACTCCTCAGGTATTATACCTTTCTCATTTCCTTGTTTGATTTTGCTCAAAATTGGCTGGAAAAATGATTTCTGGAGAAGGAAAATAATTGTGCTTTTATGTCATCAGTTGTAAATGCGGATGCTGAGGATGTGATGGCGGGATACATATTTGGAAAGAAGAAAGCGACCCAAGTTGCTCACTCGTATGCACTCTTTTCCCATCTCCCAAAGTTCTCTTTTTCTTTTTCTTTTTCTTTTCCCCCCTCAAATGCAATTTTACAGTTTCTGGGTTCTTTCATTCTGGCCTCCAGTAGCAATGAAGACATGATACTTTGCAGATAATTTACTCGTGAACTGAAGACTTAAGTTTAATAATCGGTCTTGATTATGGAGTAAATTCAACGCCATCATTCATCTGTTTTAACTGCATTTTATCTGCTTCTCAGAGACATTTTTTGGGCAAATTGCTTTTCCTTACTTTCTCATTTTATCAATGTGCTAGATGCTATATTATGTGGTAAGATTCATTTGGAGGTCCAATGTTGATACTTCGATTATTTGTTGCTTTGATTGGTCAACTACTTGATCTCTTGTTTATTGGTTACTTGGGCTAGCTGAATCCAGTCTCCATGGCTTTCTGTTGCTAACTTTTCTTGCAGGTTGTGGAAGCATGTTGTCCGGAAAGGCGACGTGGTCATTGATGCGACTTGTGGCAATGGCCATGATGCTTTAGCACTCCAAAGATTGGTTTCTGATGCAACTCGTGGAGGCCGTGTATATGCAGTGGATATCCAAAAAGCTGCTCTAGAGAGTACTTCTCTGTTGCTGGATCGGTTTCTAAGTCCAGATGAGGTTGTGTTCTTGTATTTGAACAGCATTCTATACCACAAAAATATGGAGTGTTGATATGCAGCTTTAGAACCATAATGACATAATTTTTTTCTGGACTGTCTTTCTCTCACGCTATGCCAAATTTGAAAGATTTCATGCTTTATTGCAGAGGGAACACGTCGAGCTATTCCTAATGTGCCATAGCAAAATGGAGGAAATTATTCCTAGTGGTGTTGCTGTTAGGTACTGCAATCTAAATCATGAATTTGAAATACTACAGTAAGAAGACAAACACACATCATTCGAACTACTTCTTTCTGTGTCATGTTTAGGTTAGTTGCCTTCAACTTGGGTTACCTTCCAGGAGGTGAGAAAGCACTTATTACAAGATCAGAAACAACACTACTTGCCCTGGAGGCTGCCAAGAGAATATTGGCCCCTGGCGGGCTCATCAGCATTGTGGTTTATGTTGGTCATCAGGGCGGAAGGTAATGTAGATCTTGATCATTGATCTTTTCTCTTTCCTTCTATCCCAGTTCAAATTTTACCTTTTTATCGCTGCTGAATTTTGACTAAATGAATGAGAGTAGTAGATAAATTTGAAACTTGAAGGAAACCTCTTTTGCAAAACATTACTGAGGGTTAAAATCCTCAAGGCTTGAGTCTTGCTAGGATGCATTATCAGCCCAGATAAGAAGCTTTCCAGCTTTAACTGGATTTATCCTTACACTAAACAACATTTCTATTTTCTAGGCAGCAAACTTTCTATTCAGATCGTAGGACACGGTTAAATTGCTTTCAATTTTTTAATCTCTGTTTCTCTCTCTTTTTTATTTTTTGAGAGTTGTCAGTTTCTCTCCTCTGAATGGAAGTATTGTCATCTGCATTTATTGTAGGGAAGAGTTTGAGGCAGTCCAAAGTTTTGCTTCAGAATTACCACTTGAGGAATGGGTCTGCTGCAAACTCCAGACGATAAATAGGCCATTTGCCCCCATCATGGTTCTCCTGTATAGAAGATAATGAATCTATAATCCTTGCCATATCATATACGTAGAACTTTATAGGCTTCTAAAAACGAATTTGATTCAATAACCCTCCAGGATGTGAAGCATGAGACTTAGCTCACGCTTCTTGCCTCTCGTGATTTTTACGCAAGTACTGTGTTTATAGTTCAATCAGCTTCAACTGACAGCGTAGGTAGGGAATGCTTGAAGCTTGGCAGTGCAAAATATTCGCCCTGAAAGCCGGTTGGGGATGCTGATACAACATTCTTCACTAGATGACTAATACAAAAATTGGTTTCTAGCTAATCTAAACAGCGTGATTAGACGACTTGTTTGGTTTTGAATCGATATAGAACTCGTTTCCTTTTGAATTGCCCGTTTTCAATGGTGAGAACAACCTTCCCAGGTTCATTGTTTTTGAACAAGTTGCGAAGCGAGCCTTCCTGCCATGCTATCCTCCTTTCTTTCTTCACAATAACAGTGTAGGAGTCTTCTGCACTTGGTACAAATTCCTCTTTGTAATTCACCTCCCACCCTATCACAGTCAGGTCCCAAACCAAAGTGCTTCCGGCCTTGAATTTCCAAGAAGTGATCAGAATTACGGTAAAGTAAGATGGGATTAATACTGAATTCATACAGAAATGCTGGTTTAGGCTTACCTCCAATGCAGGGATCTCGATGACTTCAGTTGATCCTGATTTGACTGTGATCTCAGAGACTCCGTCTTGAGTTGAGAAATCGGGATCATCCTCTCTCTTTAAACCTCCATACCTAACTGGGATTTCTTCTCCAGAAATATACCTGCAGTTAACGTTATTAGTCCACAAGTGATGATGCAGACTTGTGTGATTATTCCATCCAATATAGGTCTGTTGTCATCTTACTTGAGAAGTGTCTCAGTGACCCTGTTTGCACGGGCAAACACGAATTTGCTCTTGGTCCTTTGTATCAAAAAAGGGGACAGAAGCGCGTTGAAGGCGTAGTACCAGAAAGGAACATTGATGAAAATCTACAAGAAACCAGAATACACGTTTATTGGAGAGAAAGATCATGAAATGAATGAGGAAAAGCTAAAGTTGTTAGTCTTTTTGCTTACATTTCTTGCAACAAATTCAGGATAGTTGTCTTGTAGAAGTGCTACGGCTTGTCTGGTGGCAAGGCGAAGATCCTTCCTGGAAGGTCCCGGCGTGTCCTTAAGATCATTGATCTGGACTAAGGACGAGCTTCCGGACTTGGGTGTTCTGAAATCCAGCATCTGAATCTGTCTCTCCATCAACTGCAGCCTCCACCTCAAGAACTTGTCTCTGCTCTCCTGCGTCCCGAATGTCTTGTTATACATATCATCATTCCCAAACACTCCATACACATTGTAGCAAACAGGATGCCCCCTTCGATCCACACCATTGATGGATGCCGTCGAATCATAATCGCTGCGAAGATCTTCTGTCAGAATCGAGTCAATCTTGTTCTCTGCCCTCCATTGGAGGGTGTTGCTCAACATATCCAGTGCATCATTGGCCTTGAAATCCCTTGCCTTCAAGAACTTCAATAGTATGACATCAGTTCCCTTATCTCCTTTGCTAGGCATTAATGGTACACCCCATAGGCACAAACCGGACTGATCATCATATAATTCCTCATCCGCATTAACTTTTTCTTTTCCCTTTTCAACAACATTCTCATCTGAAACGGGAAGGCTCTCTTTTTGATCCTCCTGTTGCTTCTTTCTGACTAGAAGCTTATTCATCAAAATCGCCTCCTCAACCTTTGATCTCAACTCTTCCAACGCCTTCTTTTCGCTCTCTTTCAGATCAGCGAATGCCACCTGATCATCAGGCGCGCTGTCATTGGTGTCATACTGTTTTGGCGACGAGGACTCATCTGTCTTGTCCTCGCGCTGGTGATCCGTGTGGTTCACATCCGATTTCTTCTCAACATTGGATTCGGGTTCATCCTGTTTCGGACAATCAGCTCCATTTTGTTGATCATCTTCAGCTTTTGCATCTTCTTCAACTATTGCAGCTGTGGCAGCCACATTGGCTTTGACATCGTCATACACCACCTGAATGTGTTCCGATTTTGCCGATGACTCCTCTGCCATTTTCAGTGGGTTTTCGAGGATGATCGATGATGAGATTATTTACTAGGGGAAAGAAGAAAAAGGACATATATTACATGAATAAAGAAACAAAATAAAAAAGAAATGAAAACACTAGAAACAACCAACGTTTGGTTCTCCTACATTGTTCCTAAGTTTCCTCTCGTCCCTTTGTTTGAATAACAAAAAATCAAAGTACGGAATAATTAGCCATGTTTTCCATAACTGTGCCTTCTCATATTATATCATACATGGTCGATCGATCATCTTATCTTCCTAGAAAATGCAGCCTCCCTATATATATAATAGTAATGTAATTGGCAAAACTAATAAGCAGAGAAATCGGACCATTAATATTAGAAAGAGTTCAAAAATTACTTTCATCACAGCACAGATCTCGCTAGAGTCTACCTAGAAGTAAACTAAAATACGAGTGCAATTTTCTATTAGTATGAAAACCAAGGTTGATATTGCAAAAAAAAAAAAAAAAAGAGAAGTTATAATGGCTGCTGGAGCAGGACAAGAACTTCTTCTGATTTCGGAATTCGTTTAGGAACAGGATTAATTATATATGGCAATATTTCCTGGAAGATGTATCAATCTATATGTAGACATATATATATATATATATATATAAGGGCTTATAGACGTACAAAACAGAACCCTTTTTAAGATCTTCAAGAAAACGCAATGGCGGCTGGAGCAGCAAGAGAAGAATCATCAAAGAGCATGATCCAACAACATGGTTCTTCTTCTCTTCCTCCCCAATATCCATACCCGTATCTTGCTTTCGCCCATGGCGAGGAACAAGAAAACCAGAGCTTCTTCGACGTGACATCCTCAGAACCCGGAACCAAATCCATACCCGAATTCAAGAACGAACCGGAAGTTATCTCATCTCAGGGCTGGTTAATTTTGTATCACTATCCAGGAACGTCGTCACCTCATATGGAGCTGCAACTTTGGAATCCCATAACTCTGGAATCCATTCACCTTCCTCCCCTAAATTTAGGACCATGTGATGTCGGAGGGGTAATAATAATATTGACAAAACCACCCACTGATCCGGACACTCCTCCTCCTCGCATTATGTTCCGTCACGTTCAAGATGACGACGAAAAAGATTGGACCTACAGAGTTTGTGACGAAGAAATCGACAAATTCGACGACGATCTAGAAGTCTGGGATTCCGATTTCCGTGTGGTACTCTGCAATGATAAGATCTACGTTCTGCAATGCCTTTCAATTGCGAGCCTCCTCCCAAGTATTCTCTAGATGGCTGCCGAGTTATTAGAGATTGGGCGGAATGTTGCGGCGACCTCTTTATGGTAGTTGTTGAGCTTGGGGGAATGGGTTTGAGCGAAGTGAGTGGTTAGCGTCATGGTTTTCCAATTAGATTTCCTCAATTTGGTCTGGGATGTTGTCCACAGTCGTCCGGCCTTGCCTTTTACCTGTCTTTGACCGGCGGCTTCATGGCTTGCCCTGTTGCTTCACCTGATTCCGACAATGTAGGGAACCGAGTTTACTTCGTTACCCAAGACGATGTGAATAACACTACATCATTGTACACTTACCATATTGAACGCAAGACTCTCTTGGTTTCTTTGTTGAACACAAGTGTACCACCGCGGTTTTCGGGTCACCAATTTGGATACTGATTCCGGATGCTCAAGCAATTGCAAAGGCTGAGCGGGAGTATCAGGCGTATTGTGGAGGAGCAAGAGGAGGAGAAGAAGAACTCTTATTGATCAGGGGAACCCAAAAAGCTAAGTTAGAAAGAAGCAAAGAGGCTGAGGAGGAAGAGGATGACTCTATGGTACTAACAACAAGGTTAGATGGTCTTCCTGTTGAGCTGTTGGGGAAGATAATCTATTCGCATTTGGTCAATCCTGTAGATTACTTAAGTTTTCGATCCGTTAGTAGATTGTATCTTTCGATGTTTCCTACGAACGAGTGGAGAAGAAGAGCATCATCAACTCGAGATAATATGGATTTACAGAGTTGTAATATAGCACATTATCATATCCTCCCTTCCTACTCATTCCTTCCATGGTCGAAGGTGTTAGCTACATGCTAGATTCCGTCACTCGAAACATGTATTACACGAGGCTTCCTCAAATTGAAACCTCTGGGGAGGATTTCAGGATTGTTTACTCTGAATATGGTTGGTTGTTAATGGCTAAAAATGTTTACTCGGAGGAGAAAGGCTACAAGGTACCTCTTTTGAAGTTATACAATCCCTTAACGAAGTCTACAATATGCTTACCCCAATTGCCTGATTTGATGACATACTTCTTCTTATCTTCTTCCCTTGCTTCCCCAAATTGCACTGTTTATGCAATAGCGAATTCCGAACCAATATTTTACTCCATTCAACTCGCAGGTGATATGAGCAATTGGGTCGGAGGAGCCGTAATCTTGGAGCAGGAAGATTATGACAAAAATATAAAGAACAGTCCAATACCAATGTGGTTTACTTGGACGGATGTTTTTACATTCTAATCGAAAATGGACATCTTGGAGTTTTTAGATTGCAAGATTCTGGCAATAATACGTTTACAAGGCATGATCTTAAATTACCGTTCAAAAGCTCGTCTTTGGAGCAAAATATTCTAGTGGAATGCGGTGGAGATGTTCTATCAGCGATGGTAGGAGAATGTTTTAGATGGTTGAGAGTTTTCAAGTTGAATCAGTCAAGAATGGCTTGGGGATGGGAGGAAGTCATGGACTTTTTTTTTTTTTTTGAAGGAAAACATACTCCATTAAGATTACTGGAAATAGTCCAACACCATTTGATACTAGAAGAGACCGTCCAAAATGATGTACTCAAACCGTTCTAACGACGTACTCACAGTACTAATCACTGCACCAGTGACTAGACCAAAAAAACTGCCAAAAGGAAAAATAATCCTATAATGACATAATTCTATTAGCGGACATATCACGGAACAGAATAAAATTCTGAACTCGAATATATCACTAATCCGCAAGACTGAAGCACAAATTTATCGTCATGAACGACGAACAACACATCAAATGCGGACTCGACCGACGGACTCGGTTCCATTGACATACTAAATTCACTCAGTAAAAAATCAATCCGAGATCTGTACTGAGGGCGGGTTATCCCACTTAATTGAATTAAAACACTACAATAAAAAAACAACCAAATCCAGACGGACATAGACTCCATCAGATCAGGGATGCAGCGGGAGGGTGGCGAAGGCAGCAGAGGTGGATGCGGCAGAGGGTGGATCTGGGCGGCAGAGGGGCGGCAGAGGGTGGTATTGGCTAGCAAAGGGCGGCTGAGGATGGATCTGGTCGGCGAAGGGCGGCAGAGGATGGATCCGAACGGCAGAAGGGGGTTCCGGCGGTTTGGATGCCATAAAGGTGGGGTGGCAATAACGCTTCGCCAGAGGGCGATTTGGAGGTAGTGGTGGTTTTGGTGATGGTGCAGGGGGCGGATCTGGAAGAGGTTTCAGTGCCAGAGGTGGAACTAGACTTGGTGATAGAGAAAAAAAAGACAACTCCCCTAACCACCATTAAATGAGGTTGGGGGAGGAGGAAAATTCCGGTAGGAGATTGTTTAGTGAAAGGGGAGAGGAATATATTTTAGAGAGATGGTAATTAATGGAATGCACTAAATGCTCTAGTACTACTAAGTTAATAGTATTGAGGAAGTCATGGACTTGAAGAATAAGAACTTATATTTATCTACAATGTCAACTGTTATTAGATATGCTGAAATTCCTAGGAACGGGAAACTGGATTTATCTTCCAAGATTCTATCAAGATTCAATCGTGTATTATTCTCTTAATACATGAAAATTTCATTGCTAACAATAAGAAAGATGACGAGGATGAGGATGCACCAATGTCGTATAATGGATTGAAAGAACAATTGTATTGTTGTTGTTTGAACCAAATTACAATTATACATATTAAGTTTTAAGATTTGTATTTTTTTTTTCTTTGAACAGGGCGAGTATTAATTTTTCTTGTTAAAGTGGTACATTCTTTAGAAAAACGTATTTTCCTTCAGATTTTCTTTTCCATTTTAATTCATGTCATATATAGTTAACAGTCTATATTATTATTAGAAACTATACTAATGATCTTCAAAATTGTGTGAAAACCACAACCGATACATTTCTTGTCTAAATTAGTTAGCCAGTCTAATGATTGTAAAACTTTTAATTAAGTTTCTTTTACTTTTACTTTTTATATGATTATCACTTGCAATAAAAAAAAAACAACTAGTATAGCTGATGAAGTCAATGATCAAAATATGTAAGAAAAAACTAGTTATGACCTTTTTCAACATTTAAGATAATCCAAGGGACTAAATTCATGAGGGCACTCTAATCTTTTACACACACATACACAAAAAAATTAAAATCAAATTCCAACTTTTTTTTCTATATCAAAAATTAGATATGTATGCAAATAATAATAATAATAATAATAATAATAATAATAATAATAATAAGAGCAACAAAAACAACAAATTACTATCAAATTTAAATAAAAGTGTTCCTAATTTTTTTATCGATATTTCATGTGTATATCACTGGTTAGATACAAATGCAAATTTAAATAATTTAATGATACATCGAAATATAGTAATATGATAATAATGATAATGCTAAACTTAAATAAAATATTTTGTTTCAACAAATTGTATATTTTAAATATATGACAAATTTAAAATAAAATATAATAATTATTATTTTAAATTTAGTTTAAATAAAGATTATAATAATGACAAAGTTTCAAGAATAGCTCATGTAATGCACATACGTGCAACATTCACCATCTCTAGTGAAACTAAACTTAGATCCAACAAATTAGAAGAAGATAATACATCCTCAGTTATGTACGAACTACATTTTTAGTTGTTCAGCAATTTGATAAATGACTATCGCTTGTTACAATAGAAAAAGCCAAAGAAAATAAAAGAGAGTTACATTGTAACATCACAAAACTATACAAGATATTAGGGTCATAACTTAGAGCAACATGATACACGAATCAAAATGCTAAATTACTTTATCATTTGTTTTCAAGGTTCCAGATAATTAAGTATAATACGAGAAGAATAAAACTGTTTTTCTTGAGATAATATCGTAATGAAAATGAAAGAAGAATCCTTACCGGATAACTTTACAGGTTTCCAAAGGCCTCAATCCACCCAACAATGCGGATATTAAACATTGAATTTTTTGTTTTTTTTTTTTTTTTGAATAGGAAACATTGATAATCACACTAGTAAAGTAGGATCACTGTTCTTCAAACTAATTAATCTTCTTAATAAGTATTTTAAAGCAAACTCATGCCATTACTGTCCGAAAAATCACACCAAGAGCACATGCTTTACATTATGACATCAACAAAGCATCAGGTTCTGTAAGAAAAAATCTTGCAAACCTAAAATAAATAAGGCATGGATTTTCAATCTCTAAGCAAAACTAACAGAGTAATCAACCAACTTGAAAAACACAAAGGGCTGGGAACTCACTCCTCGAATAAAAGCTAAAATTTTAGCACACAAACAATGAATCATTTCGCCATCTCACGGGTCATTTGTAGACATGGAAGAATGAATCATTTCGCCTTCGAGTTCTTGAAATTAAAGTCATGATAAATACATAAACAATCTAAATCAAATGGTAGAGTACAAACAAACAAACAAACAAACGAAACAAGGTCCAAATGAAAACAGAAACAGAATTTAAACAAATGCTAATAATTTTTTTTTAAAAGCAAATATACATTAAACTTGCTGGAAATCAACCAGTTCTGAATGATACAAAGAGCTTGATATCATTGACACCAAGTAATTACACAGTGATAGTGGATGAAACTACAATTCATGTGCTATACATATTATCACGACGAATCTAACAGAGGATAAAACAAGGAATAAATGCCAATACATAATAAGTTTCAACATCTTCTACTTGATAATTTTGCAACATCTTTCATTGGTCATAATGATCCAATTCCACTTGATAATTTTATAACATCTTTCATTGATCATCGTGATCCGAAACATATTAAAAAGCAACAGGCTATTGTAATGACATAATAGTCCCTTGTTAGTATAAAGGAACATTTCAACAGTGAAAGTGCACAACAATTTTCCTGAAACTCGAAACTCACACAATCTTTCTTCACAAAATAAGCATTTTGGAGTAGCATCATATGGAAAATTATATTTAGGAGCCCAAAAAAGCTTACTCAAATATGCCTTTTTAAGAGTCATCATATCAGTTACCTCTATGACACCCTTGAGATTATGAGGAATTTTTCAGAAAAATTCAATTTGCACTTGGCAGTTCTCCCAAAACATCATCGCCTTCTGAAGTACGTTGGAGGAAATCCAAATCCTAGTCATATCTTCATGCATAGTAACCCGTTTTCCAACCATATGGAAAACAAAAGAGTATGAATATTCACCCGTCGACTTCTCAATAATGGAAGGAGGAAGCATAAAGTGTAATCTTATAAGGTTTTCTTTCATAGAAAATTTTTGGATGACAAATGGAAATTTTGCGGTTATAAAAAGAATAAGATAAAAAAAATAATAGCCAGAAGAAAAATAAAGCCACCGTCAAATGAAGGAAAGTAACTGCATCGATGGAGAAAATATGGCAGAGGATGGGATGGTAGTAAGAAGTGAAAAAAGAAATATAAATATAACACAACTACATATGGTAACAATTCTAAGAAGATAATAACAAACAATACTTTTTTTTCGTTTTTTTTTTTTTGGAGATGAGATTAACAACCCAATTAAGATTCTTAAGAAACCTAAAATAAATAGTAAACTGAGTGAAAAAATTACTAATTAAGGAGGAGAAAATCCTATAAACATTGAAAAAATCACATCGAAGAAAGAACTAAAAAACAAAAACACAAAGATGGAAAGAGAAAACATTATTTTTAGAAAGAAAAGATGAAACTTGAAAGGAGATATACAAAGAAATAAAAAATTTAAACGAGAACAAGAAGATCACAACAAAATAACTATAGATAATTACACGTAAAGACTAAGGAGGTGCCTGGATGGATAGTATGAATCCCATTCTGTGGGTTTGAATTCCAAATATGCTATTTTTTGTTGCTTGGTTAAGGATAAGGATCCACTTACACTACTTTCAAACCCAAAAAGTGGCCATTTTCCATTCTCAATCAAAACGAGGGGAATGATAGTTTACCATTGAACAAAATTTTTTCCCTCTAGGCTGCCCCTTATTTCTCTCTCCCTCTTCAACTTTTCTGGTTTTCCCCGCATATTATTCATCTCCGCCATTAACGACACTTCAAGCTTCTCCACTTCACAATCAGCCTCACTCAAAAAAATCTTGACTATCAAATTCATAAATATAATTAGGCGTTTCAACAATATTTTGTCCACTTATCACTCTTACAACAAAGGAAATGACCCTTCTAGCAATTATCGTTTTTTTTTATCCCAATAGATTCAGAATAGCCAGAATTTCTTATGCCGCCGACCTCAATTACTCCTGCCACCGACCTAAATTATTGCGCATAAAGGATATTGGCTGTGACAATGCTCGACTCTGCACTTATCAGAAGTCTCAAAATTGTTCAATTCCGCTGAAAATTACTATGCTTCGATGAATATCAAGAAAATCCATTAAAGAGAAGGTTAAGATTTCTTCAATAAATACAGAGTAAATTGGACCAGGATATTTGATTTGGATTTGGTGTTATTATAATTTTTTTTGGGTGGAGACAAAGTGGTGGCATTTGGAGCAACAAGGATGTGCAGTAAGAAGATTGGGAAAGGGTTTTGGTGGTGGTGAAAGGATAAAAATGTACTCCCTCTGTCCCATAATTATTGTCCAGTTTGGATTTTCATTTTTAGTTCAATTTGTACCAGAAGTGAAAACCCAAACTGGATAATAATTTTGGGACATAGGGAGTATCTTATAACAACTCCCATTTTAGTACGTACTTGAACCAATCGGCTGAATGAAAGCTAAGAATTTTTTATAGTCTTCACTATCAATCCGTGCGACTATGAATGACATTCCCAAACCTATACCAAATTTTGAACCAGGCACCTTCTCAAAGATTTCCTCAAGAGAGAAAATCTCTTGCACGTTTAGTTACTCTAAGAAAGCTCCCAAAGACAGAGAGACGTTTTGGACTCTAACTGTTTTTTAAGAGATAATTGCTCTTAAAAAATGCAAATAATAATAATAATACTCGTATCCGATGAGAGATTTCGTTGACTGAACAATAAAGAGGTATGATTGAGTGGTTGTACTTATGAAATTAAGAATGGTATTTATATATAGTGTGGAGTAGAGTATATTTTTAATAATAGCTCTAAGAAAAAAAGTAAAAGAGAAAAACATAAAAATGAGTGATTTTGTTATATTTATTAAATTCTATTATTTTATTTGAAATTAGTGGAATGGGACTAAATTGGATAGAAAGTGAAACTACGTGGATGAAATTGGTTTTTGAGAATTCTTTTAGGTTAAATTGGCCAGGAGGTAGAAGTTTTGGATTAAATCGACTATTTTCTCGTAGTATGTAGATAAGGCTACTATAAAAAGATGTACGAAACAAAAAACCGTACAAGGAAAGAGGGGTAAGAAAAAAAAAGAACAATGGCAGCCTCAGCCGCGGCCGCAAGAGAAGAAGCATCAAAGAGCGTGATCCTACACCATGGTTCTTCTCCTCCTCCCCAAAATCCATACCCGTATCTTGCTTTCGTCCATGGCGAAGAAAAAGAAAACCAAACCTTCTACGACGTTACATCCTCAGAACCCGAAACCGGATTATACCCGAAATCCATACCCGAATTCAAGAACGAACCGGAAGTTATCTCATCTCAGGGCTGGTTAATTTTGTATCACTTGCCGGAGGAGGAATCGTCGTCACCAATGGAGTTGGAGCTGCAACTTTTGAATCCCTTAACTTCAGAATCCTTTCACCTTCCTCCGCTAACTTTACGGCCAACTAGGTTTTTAAGGGTAATATTGACAAAACCACCCACCGACCCTGACAGCGTTATCCTCGTATTCGCCACCGGCAGGCCTCATCCTCCTTGCATTATTTTCCGCTATGTTCAAGATGAGGAAGAAGCTTGGACCTACAGATCTTGCGACAAAGATTTCGAGCTCATCGATCCGGAGAATCCGGGAGTCTGGCATTGGGATCTTCGCCCTGTACTCTGCAAGGATAGGATCTACGTTCAGAATTGTCGATCTGAAATGGCGGAGATTGAGATTGTGAAACCCAGAGAGTTAGTCATCAGGCCTTTCGATTGCGACCCTCCTCCCTCTTATTCTCTAGGAAGCTACCGATATATTACAGATTGGGCTGAATGTTGTGGCGACCTTTTTATGGTCAAAATTGAGCTTGGGGGAATGGGTTTTAGCGAACTGATCAGCGTCACTGTTTTTCAATTGAATTTCGTCGATTTGGTTTGGGATGTCGTCCACAGTCGTCCCGATGTTGCTTTTTTCCTGTCTTGGACCGGCGGCCAAGCCATGGCTTGCCCGATTGCTTCACCTGATTCGGACAGAGTAGGGAACCGAGTTTACTTCGTTACCCAGGACGAGGAGAATAATTCTAGATCATTTTACACATACCATATTGAACGGAAGACACTCTTGGTTTCTTTGTTGAGCATCACCAAGCTTTTCGGGTCACCACTTTGGATACACATTCCGGACGCTCAAGCCATTGCAAAAGCTAAGCAGGAGTATCAGACTTATTGTGAAACAAGAAAGGTAGAAGAACCAGAAAAGCGACTCTCATTGATCAGGGGACCAAAAAGAGTTAGCTTAAAAAACAAAGAGGCTGAGGAGGAGAAGGGTGACTCTGCAGTACTAAGAACAAGGTTAGATGGTCTCCCTGTTGCGCTGTTGGGGAAGATAATCTGTTCCCATTTGGTCAATCCTGTAGATTACTTAAGTTTTCGATCTGTTAGTAAGTTGTATCGTTCGATGTTTCCTACAAGCGAGTGGAAAATCAGAGCATCAACTCGTGATCATTTGGATTTACAGAGTAATAGCACTCCTCCCTTTCTACTGACTCCTTCCATGGTCGAAGGTGTTAGTTACATGCTAGATTCCGTCACTCAGAACATGTACTACATGAGGCTACCTCAAATTAAAACCTCTGGGGAGGACTTCAGGATTGTTTACTCTGCATATGGGTGGTTGTTAATGGCTAAAAAGGTTTATTCGGAGGAGAGAGGCCACAAGGTACCCCTTCTAAAGTTATACAATCCCTTAACAAAGTCTACAATATGCTTGCCTGAATTGCCTGAAATAATGATAAACTTCTTCTTATCTGCTTCCCCTGCCTCCCCAAACTGCACTGTTTATGCGATATCAACTTGGGAAAGGGTATTTTATTCCATTCGACTAGGAGGAGATATGAGCAATTGGGTCCAAGGAGCTGTAATCCTAGACCTAGAGAATGAAGATAATTCCGTAACCTATGCAGAACAATCCCATACTTATGCGGTTTACTTGGATAGATGCTTTTACATTCCAGGTGGAGATGGAGAACTAAGAGTTTATAGGTTGGAAGATTCTGGAAATTATGCATTTACAATGCATGATCTTAAATTACCATTTGAAAGCTCGTCTTTGGAGCAAAATTTTCTGGTGGAATGTGGCGGAGATGTTGTTTCGGTGATGGTCGGAGAATGTTTTAGATGGTTGAAAGTCTTCAAACTGAATCGGTCAGAACTGGGTTGGGAATGGGAGGAAGTGAAGGACTTGAAGGATAAGAACTTATATTTATCTACCATGTCAGCTGTGATCAGAGATGCTGAAATTCCAAAGATGGGAAACAGGATTTATCTTCCAAGATTCTATCAAGATTCAATTGTGTATTATTCTCTTAATACATGCAAATTTCACTGCTCAAACAGTAAGGAAGATGAGGAAGACGAGGACGCACCGATGTGTTACAATGGGTCAGAAGAGCAATTGTATTGTTGTTGGTTTGAACCGAGCTGCAATTAAGAAGTTGTTTAAACACCATCTATTCTTCACCCCCAATAGTTCTTTTCTTTTTCTTTGCTCAAGTTGTTATAACATTCCAATTTGCTGAAGTCGTCATATATGGTGGATGTTTTGTTCTATAATGTTACTGGAAATTATACTAATGATCCTCAAAATTTTGAGGAAACCACAAGAAGTACATTTCTTCTTAAGTTATACATGATTATCCTTGTGATAATGAAAAACTAATTTAGATTTGTAAAAAACTCAATCATGTCTGTTTTTCATGGGAGTAAATTCATGAGAACACACTAATCTTACACACACACAACAAATTTTTTTTTCCCCCCTATATCACAGATATACGGATGCCCAAAAAATAAAAAAAGAGAAGAAAATGTATATTTTTATATCTCTATAGTTGTCTTCTCTTATGTAAAATCGGGTGTCTCTGACTCTTTATTGCCTTCTCTAAAATTGATGCGCTACTTTTTCCCTCCCTCTCCCAGCAATTTACAATAAATTAGATGAATTTTCATGGTTGCTGGTGAAGGAGTGGAAATGTGGAATTAAATATAATTAGCCTACACCTTCTCCGACTTTTTTCCGGTCATACTCCAAAAGTAGTAGGCTCCCTCTTTGGGCTTCTATGACGATCGATTCAGTTGCGAGGGCGGAGGACGGCCGTGGGTTTAAAGAGGGGCTCGCTTGAGGTTGAGGATGATGATGTTAAGTTGTTGATCCACAAAAATAAAAATAAAAAAACAAAGAAAAAAAAATTGAGGTTAAATATCCCTTTTACCCTATTAAAGCAGAATACAGGATGTTGATGTGGCAACTTCTTATTAAAAAAATTTGGCTCCAAATGCACCATATTGCTTTAACCATTCTGCCACGTGTCATCCCTTTTTAAAAGAAAAAAAACTTCTTATCCGGAAAAACAAAAGATAATTTACAAAAATAGCTACACAATTTTAACTCATAACACTTACTCCCTCCGTTCCATAATTATTGTCCCAGTTTTACTAAAATGAAAGATTTTATTTTTGGTCAAACTTAACCATATTTTACCTTAAACAACCGGATATACCCCTACATAAGTAATTGTTTACCTACTAAGATTTTATGGATAATGTTTTTACTAAGGACAAATGTGTAACTTGATCCATAAAAAGTCAAATTGGACAATAATTTTGGGATAAATTTTTTGGGCAAAGTGGACAATAATTATGGGACGGAGTGAGTATCATTTATCAATCAAATTAAGATAGGATTTAAATTTGTCCATAAACTTATCTCTTTTATTACTTCATATTCTTTTGTATGATTTCTGCATCGGTGTACTGTTTAATATTTTTTCTTCTTTTGCAGATGATTTTTTATTTTTATTTTTATTTTTGGTAAAAAAAACTGAAAAAATAAATGTGTAACTATTTTATTTTTTCCAAATCAAAAATTCATTTATCTATTAACACAAAATTAAAGTAGAGGAGGCGCCCGGGTATCTGCCTGGGCCAAGCATCTAGTTGATATTTAAAAGAAGGATAATTTTGTCCGTTTATCCTAAATTTGTGGAGGCTGAAATTAGACCTGGCAATAACATTGTCCATCACATATATACGAATGCCAAAACTAAAAAAAATAAAAAAGGGAAGAAAATTACATTCAAAACAAAAGTGTTCCTAATTTTTGTTTTCTATATCACTGATTATACACCAAATTATTATAGCAATAATAATAATAATAATAATAATATAGGAGTAATATAATAATGATAATGATAATACATAAAACAGAAGTTGTACATCTAAGTACAAACATAACACGTCATTTCGACCGTTGCCAAATTCAAAACAAATCAAATCTGAAAATTCGACCGTTTGTTACCTCTCATAAATAAAAAAAACACGCTCCCTTTTCCTCCTTCCCACACTGTTTCATCGCTCCCAAAACAAAGAAAAAAAAAAAGAAAAATCCTTCAAGAAAATTCTCATGGCGGATGAAAGCAGCAGCCTTATCGTCAACAACTCTTCCTCTGCAATTATGGAATCGAAACAACACCCACTCCATCAAATAGCCGAGACCCCATCTCACAAGCTGCTCCTGAAACAATGGCTGAAGGAAGAAGAATTAATCCTCAATCGAATCGCGTTCAAGGAGACCCAGATCGATTCCATCCGCAAGGAAATCACCCAGCTCTATTGCTTCTTCTTCCTCTTCCACTCCACCGCCCTGCTCCTCCTATTCTCCACCTCATCCTCCTCCTCCTCTGTCGCCGCCGCCGCCGGGGAAGGTAAATTCTGCCGCCGGTCGTGGATCCCGTCTCTCTGCTCGCTTCTGTTTTCTCTTGGGATGATCTGGGCGGTAAGGTACAAGATGGATGTGGAGGCCCACACGGAGAAGCTGCTGGAAAGGGAAAAGGAAGACTGGAAGCTTCTGGGGAAATGCTCAGGGGAACTGAAGAAGAAAGGTCTGGAGTTTGATCTGTTGAAAGAAGTAGATGCGTTGAGGAGGGCGAAGAGCTTGAGGGTAGAATCGTCATCTGGAAAAGCCGGGGTGAGGAAATGGTCTGCTCTTGATTTCGCCACCCTGTTCTTCTTCACTGTTTCTTGCTCGGTTCTGGCTCTAACTAGGGTCATTCTCTGTTACTGAAGTAAAAGGAAAAATCTTTTTTTTATCTCTGTTTCTGTGTAATGCTTCATACGATTTAGGAAACCTTGTCATATTTTTTTGTTGGTTTTTGTTCATTGGAGCTGTGAGTGAGACTAAAAAATTTTGGGGATTTTGGCAGAATGGTCTTGTTCTGCTTTTGGTGGTTTCTGCAATAATGTGGTGACTAATTCTTTTTGTGATCCGAAAGCAATTAGTAATATAATCATACAGACTTTTTGTTTTTTTGTTTGAGCATTTCTGAAATAGTTCCATTCATACTAGTTGATGATGATGATGGATGGATGGTGCGTACTGAGATCAAAATCAGTCAATGAGGAACATTATTAATTGGACATGTTTCAGACTGCAAATTATTTGATCTATTGTTCGCCTTGTTTGGGGAAATCTTTTGCTGGTTGAATGATTGCAACTCCTTGGACTATAACGAAGAACAATCAGTGATTCTGACTTCTGAGTTCACAATTGTATGGGTATTAAAGTATTAAACTTTAAACAGACAACAATGGCACAATTTGTTCCCAAGCCCTTCAGGAATGGATTTTTGGCCGTTCATTTGGAATTTGAGAATGTTTTTGAATGCTTTTGGCCAAAATCTGGCTCTGAAAACCTATAGCCCATCTTGGAAGGTAACAGTAATTAACTAGCTAAATAAACCATTTTTTTTTGTTTTTTGAAGTCCTAATCGTACTCCGCCGTGTCTCAATAAATTTATACTTTGGTTTGTACAAGTACAAGAACTGGAAGTAACGCAAATAGGCTCCCAAGAAGACAATGTTAATGGCTATATATATATGAAGTCAACTTCAGTCAACCCATTTCCCCCCTTTGTCTCACCATTAACGCCACCTACTCCCCTCTATTCCCCGCGCCACCTCCTTGCGGTCCGCCCCCACGACCGAAAGGACGAATTGATTCCTCTCCGCCCGTCCTCCTTCCCACCCTTTACCCCCACATCCGACGAGCTCCCCGGCGTCCTCCGGCGACCCTCCCAGCGACGGATTCGGCCGACTCCGATTCCAGGTACACCGGATTTGATTCGGCTCTCCATCTTCTTTTTCTTTCCCCCCTTAATGTTGATTTTCTTCGCATGTGTTAATTGAATTATATAGGGTTATTGGTTTTCCAAGTTTCCAGTTTCCTCTGGCCAGAACTTTACCGGAGATGAAAGCTTTTGGAAATTTTTGGCGTGATTTTTGGTGTTACATATTTGTTCCGATTTGGATGGAGTTTCAGTAATTTTGAATTTTGTAGCTGCCAAAAAAAATTTGGAGCTGGTTGAGTCGTCGAAAATTGAACCCTTTTGTTTCATTTAGTTTGTTTCCTTCTTGTGTCTAATTTTGATGTCCGTGTTTAGCCCGGCTAAGCAAATTCAACCTGTTGTAGCCCTCAATGTGGAATTGGATGGAATTAAACTTCAACCAGTTCATTTGGTCTATGCTGTGTCCAAGTTTAGGTCCATGAATTTCTCTGGTTGGTAATTATAATTAAAGTCGGCAATGACGAGTTCCCCTGAAACTTTAAATAAATTTAATACCTCTAGTCTGAGAAGATCCTTCATGGACTCTTCTTTGCCAATCCACTTTTCCTTCATATTTCTTTGTTCCAATCCCATTTTTGGAACTTTTCCAGCATTCTAGTTTACGAGTCTTTGATTGCCTTCAATTTTTGGATTATCTATCTGATAAGGATTCATCGTTCACGTTGATATGTTTAGTAGACACTCATATTGGGAACAAAGGAGCTGATCTGCTAGAATATCAAGCTAACTTTTCCTCTTTAGACTTCCTGGGGCTTTACTTTAATGTACGCTTTTTCTTTCTTATTTTTTTGTTTGACAATTGACATTAAATTTACTGTTTCAAAAAATTACTGGGTATCACGCACATTTTGGCTCATATCATATTAGCTTGTCTGGATGAATTTGAGAAAATCCCGTGTATGATGGCTTATTGGTCATTTTATTTCAAAAAAACGAATGTACTGCAGAAGATCTTCTGCATCGTGATGTGTTAGAATTTAGATACAGCAACAATGATCGTATCTTTATCCTACCAATTTTATTTTATTAAAGTTGACATTAATATGAACCAAGCACAAAACCACCTTGATAAGGTTTGTAAGAATTTGTATTTATTAACTCCGCGGTGATGTTTCTTTGGCAGTTCAAACTTAAAGAGCAATGGATCATGCTAGAAGCCCAGCATTCCCTGTGCACCAGAAGAATTTTAAAGTGGAAATTGAGGTACATCTTGTGAGGTTCATAGATCTTCCATGTTAATTATTTTGTATGTAAGTGCTTTAGTTTTATGCAACAGTTATGCTTGCTCAAGAGTTAACAATTTGAGTTAGGTTTTCACATAGATATATCATCCATTCACCGTTTGAGTTCTCTTTTATTCTTCAATCGACGTCAACGGAATCCCTAGAAGCTAGAATCATGCAAATTACTTGTTAAGAGATAAGTCTATCATCATTCTTTGTTCAGATTAAAAAGCAGAGAAAAAAGGGGGGAAAGGATAAAACTTTGAAACTGAGAAATTTCCTTGGTTAGTAAGATGATCCTTTGTTCAACTTATTTAGAGCAAGTGAAGACTAGTAGTATGTGACACTCTTGATGATCGTGTAGCATTTTAGTTGTTTTTCCTTCATAAATCTCTCTTCATTTCAGGGTAATACAACGGATGTTGTTCTATGCAGCTATGATGATCATTTTTTCGTAAGTTTCAAATACTAATTTTTTCCATCAATTTTTTAGGAGTATTTTTTATATTCTGATTTCCAATTTCAGGTTTTGGTAACTCAAATTGGAAGTATGGGTACCATATTGCATGCCAGGTATACTCAGCATGCTTTTCATTTTATGCCCTGTTGTTTTGTGTAAATTTTTTCTGTTTCCCTTGGCTGCATGTGCAATATTGAATGAGGTATTGATAATCAAATTGAATGAAAGTTCTCGCCTCAAGTCTGGAAACACATTGTTTGAAGTCTTTGCAATGTCCTAATAACAATAAGCCTTGTCAAATGATACGAGTTCACACATTTTATCTGCTTTCTGACAAGTTTTTGTGACTTGGCATTTATAGAGATAAATGAAACAAAATTTGGTGGTCTACGAGAGTTGCATAATTCTTGTGTCAGACATTTTCAAAGCATTTCTGCTATCTCATACTTGAGAAATCATTTTGTGAGACAATGGTTGGGGCGAGAAAAATGATTGGCTTATGAGGACCTTTTCATTTCCTGGATCTGATAAACTAGAAAAGGGTTTAGTTGACAATATTGTTGCCAAGAAGTTGTTGAATTAAACTAAAAAGCTTTTTCATAATCGGCAGAAAGGAGGAATCAGCCCTTGCTGAACCAACATTTGATGTGTCAGTAGTATTCGGCAAGTATGACGAGGTAAGTTTCGGTTATCCCATGTGTCTAATCTTGCAATCTCTCTGTCTCGAAATGGTTGTCCTATTTGGATTTTCACTTGATAGTACAATCTACACTAAAATGAAAATACAAACTGGATAATTATTTCAAGACAAAGGGAGTAATAAATATCTTACCTGTAGTAACCTGGTGTTCCCTGCAGCCAATGGTTATGGTGTGTGGAAGGCAGTTGATTGAGCACATAAGGTTTGTACTCAAATAAAGAAAAAGTCCCTTCTATTTATTGATTGTTCGTGATTCAGAGTGACCTTTTTTTTTTCCTTTTCATATGCAGTAACTCCGGGTCCTCAAAGTCCTTGATCCTGTCTCTTGGTCTTAAAGACCACTCTAGGGTAATCATTTCTAATAAACTACTATACATGCTCTTGACATATTTATATACCAACACTCTAATCTTATTGTTTCATGCAGGCGACTATCAAAGGTGTGATATCTGCCGTGACAAAAAACTGCCTATGGTAATTTCCAGCGCTGAAGTTGTTAGTTCTCAGTTTCCTCCGTTAAAAACTGCACGAGACTTCTGTACTCTCGAGGAATTGGGTAGTTTGACATCCATTTTAGAGTAACATTTTGACATTTCTCTCTACCCGATGTCATTATAATGGTTATAAAAGTTTATGTCAAGTTTTAGGAAACCTTGTCTATTTTTGTTGGTTTTTGTTCATTGGGGCTGTGAGTGAGACTAAAAAATTTTGGGGATTTTGGCAGAACGGTCTTGTTCTGCTTTTGGTGGTTTTTGCAATAGTGTGGCGACTAATTCTTTTTGTGATCCAAAAGCAATTTATTTTTTAGTAATATAATCATACAGACTTTGTGTTTTTCTTTGAGCATTTTTGAAAACTGAAGATCCTTTCATACTAGTTGATGATGAATGGTGCGTACTGAGATCAAAATCAGTCAATGAGGAACATTATTAATTGGACATGTTTCAGACTGCAAATTATGTTCTTTGTTGTTCGCCTTGTTTGGGGAAATCTTTTGCCGTTGATTGACTGCAACTCAATCCTTGGACTATAACGAAGAACAATCAATGATTTTTTTTATTTTTTTTTCTATATTTGCAGGGTGTTTACTGTTGGGTGAATCAATGATTCTGAGTTCTCAATTGTACGGTTTAAACTTTACAACTTTAAACAGACAACAATGGCACAATTTGTTTCCAAGCCTTCAGGAAAGGATTTTGACAATTTTGTGCAGGCCAATAAGGTTTGGGCCGTCAATTTGGAATTTGAGAATATTTACGAATGCTTTGGGTCAAAATCTGGCTCTGAAAACCTATAGCCCATCTTGGAAGGTAACAATAATTAACTAGCTAAAGAAATAATTTGTCTTTTTGAAGTCCTACTGTACTTGGCGTGTCACAATAAATTTAGGATAATACTTCCTTACTCTTAGAATTATTGACCAATTTGATATTTTACTTTTAATATAATTTGAATTAAAAATGAAAATTCAAACTGAACAATAATTTATGAACGAAGGGAGTACTAGTTACTAGTTAACAACCACTAACTCTTATCACGGAACTGAAGGGTACATAGTATATGTTGGATACTTTAATTGTATAAGTACAAATTATGTTTGTCAAAAAAGTAAGAAGTTGTGATGGTTAATTTGTGAACTTTTTGTGGAAATGTTGGAATAAGAAAGACATGGACCGCTTCAAGGATTCAAACATTGCGGCCAAGTAATTTTGTGAAATCATGATTTGTGTCATTGTGTTTGATGCGGTTTGAGTTTGAAGGAGAATTTAGATAAAGAAAATCGAATGTAATAGGTGTAAGTACTCGTTTGGCTCTATAAAATAGTATTATTCCATCTCAAAGAAAAACACACACGCATTATTAGATTTAAAATTTATACTAAAAATAATTTAAATTTTTAATGTGAATTATTATTTCTTAGAAGCCAGGGAATATTACATTATAAGTTGTGGACTATATATAAAACAATGTGACTAATAGGGATCTTCAAGAGGCAAGCAAGAAAATACAATATTCAAAAACTAATAACGAAATCTTTCTTTTTCAGATATCGTGATGCAAGCAAGCAATCAATCCACCCGCGAATCTCTACATCTTTCATTCACCTATATGATGGATGTGAAGGACCTCAATTTTCGACTTTTTAGCATTGTGTTCATATTCAAATCACAAAACTTTACAAAACAATAATTAATCGGCTCAGCATTTTGTGCGACGTTTTTTCTGTGTATACTAAATTCTTTATGACATTTTTATATATTCACAGTTCAATCAAATGTTAAAAGGTATAATAGAATATCTAACAATTTGTCATTCAATAAATTCTAAATTCATTATGTTTAAAGTGCTTACTTACTCTATAGCAAAGGTATTCTAAGAAAGTTTCACTTCTTGGATTTTAATTTTAATTAAAATATCAAAAGACAAAATTAGTTAACTTCTTAATTCTCCCAAACTTCATTCTATATTTCATATGTTTTATCAAAAACAAAAATAATCACTCATTCGTCTTAAAAAAATAGTTTACACTGTGATAAAAATTAACTATTTCTTAGAAACAGAAAGAGTATAGAATTCCATCAATCAATAACACTCCCTTCAGTCCTTAATATAAGGCATCTTCATTCCGTCATAGGTTTTATCAAGTGCATATTTTTAATTGATGAAAAAATCTTAAAAATATATTTTCACGTTCGTTGTATTTTCTTGATTGTTATGAAATATTTTTAAGATTTTTTCGTCAATTAAAAATACGTATTTGGTGAAACTTAAAATGGAATTAAAATACTTTATATTAAGGACCCAAAAGGCCATTATTGTATTAGCTGGCCATTTCAAACGTCAGAATTTTTCACCCAAATCAATTACGGAGAGTAACATCAACTACTGCATCTTACCCGATACGGCCCAATAATATTTTACAATCCTTTTAAAGAATGAACCCTTGTACAGATAATATATGTTGCCAAATGGCAAACAATTATGATTCTCGTTGAATGGGAGAAACAAAGAGTTCAAAGTCTTACGGATAAATTACTATGTCGACTGAAAATGATGGCTGCAGTCTGCTTCAGACTGAGTTGGGTTGAAATTTTGGTTCCTGATTGGAAAAACAGCAGCATGGAGAGGCCCATTTATGGGCCCAATTAAGGGATCAACTTGCTGCTAAAAATGGGTCACTTTCGAAGACAAAACACCAGCTGGCCCACATATCCCTGTCTTCTCTGCTATTGCTGACTCATTTCCAGATTTGTTTGTAATGTTGTCTTTGAAATCTTATGAGATTTTCTTCATTGTGGGATCAGCAAGAATGTGAGAGTTCATATGGCTGCGTTTTTGTGTCTCAATAAAAAGTTCACTTCGCATTACAGTAGACGATGAGGCAATTTGATACAACTTCAGTCCTAAGAAATTGAAATCTTATTTCAATAGTTTGTTACATACTCCCCCCTCCGGTCCTTGTTATGATCTTGATTTGTTCTAGATCTCATTTATTATATATTTTCAATTGAAAGAAAAATCTTATTGCATTCGTTGTGTTATCCTAATTATTAAGAAATATTTTTAAAGATTTCAGGTTTACGATTTAGGGTATAAAAGATTGGTTGTGGCTTGGAGTTTTACCTTTTTACTTATTGTACACCATATTACTATTTTCTCACTAGTCGTATATATATGTATCAGCTATCTCCCTTTTAAAAAAATAAAATAAAATGAAATAAAAAGCAATGTATATTTGTTAAGCATGAATCACGGTTGACAAGATAGAGTATTTATAGTAATATAATATAATAAAAATATAAAAGAAAAAGGAATGCAGGGACTAAAAACAATAAAGCAGTTGATTCTATGAATTGCAATTTTAGTTGGTCAAACGGTCATAATAGCATTTCTATGACCAACCGTGTTTCTAAAGTACGGATTTTTAAAAAAAAAAAAATCTGAAAAAATAACTAAATGAACACATTGAGTGCAACTAATTTAGAGCCACAAACTACTCCATCTTGACTTTGATATAGCTAGTGATATTCATCATCATGTATTCATGTCAATAAGTGTTTTTTTTTTTCTATCGTACAATCACAAGCACCTAATCTATTATATGTGGGTGGGATTTATGAAGAAAGGGATAATACTATTAAGGGAGAGACTCCATACGCTAACGTTTCGATCTGGTACTTAGAAAGTCTCTTGGCGGTGCAAGCTGAAAAGCTGCAAACTCAACACTTTTATGTCTATAAGTGTTTTTTTTTTTCTTTTACTATACAATTATAAGCACTTAATCTATTACGTGTGGATAGGGTTTTATGTCTATAAGTGTTTTTTTTTACCATACAATTACAAGCATTTAATCTATTACATGTGGGTGGGGTCTATGGAGAAGGGAATAGTACTATTAAGGGGGAGACTCTATACGCACACACGCCTAGATCTGGTACTTGGGAACCCTCCTAGCTGTGCAAGCCGAAAAACTACAAACTCAACACTGAAAGTGCTCTTAGTGGGATTTGAACCCGAATCTCCCAGGTGTGACACCAAAGCCCCAACCAATTGGGCTACCCCTCTGTTGGCATGTCTATAAAGTTATAACTTCACAAACCCTTTTCATTTAAGTCAGAGAGGTTAATAAAATAATAATAATAATAATAATAATAAATAAAACCTCGTTAGGTAAGAGAGTTTCATCAGCAATATGTCAAAACGTAATAAGATTTCTCCACATTTCTGTTTTCTCAAAAAGAACCTTCCTTTTAGAACAAATGAGGCAAGATAAATTTAGATCAAACGAACCTTCCATTACGAATCCATTTTACGGAATCCTTTTGAGTTTCGAGGATCGAATGACTAAGAACTCCAAAAGGTTCTTTGTAAGAATTACTAAGAAAAGAAACCAAAACAAGCAAATACACCAAATTTGTAGATGTGCCAAAACCACGACCCTCGGAAAAAAATCTCCTCTCCTATAAACAATAACATGCACTTCCAATGGTTGCTGATCAGAAATAGATACTCCATTCATCATTCAAAATCTTTGCTATAACATTTTAATATAACTATGAAAATTATTTTGAAACGCACATAAAGTTATATGAATACACTTTGAAAATGTACTTCTTGTCTATCCATCATTACTGGCCACCAAATTTTACTACTCCCTCCATCCCATAATTATTGTCCACTTTGCCCAAAAAATTTTATCCCAAAATTATTGTCTAATTTTACTTTTTATGGATCAAGTTACACATTTGTCCTTAGTAAAAAATATTATCCATAAAATCTTAGTGGTTAAACAATTACTTATGTAGGAGTATATCCGGTTGTTTAAGGTAAAATATAGTTAAGTTTGACCAAAAATAAAATCTTTCATTTTAGTAAAACTGGATAATAATTATGGGACGGACGGGTACATTCTTTTTTCTCTAGTAATAGGCACTCCTACTGATAACTAGGTGGAAGTCAGCATTGAAAAACTTTAGTAGTAGATTAGTAGTAGTAGTTTAGTAATAATTTACACAATTGGGATTAGAAGCTTCGTCTACTGGTAAAACTGTGTGCATGGATGCTGCCGTTTTGGCTAATGGTTCTGTTCTCTTTGGGCATTAATCTTCCCGAAATTCGACAATGACAGTTTGATAATTCTCTAATTGGTGGCTACGGTTACAATTAGTTCAACAATATATTTAAGTGTGACATAATTTTATTTTATTTTTTTAGTAAGAAAATGGAAAATACTCCTATGTTTACATTATGAACGTCTATCAGAATACTCCCTCCGTCCCATAATTATTGTCCAGTTTGAGTTTTCATTTTTAGTCTAATTTATACTAAAAGTGAAATCTCAAACTGAAAAATAATTTTGGGACAGATGGAATATTTCCTAATTTATGGAGCTGCGAGAATGATAGTGTCCATATTTACAGATAATAATATTTAGTGTTTGCTCAAAAGAATATTTTGCTTGGTAGTATCTTTTTCCTTTTTTGGCTTTTATTCAATTATGTTGATCTTTCAGCTTTCAAATTGTTAAAACTCAATCAAAATTGAAACACAGTTCACACGAGAGATTTTAAAGTTTTCCAAAGTAAAAAGATTAAAAAG